TAGCATGGTATTTAGTATTAGACATGAAAAGTGCACTAGACTGGAGTGTTGTAATTATGAGTTGGACAGGCAGTTCATGAAGACTAGCATGGTATTTAGTATTAGACATGAAGAGAGCACTAGACTGGAGATGTTATTTTAGATGGACAGGCAGTTCATGAGAACTAGCATGGTATTTAGTATTAGACATGAAAAGTGCACTAGACTGGAGTGTTGTAATTATGAGTTGGACAGACAGTTCATGAGCACTAACCTAGGTGTGTTTAGTATTGGACATTAAAAAGTGCACTAGACTTGAGATGTTGAATTTTTGAGCTGGATATAGTTGACAGTTTGTGAAGATCATTGGCCTGAGTATGTGTGGTGTTAGACATTGAGGAGAGCACTAGACATGCTGCGTTAAATGTATTAGATATTGAAAAGAGCACCAGACCAGAGATGTTATTTTTTTGATATATTGACAGTTAATGAGCACTAACATGGGTATTTCAGTACAAGACATAAAAAGTGTATGAAACTTGAGATGTTGTGTGTTTGGGGCGGAATTTTGGTATTGGACATTGACTAAAGGACTGGACATGCTGGGTTGGATGTTGGAATTGAATAAAGAGAATTGGACTTGTTAGTGTATTTATGAGCTGGGCATACTCGACAGCTGGTATTTGACATTGAATAAGGGGCGTAGTCTGGGCATGCTGCGTTGATTGTATTGGGCATGGAAAAAAGCACTAGACTAGACATGCTCTAGGTATGACTCGGATATAGTTGACAGCTCATGAAGAGCGCCACACTAGGCACATTGGGTTGGGTGTACCAAAAAATCAATGACGAGCACTTGACTTTTCCAAGCTATCCCAATCGCCCAAGCTATCCGCAGTCGCCGGTTTATCCAGTTTAGAATTTCCTCAAAAGCCGGAGTGTGCTCACTCTCCAGATTATGGTCCGAAGCCCATGGCTCGGAGGCAATAGCAAAGACAACCGCTGATAGCGCAAGAACAAAAATGCCCTTAACAATATGCTTTCTTCTCCAGATGAAAAAATAGTCTCCCAAGTAAGCCCAGGAACTCTCGAAGGCAAAGAACAAGGGAAAACAAAATACTCGAAATTCGTCTCAATGATCGTGATGTCAAGAAACAAGGTGCTCGAAACAAATGCAGGGTATTGAGAAGAGAAGCAAAAACCAGCTCTGTTCTCGACGTTAGTTGATATAGCTGTTGGAAGGGGAAGAAAAACTTGTACAACACGAGTTTTCGCTCGGTCTCAGTCGGAGACCTGCAAGAATAGCAAAAAGAATCAAACAATTGTTTTTTATACTTACCAAGAACGTTATAGCAGATGGCTTATAACCTGTGGGAAATTTGACGTGGCTCTTCTAAAGCTTACGGAGTCGTTCGGGATCTAATGAAATGTAGTTTACTGGAAAGCATTCAGCCATGATTCGAGCGGAAAACGCAATACGGATTGTGAAGTAGGAAGTTGTGGTGATGTCCCTTAAAATGCTCTCAGAGGTAGAAATTGGGAAACATTTACAGACTAAATCCATCAGTTATAGTTGGGATTCTGGTTTTAATTGTGAACTCAAAACACCAGGCGCCATATATTTGCGTCGGATGCGTCAAAACCCAAAAAAGTATCCATGAAAATCAACTCAAATTTGCATCATGTGCACGGATTACTCTTCACTGGATAGGTTTAAGACACCTGAATCCACAGAATACATGTGCATGAGATATTTGAATCGAAGCAATACTTGACATAGCTCAGTCGGGCTTTTTCATCTTGGATTATCTGCATCAATCCGAGGACTCATAACCATATGGCCATCAGGCTCAGAAAGCACCTTGAATGCCCAAAGTTGGACCAGACATTGATTAATCCCAACCTGGCAGCCGCATCTGGTGGTCATCAACCAGAATTTCATGTCGTGGTCTTCGTGAAGTAGATTGCATGACACAATTACATGCCTACTACAAGCTTCAAATCTTGGCTTTCAAGTGAGACTCGCAGTATGACCCCAGAACATACTGGGCTGTGTGGTTGAAGGTCTTGGTCGACTCTCAGTTACACATAGTCTCACAATGCACAAATCATAAAATGCTCAACATAAGGCAAATCCCGTGATTACAATTACTCAGATGAGGCTTACAAAGCAATACTCTCAATATAGCACTCCGCAAATCGAAAAAGACGCTTATTGAATTCGCTGCGCTGTATATCTGATAATCCTCAACACAGACATTACACGAGGGGTCCAAAATAGACCCGGACATAAAACCTCACACAGATATCACAAGGGATTCACAACAGACCATTACAAAGCAAGAAAAACTTTCGAGGGAATTCCAGAAAAAATGACCAGACGCTATTTCCCATAACAGGAGCATCGCTGAATAGAGGTCATCAGATCAATATTACTCAAGAGCCCTTGAAGATTACTCGATCGAGACAACCACATCAGAGATATCAAAGCTCAAAATACGGCATTAATATTCGAAGCACTTCATCATATTTTTCTAATGAAAGAGCAAGCTCATTCACTCAGAGACAAATGTACTACACATGTCAAATACTAGGAACATGCCCAGAAACAAATCTCAAGCGATGAGCCAAATAACTCAGCCACAAGCAACTTGGGCAACCTTCTGGCCAACATCTCCTCACACTAGCTGGCACTAGTATGGCAGAGCCAAATTAAAAAGTCGAGTGTTTTGCCACCCGTGTCATCGCAGCCATTTCATGTTCCATTGCCTTATCTACTATGAAGTGCGATGGACCGATCGCGGTAACATTTCCCCACAATCTCCTGTAAATACAACGTTACATTTCCAGAGGCGTTGATCCAGTTCCTGCACATGCGCACTCCAGGGCTAGCAGATTCCTAGTCGCCGAAAAGCCATTAGCAACCAAGAGTCCTGGAATGCAAATATCTTCATGGTTACGGTTATTAAGTAAATTGTTTCTTTAAGCGACCGCTTAGCGACCGAAATCAGAGGCGCACGTAGGAAGCGATGTAGAAGTATTAGACGCGAATATCATCGGGAAGCTGGCAGAAATTCTAGTAGGGCCTGGCCCCAACAAAATGAAAATTTGTCTTCTGAGAAGCAGCTCCATCTCAGGGCACTCACTTTTTATTTCACGCAAGTCTTGGTGGTACTACTGAATCTGGTACTATCATGAACATGACAAGTAATCGGGTGAAGCTATAAACTGTATTATATAATCTGGTGCTTCTAGTAATTTGGTTCCACTAAGGGATGCGATGTTATCTGGTGACTCTACATAAATTGGTTCTAGTCTGAAACGTGTCAGGAGTCTGGTAATGCTTTCAAATGTGACGAAGCAAATGGCCTGCCCTCAATAACTCTAGGCCATGTCATTTTGAAATTTTATAATCACAAAAATTACGGAAGTTCAGGTAAATCAGAAAGGCCCAGCAAAGCCATGGCAATTGCAGGAGCTCGGATTTCCGTCACTAATTTAAGTCTCACGTGCTGCAATGTATTTTCTTGCAAGGCGTGGTCCAGTCATGCAAAAGACTCCTAATTCTTGCCGTAATACTACTGAGAACCAATATTAGTTGATTTGCCGAGTTTGATTGCTCATCAGTTTTGCTTATTTGCTTCCGGTTTTCTTGTTTCTTCTCTTCTTGCATTTCCAATGTTCTACATGGGCATTGGCCAGAGGGCGGGGAAGCAGAAGCCTCTCGGCATAACATGCTTTTTTCGCACAGGCCTTGTTTCTGGGCATCAGGATTAAGTTCTTTACTAGGACACCAAATAGTCCACTCCATCCAATAGCTTTCCACAGAGTAGAACAGGCTCATATTTTTTCTCCAGGATGTACAGTCTGCTATTGTTTCTGTTATTTTCGGGTTACGCAATCTCAGAAATCCCAATCGGGCCTAGGGCCAGAGCCAGGCGCGAAAACGGGCACTGCGGAATAAGGCCTCTAATTATGTCAAAACAGCGAAAAAACAGCAACGAGCACAATTGAAGAGCGAGGTCATGGATATAAAGCACACAGAAATACATGGACAGAAATAAAAAAATCTTTCAAGCAGCAGCCTCTTCCGCCCGCCGGAGACAAGAAAGCACCAAAGACACGGTCACGTGACCGCACGGCGGCCGCAGCGCCGTATCCAAAAAGATGTAGCATCTTGCAGACGCACGCGCGCAAGCCCGCGTCTATATGCAGAAAATGCAACATCGTTCTCGATAGCGATAACCGTTTTTCCAGGTCACGGTTCTCTGGGCTTTTCTGCCACCGTCTGCCCCGCCACTTGAAATCTGCACTGGAACCGATAGCTCTTTGCGTGTTATCTCGTACCCCAGTTTTGGTGGTGTATATATACTCATGGTGGGATTGTGCCTAGCCGTCTATTTTTTGCTTCCAGCTTAAGCACACCTCCCAGACGCATAGTACTGGTCTGTTTTAATAGTTTGGCCTTGGTTCTGTTTTGTTTCTGCCCTGGCCGTTTGCACTATAATTTCTGAGCTTCTTCTTTGCTTCCAACTACTTGCTAAGACTTGGGCGCTTTGTGTGAATTTTGGCCCTGGACTTTGAATACGATCCTGCCTTTGAATACGATCCTGCCTTCGAATACGCTTCAAGCTTAGAACACGAACCTGCCTTAAGCCGCTCTCCTGTCTTGAATCTCCATCTGGCTTTTATTTACGCGGTGGGCTCTAATCGACCTTTTTGTCTAGGCTCTCATGCCCATTCAGACCTCATTTGAGCTCGATTATCGAATCCAATTGAATCCAGCTCCCTTGCCTACCATGTCCTTGGAATCAGACGCCGTCAAACCGTCAGAAAAAAATACCATCAACACCATGGTGGACTCATCCTCGGATGTGGACCACACGGAAATCGTGTGCCACAGCTGGGCCGAAATCGAGGCCTCCGGAAACTGGTACGATCGCCGCTACGTGTCGTGGATTCCGCCCTTTTCCCACTCGACAGTGCAGATTGTGTTGATGTCCTTTGTCATATTCTTGACGCCAGGCTGTTTCAACGCCATCACGGGTATCGGCAATTCCGGAATCAGCGACCCGACCGTGGCAGATAATGCCAACGTGGCTTTATACTCGACTTTCGCCACCGTGGGTGCTATTGGAGGTGTTGTGTGTAACACCATAGGCGTACGCGCATGTCTTGTTTTTGGCGGCACGGGCTACATCATGTACACGCTTTCACTCTTGGTGTACCACTACAAGGAGAACGCAGGATTCTGTATTTTCGCCGGGGCCTATTTAGGTGTCTCTGCCTCGTTCACGTGGGCGGCGCAGGGCTCCATCATCATGTCGTACGCGTTGGAAAACAAGAAGGCTCATGCCATTATGATCTTCTGGGTCATCTTCAACTTTGGTGCTGTGATCGGCTCCATCATTCCTTTGGTCCAAAACTTGGAGAGTGGCGAGTCGAACGTCAACGCCGGCACTTATGTGGCTTTTCTTGTTTTGATGGGCTGCGGTGTCCTTTTGGCTTGTTTCTTGCTCCCCATGGATAAGGTTTACAAACCCGACGGCTCAAAAGTCATTGCCAAGAAACACCCGCGACTCCGTGATGAGATCCGCGGCATGATCAAGGTTTTGGTCCACGAGCCCAAAATCTACTTCATGTTCCCCATGTTCTGTGCGCTGAACTTCTTCTACACGTACCAGTTCAACGAATTCAACGCGGTGCGGTTCAATGTCAGGACTCGCTCCTTGAACTCACTCCTCTACTGGTTCTCGCAGATGGTGGGTGCCATAGTCTTGGGCTTAATGATGGACTCTCCCCGGTTCTCCAGACCCACACGTGCTCGGATCGGGTACGCAGTTTTGACTGTCACATCCTTGGCCATTTGGGGCGGTGGCTTGAAGTTCCAGATCGGTGTCACAAGAGAGACCGACGTGGTTTTGATCGATTTCAAGGACGGCCTGTACATTGGACCCATGTTCTTGTACATGTTCTACGGCGCCTACGACGCCGTGTTTCAGTCGTTCATCTTTTGGGTTTTGGGCACTTTCTCCAATAACCCGAAGAAGGTGGCGTTGTACGCATCTTTTTACAAGTCTTTGCAGAGTGCCTTCTCCGCCATTGCTTGGCGGCTTGATGCCATTGGCGTGCCCTACATGTCTATGTTCGCTGCCTCCTGGGGGTTAGTGCAAGGCTCTCTTTTGATTGCTGCTCCATTGGTCTTGTTTATGATAACAGAGACCACAGACCCCGATAAGGACGGGATTGACGAAATCATGGAAGCTTCCGAGTTGCGGTCTGTCACCTCACACCCGCAGAAAGTCTAGGTTGACTCTGCAGTCACTGCCAAGTAGTTGCGACAAACAGAGAGCCCGCAGTGCATCAGAGCTGAAGTCTCGAAACACTTGGGGGAGGCGGGCCTTTCATAATTACCATCCCCTCATACTGTCCAGGTGTGTATGTTTCTTGGTGTAGCTTTTAGAATTTATTTACATAAGAATGTGAGTAAAATACAGACACGAGTGTTCGATTTTGACCCATTGTGATAAAGCTTCATAAGCTCACTGGGCGGCCTTTGATGTATGACTCTCACATAAAGCAAACAATCACGCACAATCCAATAAATACTCACTTTCAGCGGTCTTGTAAGTACACATACATATGATAAGGTTGCAATTTGCTTGGCTACTCTTTCGAAATTAATACACTCCCTAAGACTGTTAGGCTGAATATTCAATGCACGTCAAAAGCTTTTCATTGGGTAGTTCTATGTCGTTTTTATATCTTCTAAGTCCTGTGGATCTAATTTCTTTGCAAAAGATTTTGAAAGCACGCATTCATTCCGGTCCACAGATCAGCACCCGATAAAATTGAACTTGTCAAGAGATAAACCATTTTGTAGCATGGACTACGTTCTATTTTTTTTTGAATCTTTGATTCATTAGCTGATACATCGTTATCTGTTAGACTTATGATGCTAAAAGATTATTTGCGCAAACTATAAAATATTAAGCCTTAATTGTTGCCAAACACTTCATCCATTGCCCCCATATACGTTCTCTTGAATGTAATCTTTTGAATATACTTATGTTTTTTGTCACAAAAAAGACGAATTGAGCTCAAAGATTTACCTCTCAAGCCCCTATGCTATACTCAGATCTGATCTTTGCCATTCGTGAAAGTCTTTTCTCGTAAATATTCTTTCCATGAGCTCGAGCTTTATTAATGCGAACAGTTCTGGAAAGCTTTTGTTTCAGAGAATTTGAGGACCTGTAAACTTCTTTATTCCTTCTCAGTGTACACTGTTTTCCACCTGGCTTCCCCTCTTCAGATCAAACTTCAAGACTCTAGCAGAGAATAGTATTTTTAATCGCGAAATCTATAGGTGCAGAGATTGTAATACACTTTGAAGTCAATCTTTGTTCTAGTGCGTTTATTACTTTTTGAAAAATTCTTTTTCAAGGTATTTTGGCGATATTATGGTTTTTCTCTCATTTAAAAAAACAATTTAACTTTACAATAATTATTCCTCACAATTTTACGATTTTGTGAACTGCACCTCCTAAAAATATAAAAATGATCCTAAAAAATTAGAAACAGCATATAAACCCCATAATTTTTCCACTACTATATTTTTAGGAGCATTTTACAGCAGGAGATAGAAGAAACTTATTCATATCTTCAATTGTGCTGTTCAGCTCTTTTTGGGATGTAAGTAAATGTAGGGCCCTATGTGCAGGTAAACAAGGTGAAAAGACAAATCATATCGTTTACAGAGACTAATACTCAAAGTAACTGCTGTGGAATTTTCTATAAAAAGAGTATCTGGAGTCGATGTATGAACGGTGAACGGTCAAATTTGTTTTCCTACGACTCTTTGACTCACCTGATTGGTGGATCGCCAAGAAAAGATGGCAACATTACTAGCACTGAAATTCGGCTACTTGGTTCCAACGCTACGAAAAACAGACTCTCCTTCTTAAATTTCGTGTTTATCGATTTTGGGGTCTCATTAGCTGAATGACGACATGAGTGAATTGAAAACGTCTATAGAATACCTTGCTGAACAAAGCAATTATCAAGAGTCAAAAACAAAGCGCATATGTAATTCAACCAGTTAGGAATGATTTCGTTTTTACAGAGGATCAGCTTGTGCATCTATAGCAGAACCTTAAAAAATTGAACACTTTTTTCAGTGGCAAGTTGTATTGGAAGAAAATAGGTGGTGGAGTCAGGAGACAATTATTGATCGGAGGAGAGGCGACTTCTCTGAGCGTCATTGAAAGACCCAACACATAATTGAACGGTCAGAGAGGCTCTCCTATGAATTTTATTAGATTAGCACTTATGCGCGAGATGCGACTATAGCTGAAATCGCCCACCGTACTGAAATGAACAAACAAAAATATTAAATGCTCGGTTGGATTGAGTATGCATATTTTATTAATTGAGGACCGCGGGTCACGTGCCACGACAAAGACAGGATGCGCGTCTTAGAGTAGTCAGCCAAAGAATACCTTAGTCTTGCTTCTCTCCAAAAGCCAGTGCCAGCTCTTGGCGTTTAGTTCATTAGCTGTATGCTAGTCTAGATTCACACAAGGAACAAGAAACTCTGCCTGCGTGGTAATGGGTCCGAACAGAATCTATCAACTGACTCTTTGAATGCGCGATCAATGAGAGAGGGTTCTATTAACGAAAAATCAAACTAAGCGAAAAACTAGATACGGAAGCTTCAGAACACGGACCAGATCTGCTCGAAAAGCCCCAAGTTTCTGTAGCTATAAGCATACCAGTTATTTTGAGCATGTGGCCGAATAGTCGAAACCTCAGTGTACAGTAGCCGCTGACACATTTTACCCCGGATCTGTGCGCGCCCCGTTTCCTGGCCCTATTTTCCGGGCCTGATTTAGGCGCGATTCTCTGGCCCCACTGGCACCGTCCATTCAGGCCCCATCAAAACCTCGGAGTACACCCTCAGGCGACCCACAACCATAACAAAAATCACACGCTTGGACCCCGACTTTTTCAAAGCCCCAATAAAAACCGCCTCTGCACCCACAGGATAAACGACACCGCAAAAGTCGTCAGTCTAAGCACTCGTTCCCAGTCTTTTTGGGCTCTATGACTCTCCATTTCACGCCTGGCGATGCCAACGGCGCACTCAGTTCTCACCACCAGGCCCAGTGGCGCAACCACCACATTGTCGCCTACGGGCTGGGAAACAATCTCATACTCCATAGTGTCACTGACGGTCTGCGTCGGAGCCTTCAGACAATCTATCTTGCTGGAGACTTGACCTCCGTGGCTATAAACGAGCACACAGGGCTCATAGCGCTCTCATGCGGCACAACTGTGTGTATTTTCCGGCCTGTGAACGAGTACATGTCCGTGCCCAAATGGACCGAGGCTCTGCGCTTCTCGCCAGATTCGACGCAGGTCAATTGTGTGAAATGGGTGCCCCAGGAAAACGAATTGGCCGTTGGCTCGGATGCCCTCTGGCTCTACCACGTGGTTCTTGAATGCGGCACCGTCTCCAAAACCTTGCGCTGGACCAGGTCCCAAGCCGCGCCTGTGGAGATGCTCGACATCACTGCCGATGGCAGCAAGCTTGTCTCGTATACAAGCTCTCGCTTCGACAGTTTTGCCAAGGTGTGGATGCGGCTCAGCTACGGCAACACCACATCGCTCTTCGACCTTGTTTATGCAGACCACAAGGCAGAGCAGTATCTTTGTTTTCTCCAGTGGCGGGTGCGTCCCGTGGCAGTCAAACTGGACCTACACAGCAGCGCTTTGGCGCTGATGCTGCACATCAAAAACATCCGCAGCTTCATGCCGAATTTGATCCTGGAAGATAATGATATCTTGTACACAGTGACCAACGACAAGATGCTCCACGTGTGGGCCACATGTGAATTTAACGGGCATAGCTACCTAAAGCTATGGAGCCAGTATGACCTCACGACCGCGTTGGGCGACGACTTCATGTCGTTCTTACTCATCAATGGGGCTCACGCGCAAAATATATATGCGTTCGTGAAAAGTCAGATTGAGAGCAAAAAAAGTGGGAACGCACTTGATTGCGAGGCGTCTGGTGCAGATTTTCTCATACTCATAGGGTCTAAGAATTCCCTTCTCGTCCAGATCTCAAACGTGACTTGCAACCCACCTAATAGCATAAAGTATGACGCAATCTGCATTTTCCCCACATCCCAAATTTGTGTCCCCCGCTATAATCTTCAGGACGTGGTCGTTGATGAGCTGTCCCTTACACTCGAACACGACAAGAACATGCTCCTGGGTGAACTCTCAGCTCCAGATAGCCTTTCTGTTCAGAGATCAGTGGACAAATTTCTCACAGGAATGCTTCCTGTGGCTTGCACAAACACCATTTCGCTGCTGGACAGCTTGTCGACCATTAGTTTCTTGATCCACGACCGTGTGAAAAGCACATTAAGGGCCGTAGAGCTCAAACTTGGAGTACATCCAGAACTCCAATTGAAAGAAAAATTTCAAGGCCACGGTAAGTCGGTCAAAAAGTTATACGCGTCCTCCTCTTCACACGAGGGCAACATTATGCTTTCACTGCTGAACTTTCCTGATCATAACTACATATGGGAGCCGTTTGCACTTGAGAATTCGGGCAATTCTTCGATGGCAATTACGAAACGGTTTTGCCTTAACGTGACAAGAGATCCCAATGGAAATATTCACGAACAAGGGATCGAGAACGCCATTCTACTCAATGACATATATCCGCCGCACGATTCTTGCAGACATCATTTGGCAGTGGTTTTCGAAAAGGGTGGTTTCTTGAGTTTATGGGATTGTGATGGTGAGACAATGGATGACAAAGAGGTAGAATTGGTCACTCGGATGGAGACCTCAGGTACACATGATTCCCGCTACAGCTCGCCTAAGGCTTTCTTTCTGAAATCTCTCTCTGATGTCTCGTATGTCATTGTGGCTATATACGATCCATCAACAATTGAGGCTTGGAGAATTGATGTCTCGCAAACCGCAAATGGAGATGACGGCAGATTTTTCTGTGAGAGGGTATGGGCAGACTCGCTTCCAGGAAATCACTCTGAGTTATCCAGAATAGCAACTGTTGAAACGTTTCTAGAAAATGACATCACGATAATTGATCAAAATGGTTTGTTGAGATCAATTGCCCCAGAATACAACTCGGATAAAAAAATCATTAATTGGAAAGAAACTCGGTTGATACATACAAACATTGAAAAGGCATCGCTAGTCCATGGGGCATCACTTGTTAGTAAGATTGCCATTGTGAACCAAAAGGGAAACACTCTCACAATTTGGGACAGTAAAACTGGAGTTCTTGAATACGAAGAAAACTTTCCTGAAGAATACGGGCCTGTGAGAGACCTTGATTGGACGTTTCTTGGCTCGATTGGGTCAACTGCAAATACTCTTCTTGCAGTTGGATTTTCCAGATTTGTGCTTTTGTACACACAGCTCCGTTATGACTATACGAACAAGGTATCCACTTTTGCTGCCTTGAAAAAAATCGATATATCCGATTACTCGTCACATGAAATTGGGGATCTGATCTGGTTAGATGACTCGTATCTCGTGATATCCAGCGGTAATCAATTTTTCATCGACGACAAATGGGTGCAGTTTGGCCAAGGAACGGAGGCATTGAGTAATAACTCGATAAGCTCCACTATTAGTCAGTTGCTATTGGGATACAAATCCGATCAGTCAAGATACCCAATTGCCGATCTAGTAAGGATTTTGAATGGTCCATTGCCAGTATATCATCCGCAATTCTTAATTCAGGCATTATTAATGGGTGAGGTTGAACTTGTTGAAGCAGTCATGGTCAAGCTTCTCAAGACCCTTCGTACTGACGCTGATATTGCTTGGAATCTTGATATTCAAATGGTTGACTTGATGACTGTGAAGGAGACTAAGAACATTAAGAAACGCTCGTTACTTGATGCAAAGTTTTCTGCGCATGTCGATATATTCGACTCCTTCAACCCAAATGTGGCAGATCTTCTCTCAGAAAAACTCATTTCAATTTCACTTCCTTTATTGACCAGACACCAGCAAACTACCTTGAGAAACCTCGTAATTCTCTTGAACAAACTTGCCCCTTTACGAAATTCATTGGATTCAAACGGGATGAAGTTCATGTACGGGTTTGAATTATTCAAGTCCTCACATAAACAGAAAAGGCTTACTATGAGGGACATCAACTGGGCTGTGCACAGCGACCAGAAAGAGATGCTCTTTTCAACAATTGAAAATCACTATCATAGGCTTACTTGGAACTCAGTTAAGGAAGTAGGATTGGCATACTGGGTGGACGTACACAGATTGAGAAAAACGATGGAAAGTGCGGCCAGAAATGAGTTTGCTGACGAGAGAGACCCATCAGGAATTGTGTCTATTCTTTATCTAGCAATCAAGAAGAAACAGATTCTACTTGGGCTATGGCGCACTATATTTCATCCAGAAAAAGACAAGGTTGTTAAGTTTTTATCCAACAATTTCTCCGAACCCCGGTGGCAGTCTGCAGCTCTCAAAAACGCTTTTGTTTTGCTAGGAAAGCATAGATATATGGATGCTGCATATTTTTTTTTGCTTGCGAATAAAGTGAAAGATTGCTGCATGACGTTGTGCAATAAAGTACAGGAATTTGATCTTGCCTTGGCAGTAGCTAGGGTAAACTCAGATGAAGATGCTGTGAGAACTGTGTTGGAGCATTATATCCTACCCGAGGCTCTTGAAACAGGTGATAGATGGACTACTAGCTGGGCTTTCTGGGAAATGAAACTCAAAGAGATCTCGATTCAAGCTTTGGTGATGTCTCCCATTGGTGTCGTTCGGAAAAATGCCGACCATTTTTCAGAATCCTTTCTCAAAGAAACAGAAAAGCTCGAGATCAGAACAAAAAGCAAGAGCTTTTTGAGAGTAGACCCCATGCTAGGTGTGTTGTACCAAACGCTCAGAACTTCGAAACTGAGATATTTGGAAGGGTCTAAGGACGTACTGCCTGAAGTTGAATTTGAATTTGTGGTTCGATTATCGTCTCTCTACTCAAGAATGGGCTGTGATTACCTATCACTTTCACTTCTTCGCAACTGGAAGTTTCTCGATTATTCGCAATCTAGTCAGTCGAAGGAAAAGGACACCATTACCAAGGGAGCGCTTACGGAATTCTCGAGTGTGACGAAACAACAAAAGCTCGTTCCAGAGCCTTCCACTTTTGAGGAGCCTGACATGAGTGCTTTCTCATTCGGTTTCTGACATTAGTTTAAATGTGCTTAGTTTTTTCAACAGGGCTTTCGCTGATACAAAAAAGATGACAAAAAAGATGTATAGGGTATATTAAGATTTGAAAAAAGAAATTTACATCATCAAAATATTGACTTTTTATTCCCGAAAAATATAAAAAATAAACCTCACCCGGGACTCGAACCCGGAGTCTCCCGCTTAGGAGGCGGATGCCTTAACCATTTGGCCAGAGAGGCTGTTGGTGATAATCAGCCTTGAAGATGGGATCTATCGACAAAGAGTAATGACACAGATAATTCAATGTATTCTTGAGAGTTATTGTTCGAATGCTTTGTTCGAGTTGGCATATATCTTTACGTATGATCTTAAGATGCGGCGACTTAGAGAATAGCCCTACAGGCCGTCAGAAGGCGTGGCGAGTCGCAGGAAGTGGGATCCTTAAGTCCGCTACAACCAGCCGAGTTGAAGCGACTACTACAGGAGACCTATCCTAGGAGTCGATGACGTAATATCCAATACGTAAACAGATACGTGCCATGAGGACTGTCCAGGCCGTGACTAACGGAAGGGGACGGGCCGAGCTAAGACACTTGGTACGTAGCTGGGAGCTGTTTAAAGGTTTTTATATATATTCGTTATATAGTTTTGCCCCTTTAAGCAGATGAATCTACCAAAAAAAAAAAAGTTTCTAATTAAACGAATGAGAGTATTGGACAGCTATCTACGTACTCGGACTGTGAGAGAAAATTTAGGATAAAGATCAATATCAATGAATAATATAATTTTGACATGGGTTTTATCTTACCTTTATTCTTATCATGTATCCTAGGTGTTTAAAATTATGATGTAACCAAGGAGAAGCCTCGGTGACTCTTACCACTGTAATATCTTTGAAAGAGCACCAATTAATATGATGAAATGTGATGCAGGCCTGATGAATGTGTATCTGCATCGAACATGTCTGGCGATCTTAAGACGTCAAACTTGTTAAACGTGCTAAACGTACCAAACGTGCCAAACGAGCTGAAAGTGCCAAATATGTCAAAGTTTCCGGCTATGTGCATAAACTTTTCAATCAATGACGTAGTATACAATACGTAAACAGACACGGGCCAAGAGGACCGTCCAGGCCGTGATTAGCGGTAGGGAGCGGGTCGAGTTCCACACTTATCTAGGGCTGGTTAAAGGATTTTTACATATAGTGCTGTATAGTTTTGGTCCTTTGATCAGATGAATCCACCGAAAAAAAAAAAAAAAATTCAAGAAGACACAAATGTTCGTGCGCCATCAAAATGATCAGTGAAGCCAAGTTGCGCAACTAATCCGAATATACCTGGAGTTTTCATTAGTTAACAGCAGCCCGGCTGCTTTGAAGATCGTCTTCGTAGGCCTGGAGTATGAGCGTGATTGCAACAAGTACACGTGTGTGGAAGTCGACCCCATCGTTAGAGTCGGGCTCTCCTGTAGCATAGTTGTATAACGTGAACATCGAGCATTTTTTTGTTTTTTTGAACACTTTCCACGACAGATGGTGTTCGAATGTTCCCCGTCGATGGGGAGACAGGTAAAAAGACCGGTCATGAGAGCCGAGCTTCACCAGGAAAAGATTGTGAAGCCGGCCACCAAGTAACGGATTGTCTTTTCTCACCTTCAAGGAAGAATTCAAGTCATCCACTAGACTCGCCTGGTCTGGGGTTAAAAGGTACAAGTCATATATAAAATGGTCCGGATTCATGGCTGAGTTAACGGCCTTCACAAAGCGGAACCGCTCATTGTCAATGTTGAAGTCCACTATTGGAAGTCGCGAGTGCACGATGATGACAATTTCGACACCTTTGATCTGAAGCCTGTATCGATAGTATCCTATGTATTTGCGCCGGAGAACCTCCCCAATTGGCCTGTTATCAACCTTATCGTAAAGTCTGTCTGTCGCTTCAGGAGCAGAAGCACATTCAAAAAAGTGAAGATAAGTTGTGTCACCGAGGCCCATCCTTATTGAACGCTTGGCAGTAAAAAGAGGTAAGCCGACGGATCTGTTCTGGTTGTCTTTGGCGCGGGAAAAGTCCTGGTGCTTCTTCGATATTTTACAGTATTCTTGAAACATCCGCAAGGCGTTTTCAGAAACAAAAGCTTTGAGACTCATGCCCATGAACCCACTTGCAATGACGTATTCCTGATATTCCATGGCCGGGTAACTTGGAGGTGCCCCCAGATTGAGATGGTTGAGCCCGGACACAACCGGAGAAAGTTTAAGAAAATCAGCTTCTTCCGGGTAGAATTCAGCATCCTCCGGGTCACGAGAAGAGAGTTGCACACCAAAGTTATGTATTTCTTGTTTGGAATCCATTGCCGCAATTCCAAAGTAGCAGAATGGTGTCTGGCAAAACACAAAGTGCTGTTTTGCAATCCACGCCTATCTTCTCTCCATGGCTTTGCGGCAGTATGTGCAGGTCTACATAGAGGCGAGTCATTCGAAACTTGGGGAAAATCATCAAGCTGCAGTATCATGACATTAGCGCATGGCCATGAACCTGTTGCTCATTCTAAGCCGTAAGACATTTTTAGTAATTCTTTTTTCCTTGGTGCAGCAGATTTCACGTGGAATTAGCCCAACCTAGATATTAGGAACCAAATTCTCTATCATACTCATCGATGGTTCATTATTTGGCATAGTTCAGACTCATTCGTTTTTGGGCGCGCAGAAGCGGAATAAACATGCCGCGCGGCTTCTATGCGTATTGCTTCCTGGAACTAAGGAGATTCGGAACCAGAAAACTTATTGATAATAAATGTAGAGTTGTGGTATCATTATACCTGGAGTTGACTGGAACTTATATAATCAACCTCCAAAGAACAAGAGGCCTCTCACCCTCAAAAAAACAAAAAAACAAAATACAAAAAACAAAAAACAAAAAACGAACTTTTCAGTACTCGATGGGCGATCCGCACAATGTGCAATTCATGTGACATACTGGATATCTGACACTTGTAGTTTGCAATCCATTTACACTCCCTCGTAGATTTATGAACAATAAGCCGGGGGACATCTAATCAAGTCTTTGCCTCTTTGATGAACTAGTGTGTCGTCTAATGAAGAAATACCTTTTGATGAGCTAGTGTCTCTTTTGCTCCAAAATGACGTCTTTTCAATTAATCCAATTTTCTTCCTTCATTAGCTCTTTAAAATTCTTTCGCTGTCAATGCCTAGCTTCACTCAAACAAGCCCCTACGAATTGTTCCTTTGATTTTGTGGACTAAATCACTGATGCTCACATTTGTTGTAGAACTCGAAATCTACACGTATTAGATTGTTTTTGTTCTATTCCCCTTTTCAAGGCCTAAGTTCCCTAGTCCATCAAACGTTTGTCTATCATACCCGCTAACCTCCATGCCCTTCTTCATCATGTCTAATTCTATCACGTCAGTGTATTGTCATGTCTCCGCCATGACGCTTATATCTCCACTTCGTGGTATATCATTTCTTCCGAGGCCCAGCCCGCCGAAGCCACTACATCCACACTGGGATTGGAAGCATCAAGCGCATCGCTCTCTCCTTTCAAAGGATCGAATTGCATGATGCTGGAAGAGCCACCATACAAGACCTGATCCTCTATACCGACACGGTTGCAAATGACAACTGTGGTGCGCTTTGTTTTCCTCGGAAGCCCGTTATATGGGTGGGCCAAAAAAGGAAAGAGCCGCACAATCCAGTAATCCACTAGCGACTGCGTGGGTACTCCCGCGTTTCCCAAGGAGTTGGCAGCGATCTGGTCTTGGTAAAGCGCTGCCTTATTTGCCTTTTCTATCTCCGATAAACCTTCCTGGATGGACGGAGAATCCGAGGAAAGCCACGCGGTGGGAACGATGATTAAAGACGCGTCATTTTTCCAGCAGTTCATTGAAAACTCGAACTCATTGAAATCCGCTTTGAACTGGTACGGATTCATGTCCATGCAGATGCCAATATTTGCTGTCACCAGGCCCACTTTCTCACCTTTCGCCCCAGTTTTGTCAGGCAACAGAAGCGTGAACGGAGGAAACCCACGCACAGGATTTTCTGAACAGCCCCAGGCTTCGTCTGTTTCATAGAGATGTGACTTGCGGTAGTTTGAAACTACATATCCTTTTTCATCCACCACCAATGCAGAGTTATACGTGAAGGACCCAAATTTCTCAGGGTACCCTATCACTGTAGTGCATTTAAACTTCTGGGAGAGCAACCTGGCAATTTTGAAAGAAGCCCCCTCGCCGGATTTTTCGAGATAAGGCTCGATTTCTTTAGCCAGCTTGAAGTTGTAGCCGGTCACTGCGAGTTCCGGAAGTACCAAAAGATCGATTTCCTTCTGACAATCCGCCATCATGCGGTTGATTTTCGCCACATTGGCTTCCACCTTACCCAAAAGTGGGTTCAACTGAAGACACGCGATTCTGAGCCTCATCTTCAATATCGACAGGCTATCTGGGGATCAACTCTGGTCTCGATGGATTCACAATGTAAGCCTGGCCAGGCCAACCTTCGCCAGTGAGCATTCGGCCGGCGCACGACTAGGATGCAAGATTTACCTCGAAATCGCCCTTGGGACGATATATTTCACCCTTGAAGTCATTCGGGACAGCTCTCCAAATAATTTGTTTGAGGATAACCGGTGTGTTGCTATAACCTTCGTTGCTTTTATGCCGTACATATTATGATGGTGAGTGTTCCCAGAAATTATGTAATCATCCGTAATTCAATTGATAGAACAAGTTAGTAGAACTCAAGTAATTTCCTGCAAGAGAAAAAGCTCCCATAATTGTCGTAAAATTGGCTAGTATGTCAACATAGGGTGTGAAGAAGAAGTCCATAGTCACAAACTATTTCTTTTCGCCAGTATTCCTCCCACATTTCCGGCTCAGTCAGTAAGAAAATAGTTTCGTGACCCATGGCCGTATGGGTCATGAAGAGAACCAGTAGGCTATCTTTCTAGAAAATAAAACAAAGCGGCAAAAGATCTAAGCTCTCTGTATACTATCGAGAAATAAGGCGTGTCTCAGAGATGTGAAGAAAATGCTCTTCAATCTTTCGTAATAGTCAAGCGAAATATTTTCTGGAAAAGACCACCAGTTGTATTCCTACTGGTTTTATATGCGTGTCTTTACGAAGAAAATATGCAATAAGGCTCATGAAATCGTGTTCTCGTGTCAGTGACACTCTCTCTATCTGATTCCTACAAAGATGAAATACTATCACTTTTCTCGGTTGAACGTTCTCAGAATACTTACGCCATCATTGTAAATACTGTCTTCAATCCACACGAGGATCACTGAACTACTAATCCACGACACATTTAAATCATGGAATGAGGCATAAACTGTAAACTACAAATGAAAGCGATGTACTGTTCAAGCCTCAAATTGCCACCTGTCCCAGAAATGGTATCTTGAAAACAATAGACAAAGTTGTCTTCTTGATCGCACCAATACCAGAAGAATGAAAAGAGCACTAGCAAATACACAACCTAATCCAAGTCCTCTGTGCCTGGCATCCCCTGAAACAAACGGTTATAGCATGAACTACTTTTGTCTTTGAAGTGATCGTATGGATGATCCTGGTCCAAATAAGCACTGCACAAATGACAGAAAAACGTATAACAGTGTGAGCACCTCATCTTGTTACAGCCCTCCAGCCTCTGGACGACTATGTCACAAGTAGGACAGGTGCTGAAATCGTGCAGTTCTGTTTGTAACATTTCATTGAATAGCTTGTCCATGGTGTATTCATCAGCCACTTTTTTGAGAAGTTCATGTCCGTATTTGCACCTGAGTTCGTTCCCCGCAGGCGAAGACTTTCCATCGGCAATCCAGACTTCGATATCTTCAATCGCTATGCCATGATACAACCTCTCATCTTTTTTTCGGGAACAGTCGATGCTGCTACTGTGAAAAGATTTGCGGCATGTATTGCAAAAAGCATACTCGCATTTTCGGCACACAACAAGCCGGTCCTGGGTGTTTTCTCTAAAGATCATTGCAGGACAGTGGCTGCGGGGACATGCAACTAGCCGCATGGGAAATAATTTGGCAATTAAAGCATGCTGGTGGGCCGCGTGAATTGTGGTGTATTTTTCAAAAAGCGCTTTTCCAGCTGCAGTTTGGCCCAATATGCGCTGGAGCACATGTGCCTCAATTGGAGGGTCCATGATTTTACGCTTAAAGTTTTCAAAATCGAAGTTTGGTTGTGTGGCGAAGTCTAGGCGGAGTTGCTTTTCTCGCTCTAGAAGCGCTAGTCTCCCACATTCAAATTCCGGACAGTGTACTTTTTCGACCTCGCCTGCTTCAATCAAAGACTCGAAAAAACTTCGGACACAGGCCCGGCAGAATACATGCCCACACCCTGGAAACTGCACGCACTTTTCTCCCTTCAAGCCTCGCTGGCAGATCTCGCATGTGAACGTCGACGCATTGAATGCTAGCTGGCTCTTTTCCCGGTCATACGCTAGAATCTCGTCGTAATAGTCCCGACTACCTTTACAACTTATATAGTTCCCCACAAGTGTCTTGGAATGTTCCAGTGCTTTTTGTTGGAGGAAATCCACCATCGCAAATAAAACCTGGTCTTTTGTATTTCGCCAGATCCCTAGCATTTCTGAGCAGAAGCCCCCGAGTGTTTCCGGTGGGAAAGCGGATGAGGAGATTCTGATTTCGGGGGGCTCTTTGTAGGGATATAGCTCCGGGAGTTGGAAGCTAAACTGCAAAGGCGGGAGAGAAGTTACGCAGCTATCCTCTACATGGGTTTCCGACGAAAGAATCACTGGCACAGGATTCTCAAGATCTATAGGAATACTCACTTTCCCTGAGAAGGCCACAGCATCGATGACTGCCAAATCCAGATAGATGGCTTCTATTGTCTCGAGCTCTTCAGAGCGAGCATCAAATCCGTCCATGGCTAAAATTGCCTTTTTTATGAGAATATCGAATGCAATAGTTTCAATACAAGAAACACAATTACATATATGTCGGGTGGAGCCTGCTTATGCTTGTGAATCTGGGTTTTGGTGCTCTTCAAATGACCTGATGGCAGATCAGCAAACTGGTCACGTGACACACCGCGAGACAGTCACCGGTAGCTTGCAAAAAGATAACCACGTTTTGAACGGGCAGTACATTACTTCCAGCCCACGAGAAAATAACAGCTAATCAGATGGCACTGGGCAATGAGCCCTGTCACGCGAGTGAAAATACCTGATGTGGCCAAACGCAGTCCCATTCAAAACGTCCCAATTTCTTGTATATAATTTGAAATCAGTTGGCTGAAATGTCCCATCATTTGAAAAGTCTTGATTAGGAGCAATAGCATTGGTTTTGCGTGGTCTTTCAATTACTGAATTATGGTGGTATGAAAGGCTGGCGAAATATTCAACACTTGGTTCCATAAACGCAGGCGATGAGAGAGAAGCCATAGGAAAGCACCTCACCAGCTTTATGCTTTTCAAGGCTAGTTAGATTTTCGCGCACAGCATATTTTGGGACTTGCTAATACTCACGTATCAATCAAGGTTTTAGCATTTTTCAATATCGAGCATGGCGCAGCCAAAGACTCGAGAAGGGTGCAAAATATTTCATACTTCAGAAGAATTCCATGCATGACTCGCAACAAGTCAAACAGAGTAACGTAAACATGCACGCTATAGTTGGACCGCGGCGTGATGCTGTGGAAATAACTCCACACTCTCTTGGCAACCATGTTGTGTTTCATCAGTTCTCAAGATAATATGGTCAATTCGTGTGAGTCGAATAGCATGTTATCGTTGCTTCTTTTTAGAATTCTAGAACAAAGTACTCAATACTAAAATCTGGCTAAGAAAATTATTAGTTGGCAATATCAAGCCAAGTGTTTAAACGAGAGGGTCAATTTGTTCCTACAGTGGGGAAAAGAAAAAAAGCCCACTCTGATAATTTCTCAAGTAAGGGATATGACTCATTGAGAAAGAGGGGGAGGTGAGTGCTTGGATACGAGATGCGTATTTTTCCTGGGCGCAGATTCTGCGGCGTCACGCGTATATTTCTGACACCCCACACTACGCTGCGATCGGCCCACCCCGCATTCCGGCCCTATCACGTGACCGCAGTATAATATCTGTTCAAGCCGTCTCGTTTTCCTTGTTTTGGGGACGCGCCTCAGAGGAGCAAATAGATAATATTTCTTTGCTCAGTCTATCCTCGCAAGCGCGTCTTTCAGCGTGGTTTGGACGTAAAACGGGACCGCATGTCACACCACAATAACAATCCTGCACAATGACCGATCTCGTGCATGGGGTCATTCCTCGAATTTCAAGGAAGATCCAGCTTCGAGATCCGCCCCGTATATAAAGGGCCAACCCCCCTATTCCTTTTTTAAATTATCATACAATTTTACAATTGATACTACAAACAAGACCAAAACACAAGCAACATGACGAGAACAAAGAAATGGACTGTACACGAGAAGGCGTCGACCCCCAGATTTTTCACCCATAATGGCCATTTTAATACAGACCCCAATAAGGTCAACAAGAATGGAAGCGGCAAGTTCAACTGGGGCAAGCCAGGCGACGAGCTTATGGATGAAAGTGAATTTCCTAGTACGGGCAGACGGAATTCAAACCACATGGCAAATGAGCAGGATATGCAAGACATTTCACGTGCCTGTAATTCCAAGCTCGACTTGAAGTAGGACGCTGGGAGTCCACGCATGTCGCGCCAATATATAGTGAGTATTGAGAAATACTGTCAATTTCAAATACAAAAAACATGATTTATGGAATATTTCACAAAGCGATGTAGTTGAGGGGGTGGGGATGGACAGTAATTAACTTTACCGCTACGAGTCAAAGTGCTGTATCACATCTTGGATAATGAAACTGGATCGAATGGGAACGAAGAGAGGAAGCAGCGCTTGCAGTGATACTTTATTGCTTGGATCTTTTATTTTCGCTGGAACTACGCCTTGGCTAAATTCGCTTGGATCGTCATGGAGTTGAATTTATTGCATATTGCTTTGCACTACATCTGCTCGGAACACGGCTCTGGAAACAGCTGCTGAACATTGGAAGCAGAGACAATACTTGGGACAGCCCCAGCGTCACTTCATGGAATTAGAAAAACGCCGACAGCCCGCTACGCCAAATCCAGAACCACACAGCCAAACCACCGATATCAGCATCTGGGTGCAGCATAAAGTCCGGAACGAAATTACCGGCACAGGGTCCACATACTGGAACCACAGACTTGAAGCGAAGGTCAAGTCGGGACCCTAGTTTGGCCAGGCCTCTACCGCGCCTCCTCGGCCTTCAAGCGCTTCTCGACCTCCGCCTTCCAGCCCTTTCTCGCCTGGCGGTCCTCGTACGCCTTTTTGTTGCTAAGCACGCGCTGCACAATTACCTCAGTATTAATGCCCGAGTACTTGTGCTGAGGAAGCTGTTCGAAAAGCAGCGCCACGTCCTCGTACACCCCAGCGGCAACGGGCGTGGCCCCGTGGAACACACGGACTACTTTACCCGGCAATTTGTCCATAAACTCACCGCTGGGAATATATGGGGCGCCAATCACGAGCGCATCCACGTAGCGGCATTGCAACACACAGAGCGCACGCTCAAACAAGCTCATGATCGGGTAGTTGAGCCCCTTTTGCTCGTTGATCACCTTGTCGTCATGGAGCCCCACCACCACTGCAGCCCCGGTCTTGGCCGCCTCCACACGCACCTGGCGCAACGCCTCGATGTGGCCCGGGTGGAAAAGATCAAAGCCACCGTCCACATACACAATGTCGCCCTGCGCCATTTTGGCCCGCACGCTGGCGGAGGCCTCCACGATGTTTTCAAGCGGCGCTGGCCCGCCAAGATTCACCCACACCCCCGGCCCGCGGCCGAGTCCGGTTTCGTCGGACGCGTAGTTGCGGATCCGTTCCATGGCGCCGTCGGCGGCTAAAAGCGGGTGCTGCGCCAAGGCGCCCGTGGCCCCAAGCGCCGGCAAATGGTGTGTCTTGCTCATGAGGAGCATGCGCCCGACTAGATCCGTGGTCAGAATGTTGGGCGTGCGCCGCACAACCACAAACATGCCCAACTCCTTCACGCCCTTGTAGCAGTCCTCGCCGTGGGCGTCTGTGGTGATGTCGTCGCCATGCACCACGTATTTGCACCCATATTTGGCTATGAATGCGGGGTCCGTCACGTACGGCGCATGGGGCACAGCCTCGGTCAGCCACTTGCATGCGTTGACTGCCGCTAGCCGCTCATCAAGGGCCATGACTACGGGGCCCTTATTGTGCAAGATGTCCTCATCTGAATGCACGCCTACAAAAAGCTCTTTGCCCAACTGGCGGGCCTGAAGCATGGCGCCAGAATGGCCTGCACGCTGGTGTTAGTATAGAAGGGTTAGGTAAATGTGGGACTGGATTTTTTGTGGCTTGCCCGTGAATGTTTTGCGGCTTCTTTAGCCCAGTTTTTGGGGGAATTCTTGGGCGTCGATAGGGCTCTTGCTGCTCCCATCCAAGGTCCTTGTCGCCATTGCTGCCTTCCGCGGTCACGTACCATGGTGGGCAAAATCAAAGCACCCGTCGACCCAGATCCGCTCGTTCTCGATGCCTGCAGGTCTGGCGTACATTTTGTGATTTCTGACCAGGAAGAAAGAGGTGTATAGTTAGGTAAGATGGGTGCATTTTGCAATCGGACGTGAACGCTCACCGGGGCATGTGTACAGGACACCCCTACATGCAGATCTATCTTTACTTCTGTGCCACGTGACGCCTGGCAATTTCCTCCAAAATTCCGTGGGCCAGGGATACAATCAATTGGCGGGGAGTCTCAGATATAGTCAAAAGATCATCATTTATTTGAGGACATTCACAGTGATGCGCGGCTTGCAAGTAAATTTCTCGCACTGCTAAGTTTTCTCAATCGGGCGCGGGATTAAAAGAGGTCTATGATCTATGATTGCCATGATGCCTTTTCGGGATCAACTTTTGATATAATGGGGACTCAGAGCTGCGGGAACGACCCTGCTTTTTTGTTTGAAAAGAAATAGGTGCCCGATTCCTTAAGAGGCACATCATCATAAGAAGTCCTATAATTGACATGATAACCATTATTTCACTACTTAGAACAGGCTCATTTCTGTTGATAAAGGATCTGTCTTCGGTATCACATGGCAGAAACTTTATTTAACCTTTTGAATCTGGAGGTAATACACGATACCAGTCGAGCACAAACGGCTCTGCATGAACACGTTATAATTTTGCTACTTATATCAGACGAGTCCTGAATCACAGGAAGTATAGATTCAAAAAGATATGTCTTGATGGAAAAACTAGAAAATGGGCGCCAGCGTCTACTCATCACTTATAGCCCATCACTGAATGCCATACATTAGACCTGAAGCTAAAGGCCCAACCCACTGCTGAAACTGGAATCATTGGCTTCCTATCGAGACACAAACCTCTCAAAAAACTAAAATTTATCTTGAATCGTATGATTGTGGTCCTCAATTTTGGAGTAGAAATGACAACCTCAGGTGAGAGCTAGGTAGGAACTGATGAAGAATAAAGTTTCAACATAGCGGCGACTGGGAGGACTTTATCCTAAACCTATTATGATGTGATGTACTAAGATTTTCTCGATCACACTTTTATTCTAGACAACAATCACAGATACTGTATTTTAGGTGATGTAGATACTGACATTCATTCTGCATGTGTTGGTGGGGATGAATAGCGAGATGATGTGGATTTTTGCCTGCGAGACCTGCTTTCACTACTATAAATTAAAAAGGGATACGGGCTCTGAGAGATCTGAGGTCTTATATAGTCGATCAAGCATATCGTGACCTGATTTGGAAGGAAAACTTCAAAAAAGGGCCCCGGTCTCTTCTGCAAAATAGCTCACCTGGAGGCTTCACTATGTATGAGGTGAGTTTAATTAGTGAAATGGATTCTCATATCGACGGTTGCGCCACGTATAAATACAGCAGTTTATCTCAGTACAAACACCAAAAATGGGGAATGTGCTCAGGACACGATGGAAAAAAAATGATTCCCCGAGAAGTATTATCAATAGCCCTCTCGTCAAAAAATTCAGCCATTTGATTGTATGAACTTTTTCCGCCCTGATATAAGTCGTGTAGTACGATTATATTCGATTGTCAGCATTTTCCTTAGACGGTTTCTATTTAGGGAACTTATTATTTCTTTTTGCATTAGAAGAAATCACGCCAGAGATGCGTGTCTCTGATGCAGTCTGGCTGGCTGTCAAAAAAAAGTCTCTTCAAACTTTCGCCTCTTCTTGGCAATATTAAACAGGACAGAGTAGAAAATTTGATTCAAAATTGAACAAAAAATACAACACATTGCTATGAAGTTTTTGACTCAATTAACTGTCAGAGGTTCCTGAACTGAAATGGATTATTCCTCCTTTTTTCAAAATACCAGGTTAAACTGCTACGTAAACGTAGTGCTGGTAATCGGTACTCAACAATAAAATAGGCTCAAGATGGCAATAATAACACCCGTGGTTATAAGATTCTGTAGCCTAATGTAGTATATCCTTGGAATTTCAGAGAAAACCAAGGGAATTGACGTTGGTTTGGGAAAAAAAGTAGGAACAAATGTCATCCTTTGTCTTCTGATGGGTTTTCACCCACATCTTAGCCAGTCTCTTATATACCGAAATCTATGTGAAATTATGGGGACCACTGGTAAGAATAGAAAGTCTTGTTGCCTGATGTTAATTGATCTAACTTACGTTTCCTTCGCATCTTGTGACGTACAATTTTCCCCGAAAAAAATTGACTAATTGCTCAGAGGATTATTTTAGCTGTTTTCTTAACATTCTGCAAAAACACTTCGGTAAATTTCTCGTATGGTGAATTTAGGTTATGCGTTCTTCCGTCTAAATAGAGAATTCCGGTTACTCTTGTATGCATTGAGCCCTGGAATCAGGACTAAAGACAATAGTATAAAATATATGTCTGTCGGTGATTTATTCTCACCATAAATGCAGAAATTATATTTTTCTCATTCACTATTAATGCATATGATCTCATAAAACAAAAAAAAGCTCAAACCTGAAGAATCTTTCACTATCTTGGTGTATACCAATTACAAAGCTTACAACGCTTTGATCGCTCAGATAATCCATAACATTCAGAAGGGATAACCAATTAATAATGTAAATATGTTTCATAAGAAAACGGAAGGGGGGATGATTATGAAACCTGAACAAATATTACTTTAAGCAACTCAAGTACAATACATGCGTCATAGTATGACCCGCTACCGTCAATGTGAATAGATTCTCGCAGGTGTCCGTAACGCAAAAAATAGAGTGCGTTGATAGCTTTATTCACTCAAAGGGCTATACTAATTGACGCCCACAATCATAACTCATTCATTGTTTTATTTGGGCTTGATAGTTAGAGAGGTATATAAAGAGAGATGTATCCATCTCAGATTATTTATCTATTTCCAAACCTAAAGTCTCTTTATAATGAAATTGTTCACCGCATTGTCGTTTGTTGCTTTGGTCCTTGCTGCACCCCGTCGTGTGACGGTAGGCCGATTAGCCATTCGAGATGTGAACAGTGACCCCGATATTCCAGACGAATACTTTGTTGTTTTGGATGAAAATGCAATCTTTTTGGTCCAAGAATCTCCGTTCAACTTTAAATTTTTAGAAGGATATGTTACAGCAGAAGTAGGCAAAGAACAGAAATACATGGGTATCAATGAGAAAAATAAACTTGCGTTGGTCGAGAACAAAATGGGGTTAAAGATTGTTGGCGGATTTTTGAAAATGGGGGACGAAAGTGTTTTTCAGCTCTGCAGTGACAACACCCTCGCTTTAGGAAGCGACTGTGATGTGAAGCAAATAATTCAGATAAAATTTGTTCCTGACTCTTGGTAGGAATTATTTTCAGTAAATTCAGAAAGTTTTTGATATTGATTTCGGCTACACCGCGTCAAAATTATACTTTTGAAAATATAAATGCTGTCAACGGGTTATTCCAATGAGAAAAAACATTGAATATGTAAGGTCCTTGGTGTCAGCTTGACACTAATGATCACTGTAAGCGCATATATAGTTATATGCAATTCTATTATTTTGAGTTCCGTCAGATATCATTTCGGACAACTCATGGAGTATTCTCTCGAGTTCTAAAGGTTCCGTTCACGTGACCCTGGAAAAAGTATATGAGGGTGGAATAAAACTCCTGTAGAGCTCTAGAGAAACCAGTGATCAAGTAGTACTACGTACTACATGAACCCTATGTTCCGTGAAGTCCTTAAAAGAATAGAACATCTACTCCTAAAATCTAAGGGTACGCAATGAGTCCAATTTTTATTATACATCTGGGATGATTCATTGGAACTTTATTTTTCAAATGTGTAATCTCAGAAAAATGACTGTGGAAGACTTTGCGAAACATTCTGTACTGCTTTGCAATTAATAAAAAGGGAATCGTATTTGCCTATGACCCCTGTAGCGGGAAAAGTCCTAAAAATGGGAAAAACATTTGATGAGAGATGACGGCTTGAGATATTACGAGAGAATTGAGCAGATCGGAATAAGCCTCCAAAAAAAAATTACTTACTCCTAAATCCAAAGCAAAAAACATGACAAAAAAGCAATTAGTATGGTGTACTTCAGTGAATGTTCTCATGAGAGCTGAGACAATAGTATGAAGATATTATTGCGTAATGAATTTCAATGGAGATCATCACAAAGTTCAAGTCTTACTTATGAAGACTGAGAATTTGACGGTGAAGGAAGCAAAAGTATATTTCGGGCTTCGCTAAGAGAGATACGCCAGAATATTCCGTAGAATACTTCTTATTTATGTCGTGTTAAGTGCAGAAAAGTGAGCTTATTTTATTTTGAATTACATTGGTGGCCTTAAGTACTTTAAACAAGTTAAAGAATAAACAAAAACTTCTTATTGTTTTGATAGAGGAAAGAGAGCACAATCTTTCAATGATATATATAAAAAACTTCAAACAACTTGGAGGTCCGGACTAAGAGTAAAAGCTAGCCCACCTTCGGGAAATGCGGCTTGGACGATCGTTTTGGCCTGCGTCTGTTTGAGTGTTGGATATTACTTCGGATTTCTAGGATAAGTCCCTCTAGTAGTTGCTTCAACTCAGATGGCCGGAGCGGAATCAAGGAGTTTCTTTCTCGCTACTCGCCACGCCTTTGGTTGTATACCTTGAAAATCGTCGTGAGAAACCAATTTAATTTTATTAAGTTTTCCTAAGAGTTGTCAGCCGGAGCCAATATTGCGTTGGAACTGGCTTGGTTAATTTAGCTCTTGCCACCGGTATTTGCACGTTTCACAGTTGTTGTGGGTATGAATTGGGAATGCATCTGTGGCGTCTCTGTTGTTGTGGATATTAAATTTGCTGCAGAAAGATAAATATTTCAGTTATCAAAGGAAATTTAGTCCGGAAAGCTCACATGAAAGTTGGCGTTTTTTCTTTAATAGTATTATGTTAGCTACATTTTCTTTTTGCAAATGTTTTCTTTTTCGAGCCGAGAGGTACCTGTGATATAGCCTGACACTGCTTAAGTGGGTCTAACCAAGCTTTGAGATAATTTTATGACTGAAATTGTAGGGGTCTACCCTGAAGTTCTAATAATCATCATACAGATTTAGTCAACTATCAATACATGAATGGCTTTTTGCATCTAGCTCTTACCATTCAGAGTATAGGAGAATTTTGGTATAGCACGAAAATGTCTTGATGGTAATTTATCCCAGTCATCTAGAAGCAAAGAACCATGAAAACCAACTCCATCAGTTACGCACCAGTATAACAAATTGTTTCTTTTCGGCTTTTTTGGATGGAAGCTTCTAAGCCCAATCTGATATTGATAGATTTGGTAAAGGTATTTGTCCTCCTCAGGTGCAGTCGTGTATATTCAGTACGTTTCGCCGCCTCAGTAACTTTTAAAGTCAGTGTCTTAGAACACACTTGAATTGTATGCCAATAAAGGGTGCTGGTATTTTCTGATTCTGAAAAAGGATTTCAAAAGTTTAAAGTGATGATGCCTTGGATGCACACTTTAGGAGAAAGTCGATTTACACCGCTGAAAAAGACTATATGAAGAAATAATTGATGAATTATCCAAGAAAAAAAACAAAAGAGAACCATGGTTATATACGAAGATTTACCATTTGAAAAACTTGGCAAGTGTTTCACAAAGTAATAGGGACAGTTGCTCCTTTTGATCTTGCGTTTCTCCTTTAGTAATAGTTGAGTAAGGTTTTATAAAGGTAAAAACTTAAATCGAGTTGTGTTGCTCCAGATGAAAGCCGGTTCACATCTGACTTCAAGCTGAAAAGGCATCGAGATCTTTGGGATATAAAACCTATCCACACAAGGTAATAACAGCAATGTAGAGACGAGAACTTATACCCCAATATGCCTGCACACTTTTTTTTGAAAGAAAAAATTGTCTTAAATCTTTTGAGTCGGACTTTAGTTATATTAGACAAGAGCCAGGAGAAGTGATAAGCTCCAAGTCAAATCGTCTGTAAATGGCCTCGGGTAATTGATGGATGATCAATCACGGTTGAAATTCGAAGTAGCCCCCACCATGATCTCTGCACTGTGTGCAAAGCAATTTTTAAGAAGCAACAATTTTTTTTCTCTGAGATGTTTTATCCTGTATTAAGTTACATATCCATTTATACCATTCCCAGATTATGATCACTGGATTAATCAGTGGATATGAGCCCTTATTAGACTCCCTTGGGTACCACAATGTTCATGTACATGTCCTAGAAACCTAACCTAGCCCTATCCTCTATCCAACGAGCTTCTCAAATAACCCTGTTTATTCTGCTGCTCTTTCTGGCTTTGAAAGCTCAACTCTCATATTCACAGATAGATCGTCTACGGCATTGTAACTAGCACTCACTTTGTGGATAGTCTCGACGCCCGCTTTATACAGAGAAGATTTCGGCATAGTAAGGAATATCAATCATTTAAATCAGCTTTTCTTGGCACATATTATGTGCATTTCATGCTTGATTTGCAAGAAAAGCAAGGGGGGCAATTTAGTCGAGAAATTCACAACTTATTAGAGTCATTAATGCCTTATTGTTTTCTTCAGCTCAGTGAATCGAAATAAACGCGTCAATATATGTTCATGACTGAAAAAGCCACATATTATATCGCCAGCATATAGAAATGTGCTCGCAGGCAAGCTATATAAAGATAGGAGAAGTGTCTGGCTATAGCTGAAAAGTAATTTATCACAGAAGCAAAATCGGAATGAAGTTTTTAGCCGCATTCACGTTCCTCACTTTGACCTTCGCCTTCTCCTCACCGCAAAACGGATTTTTGGTCGTTCGTTCAGTTGATGGATCGGGGGGACCGAGAGTAGTATCCATCGTAACGGGAAATGCTTTTTTGCATTCTTATCCTTCCACTTTTGCGACAAGAGACGGAATGCTTTACTTTGAAAATAAAGTAATAGGTTTGGATTCAAATGGAAAACTTTCGTCATTCGGCGCGAGAGATTATACCAATCTTCAAATTGTAGAAAACATTGAAGGAAAATTCATGTTGAATTATGGATCATACTCTTCTTTTGAGGTATGTATGGATGAACTGGTTGGTTTCAAATCAGAGTGTGATAATAGCAGAGCGGTCTCCATTCAATTTGCTCCTACAGATTAAATAAATTGCTCAAAGAGATCCGGACTGTTTTATGTAAGAGTCCATATCGTTAAAAACATTTGCGCGAATATATGAAGTACGAAATTTACCAGTTGCAACTACGTAAGGATCCTGCTATCATTTTAACACTGATTACCTCCGTAAGCTCGTATTTGTCCATATTCACTTCTGATACGAGTTCCTTCAGATAACATGTCGAGCTCCTTGAAATGAAATGTTCTTCCTAATTGCAAGCTCTTGCATGCTTCTTTTACGTGTTCAGATGTATAAGGCACAGGAAGTCAGTAAAATACGGGAGTACAAAACATATACATCCAAAGAAGTCCCATAACTTTAGGCCTGTCCATAGAATGTGATTTTTTTCAAAACATTTAGTGCTTTGTATTGGAACGGTTCGCATATTCAAAAATGAGGTAAACTTATTTCATAAAGTGTTTGAGTTCATTTTATTATCGGAAAGTTTGGTTAAAAATTAAATCATGATCAAACATTTTCGAGTCATTAATCACTTTTTTATGTAAGGCAAGCAGACAATAGTTTCGCTAATGTGTGGTCTCAAGTATTTGATTGTCAGATTTACCACATAAAAGGAACAAGTAAAAAAATAGATTAAAAAAACAACTACCATAAAGCAGCTCCCAAATTCGTGCATAGTGTCAGAGTACGGCTTATCTCTTTTCTTTAATCACGGCCTGACGCTTCACCTTGTCACGCATCTGTTTACTAGCGTAAGGCGCTTTTTGAATTCTTTGCGGTATTACAGGTATTCAAGTCAAAGTCGGTGTCTTCCCAACAAATAAAGTTTAAATTGTTTTTCCAGAGTAGCGCCATGCTTTGTTTTTCTGATCTGTCATATAGAAATTTGCAGAGCTCTTTCTGTATCTTAAGAAAAAATCAAGTCTAATATCGGAGCCTGAAAAAGCTACCAAGTCACAATATCAGCATAGTCGTTTTCAAATACGTTGTAAAAGTTTCATGTGTGACTTTTTGGTACGATTGTTGTCAAAAGATCATTTAGCGCATAATAGATCGGCATAACAAGAAGTAAACTTTATATACCATTTCTCTCTGCAGTGGTCTTGGAAACTAAGATATTTTGATGATTGTATGTCAAAAAGATGAACAAAAATCATGGAATAAGTTCTGTAGGATCAGACTTCTTTAGAATCCGACGAGACTAAAGAAAGAGTGGCTTCTCACTTCTACTTGCAATATCTTACTGCCTTCGAATATTTCAACTATTCTCATTATTATTTCTCAATTGCGTAATTTATTCAAACCAGACACGTGTATCGAATCTTTGAATTTCATGGTTGCAACCTAAAGCAAATTTTGCAGTGGTTTCTCTGAATGAATCAGCGTCAAATATTTTAGACCCTGAAGTTCTGAGTTACTCCTCTGATCTGACTCTTGTACGAAGCCCCAATCACTTTCATGATTTAATTTCATTGGAAGGACGCAGATAGCAGTTTCACTCGGGATTCGGCTGCGACGCAAAAGAGGAGAGTTGATGATGTAGCAGCTGATTTTCTCAAAGATCATTCCCAAATGGTTACTTTGCAATAGATCACCGAGCTACAAGCATTCTTTGATCGCCTTCGACTGGAATATCCAAGATCACTTTCACCTAGGGAGACAGCTTATTGTCCCCTCTACTTCGAGAAAACACAATTCTTTCTCATGGAGTTTTTGTCGGTTTGGAGGCAATTATTGAAATGGAATTATCCGAGAAGTAAACCGTGCGGCTCAATAAACGCATTGTCATTTCAACGTCAGAAAACCACAGAAGTTTCCTTTCAACTCCGGAAAGCTCCATAGAACTTCTTTTCAAATTTAAGACACAAAATCGAGAAGAAGTCCCTTCAATTCGAATATTCCGAATCGAGATCAAACAATATTAAACACGCATCGAATGTTGCAAAAATGTTGTCACCTTCCCAGTCAGACATCGGGATACCAGATCGAGGGGGTGAAAATAAACACGACGCAATCTATGATATGATTCAGATTAGATGTCTTTCTTTCATTTTGTCCCTGTACTGTCTAGATTCATCGAACACCTGACTCTTGGATGCCTACCACAAGTGGGCTTTCAGGCCCTCGTTTTGCTAACTTCTTCCAAGCCTTGGTTGCAGATTTTGTTTCAGATTTTATGTTCAGATTTCCTCCAGCAGATCCGGGTTCTGGGAGGAAAATCGGCCCCACCATTTGCTTTCCATGCGAAGGGCCCATATAAACGGCAGCCTGTCCCTGTAGTCGCTTTTCGCCTAGAGAATCCAAGTATACGTACAACATGCCAGCATTCCGAGTCAGACATCCATTGACCCATGCCAATAATGCCCCAACCACTGGCGGAAGCGAAATTAAGAAGTCAATCAAAATGTTTGTCTGTAGTTTGGCCACAAGTTTTCCCGGTAAATAGAGCTGATTCTGTGCCAAAGAAATAAGCCTCGCATGGATCACATACGTAAGAATGGCGCCGAGACCAGGTAGAAAAAATACTGCTACCGGCACAAGCCCCACGCCGCAATCTAGGCCCAAACCACAAGACCCTAAGAAACATTTATCGTGTACCCACGCGGTTTTCTGGATTTGTCTCCAGACGCGTCGTTCTTTCTCTGTGTTTTTCTGTCTGTTCAAAACGCGTTTGTTTCTTTCATCATCCTCAAACGGGTTAGTGCTATTGAAACGGTCGCCTGCCCATTCGGTGTACGTGTCAATGGCTATATCGTACCCAGGGATACTTTCGAGCTGCTCCTCTAGCTGCGACATTGTTACATGAAATCTGAGTTTTGGGGAGGGAATCTCTTATTCCTCGTCCTGGAATTTTTACTGAGTCGACTTTGACCCTTATGGTTATGAGCCACGTCACGGGAATGTTTGCTACGTTTCCTACATATATATTGGTGAGCGATTTTGGGGTGCGACTCGAACTGAGATTTTTCGATTATCATACACTGGGGAAACTTGGTCAATGAAACGTAGCAGCAAATGCCAGTTTCATGTTGGATGTATTTATACTCACATTAGAAATGAGGGTTCAATAAATTCTGGTGACTCTCGACTTTTGGATGGTTGAACCTCGTCTGAAGTCACGAAGCTTCTTGTTTAGATGTTTCGTGGTGCCAATTCGTTTATTGTTACCGAGACGGTGACATAGCACGTGCATTCAAAGTAGACTGCCATGCAAGAAAATCTTGTTTGAAGTATCATTATTCAAAGCAGGCCAATTTTTTGCAGGCTAGCAAATGTCCTGGATATTCGCATGCCCAACTCCCCGAATATTTATTTCCCCACGAATCACGGTACACATGTACCACCACATATCTAAATTTGCACGGCAAATTTGTTTTGTTGTAGTGGGTTCATCAGATCCTAACAACGGTTCACTTCGAATATGGTCATATGATTCGAGTGACCTGAAGAATTTTCACTCGTGCACTTCTTTTGGCGGTCTGTCAGATGATCACTCTGAAGTCATATAAATCAAGTGATTGACTGAAGTATCTCAAACTACTTCACGATCAATATTGTCACCCTTTTACCCGCGCCTTCAGTATGTTTTTTACAGGCTGCACCAATCCATCAGTATCTTTCTTACAAATATAGCACTTTCTTTTTCTCCCCTGCTTGAATCGAGCCATGAAACAGGCCTGGCAGAAAATATGGCCACATGGTGTTTTAACAGGTTGCGTATAATCGTCCTTGCAGATGGGACATTTGAAGGGGATATTCTCTGCACAAGGCTTGTCAGGATTAAACTCCTTGCCTGCCACCATTTCCCATTCTTTCTCAATCGCTTTCTTTTGGCGCAGCTCATCTCTAATATGTAGAAATTTACACGTATCACCATAACCACAATAACCCGTTTGCTGAAAATCTTTACATACATCTGGCTGAAAGTCTGTTAGTGTAGTTACACGCACATTTTTCGGAGCCGCTTTCGGACCCACGATAATCGGCTTTGATTCAGGTTGCAGTGAAAATTCTTTTTCTTGTTTTGGTTCGGAATGGTCGTTCTGATCTGGATTGTTTGTTTCTACATTTTGAGCTGTCTTAGAGTAGTCCGCTTCTCGAGCTGGAGTTAATTGTGTTTTGATCTTTTTGAGGGGCTGTTCACTAATAAAAGAGGAAGTGTGGGACTTGTCATCATCATTTTCTGACTCTTCTCGACGCCTAGAATTACCGAGAGTCTTTAAATTTCTCTTTTTAAACATTAAATATGTCAATCGAGTCACATTATAAACATTAAAGATTACACTATGGTTGACTCCATCTTGCGATGTTGTGCACCCGTACACCACCAAAGAATTCAATCATTTGGAATCTGCTGGAACTGTATTGCTTTGCAGAAAAGAGAATAGGTGTATTTGGTAGCCTTTCTAGATTTCGGACCCCATTCTCCACATTTAGTCTTTTGTGTTATTGTGCAATCAGTGGCTGGTACTAAAGACTAATCAGTGGCTGGTACTAAAGACTAATCAGTGGCGAGTACTAAAGGCTACTCATGCCGATTCATTGCTCAAGTTTTATATCAGCGAGAAAACTAGATAGTATAGTCTGAGAGGGTACATAAAAAACTCCTATAAAGTATATGGTATTTAAAAAGTTGTCCAAAACAATTGCGATTTCTGTGGATCGAACACAGGACCTTCAGATCTTCAGTCTGACGCTCTCCCAACTGAGCTAAAGCCGCAAATTAACCCATGCCGGGACTCGAACCCGGAATCTTTTGATTAGAAGTCAAATGCGCTAACCATTACGCCACACAGGCTGATATGCTACGTATATTATGAAACAGCCTGGAGCTGTCTCTTAAACTACGAGTAGATCGGTTTATAGATAGTTCAGCCTTAGTGGATAGGCCTAGTCTATCTGTCGTATTCTCGATGTCTCAAAAGTGTTATCCTTCTTCAGGGATGTACTCACGCTCCTTTATAGTTCGGAACCCTTCTATACAGTAGGTGAGGGGTAACCCCGATCAGGAATGTTTAGACTCTTCGTCCTTCGTATTATACAGGATGCCCAGAATCTAGAATCTTGCTCATGTCGTATCATAACATTACCGCAAGAAATCCGTGATAGTTTAGTGGCTAGAATTACCGCTTGTCGCGCGGTAGACCGGGGTTCAATTCCCCGTCGCGGAGTAACTTTTTGCTAGATACAAGCCTGTCTATAAGTCAAGTACAATACTACCCTTCCTCCCAAACCCTACCCTTTTCTCGCTGATATTTTTTTAAGAATCACAGAAGTATGAACTACGCCTACTTCGGTGAGTTGGTTTTGTCAAGAAACTGGATCCTCTGGCTCCTTTTCGCCTACTTTATTCTACCATTCACGGTTTACTTATTCGTGCCATTCTTCATACACCGAAAGTCGGTTTTAAACAAGAAGTCAGTATCGATTTTCGTGCTCGGCGACATTGGCCACTCGCCCAGAATGTGTTACCATGCTAGATCATTTGCAAGCCTCGGGTTTGCGGTTAATCTATGCGGATATCTCGAAAGCGAGCCTCCACAAGGCATAATCGAGGATGTGAACATCGATATTTTTCCGATCCAGGCGATCCAAAACCGCCGCAACTTGCCCTACTTGTTATTTGCCATCACCAAGGCTGTCCTGCAAATCTTCAGTCTATTTGAACTTTGTTATCTGCTCTCAGGATCGCAGTACTACATGGTGCAGAACCCCCCGTCAATGCCACTCGTTGCGGTTCTCGTGATCTTCATAAAATTGTTCAGCCCACGGTCCAAGCTCATTATAGACTGGCACAATTTGAACTACTCGATTTTGAACTTGCGGTTCCAGAACGTGCGCCATCCTTTGGTGCAATTGATGAAATCTTACGAGAAGTTTTTCAGCCGATTTTCGTGGCTCAATATCACCGTGACTGAGCAGATGAAACACTACTTGGCTACGGACTTTGGAGTCAAAAGCGATAGAATCTTAGCTTTCCATGATAGGCCTGGCCCGCAGTTCTCACCTCTATCCCAAGAGAAAATCAAGCAGGTCTTTGCAGAGCACGAGCTCTTCACTAGCGTGCCTGAAATTGAACAGTATAAAGTTTTGGTCACCGCCACGTCATTCACACCCGATGAAGACCTTGGAATTTTGCTCGAGTGTTTGAAAATTTACCATGACTCATCCTCTGACGCCACGCCCCCAATTTTCGTGCTAGTCACAGGCAAGGGGCCTTTGAAATCTCAATTTTTGAAGTGCGTGGAGGGTCTTGGATTTCTGAGCAGAGTGATTGTCAAATCTGCCTGGTTGTCTGCGGAGGAGTATCCTCTTTTATTGGGCGTTGCCGATTTGGCGGTGTCGCTACATACGTCGCTGAGCGGAATCGATCTCCCGATGAAAATCGTCGATTTTTTCGGTGTGGGCGTACCCGTGGTCACGCTTTCGTTCCCCGCCATCGGCGAATTGGTAAAAGACGGCGTCAACGGGCTTGTCGTCAGCGAAAATATAACCAAATCAGTACCTGGAGATCTCTACAAACTGGTCGCCCTGATTTTGGGAGACGACAGCCGTTTGGCCAAACTCAAGCTAGGCGCAATGTCTGAAAGTAAGCAGCGGTGGAACGAAAACTGGATGCAGGTGTTGGCACCTGTCGTTGAAGGATAGGAAAGAGAATCAGGGGCTTGCGGGCGTTGGGTTCGAATTCCAGCGATGGTGCTGTGGATTCTAGGGTGCTGTTTTACCAGGCCTTCTGATTCCTTTAGCAGCCCATCCTGCCAGTTTACCTGATGGATGCTAGAATGTCCGATATCACCAGACGTGAGCCCAGATCCCGTGAGGTCCGTCGCCCAACTGTTTTGACGCTTTGGAGCTTCACATGTGCCAGTTTAATTCCAGAGATATTCAAGCGTATTTGCCCTGATGGCACCAATGTCTTTGTTCTCGTCACATCTTGCCGGCTTGCCAGCTTTGTTGCCAGGCGTCCAGAATTGGAACCCGTCGTTTTCATATGCATCTAGGCACGCATGCTCGGGGATGTCTCCCCACTCCGTGACATCCCCTATTAATGTTTTGGTGAGCCAGGCACTGAATCGAGCCGTCTCTGTGTGATTGTATCCGCCGCCGCCAAGTACAAGAAAAGGCACACTTTGGAACTTGTCCACGAGGCCTGAAATCGAGCTTGCTAGGCCGTCGATAGAGAGATTCCACTCACCGCTAGGATCGCTCGCAAGCCCATCGCTACCACACTGCACCACAATGATATCGGGCGTGTGTTTTGCGATTATTGGTGCGACGACTCGAGCGATGATGTCCTTAAAGTTTTTGTCCCCGAGGCCTCGCTTCGTGGGAATGTTATATGCGCCAGCGCCGGAGGAATTACCGGTTCCTGGAAAAAACCCAAGATCATGCCGATGTACAGAGCACGTGGTCACAAATTTCAGAAACCTGAACGCAGCCTCGACACCGTCGCCGTGGTGCAAATCCACGTCCAAATAGAAGATTTTTCTGTACAGAGTGCGGAGCCTCAAGATTGCCAAAACAATGTCGTTGACATAGCAGAAGCCGCTGGCACCTGCCTTGTGTGCGTGGTGCCGGCCGCCGTACCAATTTATAACCACGTGCTGAGAATCTGTGTCTCGATTTCGGAGAAGCACGTTGGCAGCACTAAGGCTTGATCCGGTTACGTGCAAAACATACTCATGGAGACCAGCGAAAGGGGGGCAGTCGAAGAGCAAACCATATTTGGCCTCCTCTTTGGAAAAGCTTGTGTTTTCCTCGTGCCTTTCTTTTAGAAGTTCTGCCACGTATTTTTCGTCGTGGAATACACAGAGTTCTTTTGCCGAGGCCGGCACTACGTTTACCAACAGACACTTGGAATACAAGCCAAATGCCGATATCAACGAGTCAATGAGCGACAGACGCCCGAGGTTAGAGGGTAGCTTGTCGCATATATTGGCTGTATGGCCTGAAAGACAAATATGCACCTGTCTTTGTTTGCTTGACATGTGCAGATGTTGGTGTTTATTTGAGTATTGATGTGTTTTGAGATGATTAACACTGGGTCGCTCACGCGTTTTAGTTTTTTTTTTTTTTTTTTCTTAGCAGCGTGGAGTATTTGGAGTATGCTTGAGTGGACATAGCGGAACAGTTGCCGTTTGATAATTGGCGGCGAAAGGACGAGGGGCATTTTGCTCATTCAAAACGCTACAGCTAGGGTCAGACAAGGTTCTAGGGGTTCGTGAATCTGACAATGTTTTTCTTGACTTATTTGTTCTGTATGCCCAATGTAATTGAGCTACCCAGACTGAGATCCATGAACCCAAAACTAAGGAGACGATGCATGCTTCCTTTTTTTTTTGAGTCTTTGGCAACGAAGCATAGCTTGTCCTGATGTATATGAACTAGAGAGACATGTGCATTATCATCAATTCTTCTCCAGCCAAATGCAAGTATGTCTTTCCTTTCCATCGCATGAATTGGGAAAGCACTAAGTAAAGCATGCGATGAAAAACAAGGTGTTTATTGTCAATTTTCACACGGGACTATAGCATGCTATCCCATTAATTATATCTGGGATAAAGCTTTTTGTCAAATGGAAATTTCTCTTTTGCAACCGTCTAATTCCAGAACTGAAACGGCTAGCTTCTCACTAAGCTCATCTGGACCAGGTATTTGTCAAATTAAATTCCACCAACGGTCCTCCCACATACATGTACAGTAAGCCGTTTAAAAGATATGTAGTTCTTCGAGGATAATTTTGTGCATTGTTTCATAGTTTGGTTTCCAGAGATAGCTTGGTCCCTTTCTTGATCGTCCTGAATAATCCCTCGGACAGCAAAAAGAACCAGAATTATCCTCACGAGTTCACCCAACCTGGAGAGTCTGGTGTCAAGACTACTCCTTCATTTACTTCTCAAAACATAAGAAACCTCGCCCGCGACCCAAATTTCTCGACTTAGATTGAAATTCCAATATTCGCACATGCTCGCTCAAACTTCTTGCTGATCCTTGTCATGTGCTTTCGCCAGTCTTGAATTCCAGTCTTCATCATTTCATGCTGGTCCTCAGCCTGATCACATAGCCTCACCAAATTCTCTTGTACTTCTAACTCCTTCATCATTTCCTTTAGTAAATTAGAGATTCGGGAAACCCCACCCTGGCCGAATACATCCTCGAGATAATTTTCAAACATGTATACGTCCTCAGGGTGCGGGCCTTCTTCTGCAGTTGTCAGACCCACCCAGGTTCTCAATTGTCTCACCAAGTCGTGAAAGTTGCTAATGCTCGTATTAAAGCTTGGGAACATCACTGCTCGCTTTTGCGCATTGAGCCATTCCACATCAAGAATCTGTTCACGGATCTTTTTTTCGAGTGCCTGTTTACGCTCCATTTTCGTCTTCATGGATATGAACTTCAACCTCTTGTTCTTTTTCTGCCATTCCAATTCATCCATGAACTCGTTTCGAATCGATGACGGTATTTCATTCAAGACCTCTTCATCATAAGACACAGTCTCGTCATATGGAGCACGCACAGGTGAGTCATTCTGAATATGTCCTTTCGGCTTTTTCGGCGACTCAGTTTTTTTCTTCTTCGTGGGCGATTCAACAACTCTCTTCACTTTAAAATCCCCATGGGGCTGAGTAGGGAACATCTGCTGGAGATAAACTTTTGTGCCTGCTCCAGATGTTGTTTTCGAAGGACTCCGCTCTTTTCCAGATACTGGGATACCCCTCCTAAGTAGCTCTTTCTTCAACTCTCGCCTAATTTCCTCGGGAAGGTGATTGAAGACTTCCCAGTCGATAGATTCAGCACCAGTAACTCGTTCAGCGAATGGAATATCTTGTGACATCACGACAGGAGGGATTGGCCGGCTGGCCACTGTTTTTCGCGTAAACGCTAGTTTCTGTTGCCTGCGTTTCTTCACGCTTTCAATATCCTCTAGTTTCGAGAGACTTACTGCTATGCCTCGCAAATCCTGTGGGGGAATATTGAATGTCCGAAGAAGAGCTTTCATTTCAGAGCCAAGGATACCCCAGTCATTTGTTGCCACACCTAGAGACGACGATCTGCTGACAAAAACACACTTGCCGAGGCCCAAAAATTTTGGTGTTACTACAGGTGCGTCGGGCGCTCTTCTGGCCAATCGAAGGGTGATTGAAGATCCACACACCCCGAGGTCAATGAGCCTTGAATGAAGCTCTTTGGCCAAGCTGATGAGGAACATTTCTGCCTCTGAAAATAGGTCAAAACGAATGCCGTAATTGACATCCACAGAGACAGTTTTCCGGCCTAGAAGTGCTTCACTTGAGCCCAAGTCGAGGTGGATGCTTGTCTGGTCTCGCCCATGGCAATTATCAAAAATCTTGAGCCCAGTTTTTTCTCCAAAAATCTTGATTAGTCGCTGAAGACTCAATCTTCTGACCTCCTCTATCAAGATGGATCCCAGATCCGAATGCCCAAGTTCCTCTGAAAGACGCCTTGCCAAACTACTTCCCACTCCTGGCAATTGGCGCACATCTGTCTTATCAAGAAAATCTTGTATGTTTTCATGGAGATAGAAATGGCCGTCAGGCTTTGCAGTTCGGAGGGCCAATTTGGCTAGGAGAACATTCAGCGAGGCGCCCACACTGACGGGGCATTTAGTCAAGGAGAATATATCCTGTCTGATTTCCACACACAATTCATTGACTCTTTTTACAATATCGCCTTGATGGCAGTATGAGGATGCGTCCACTAACACTTCGTCGATCAGCACAGGAAAGATGGAGTCGAAAACCTTTTTTGAAATAAGGTATGAGTAGAAAGCATGAGAAAATCTCTCGTAAGACTCGAAATCGTAATCTACAACCTTCAAGCTTGGACAAATTTCGAGCGCTCTGCCAAGCCACATGCCATTGGAGATGCCGAACTCTCGGGCCACATAATTGCAGCTGGCAATGTCTGAAGATCTACCGCCATGCGAAACCGCAATAGGGTCGCTCTTGATGCTGAGATTTGGGTGGTTTAGCGTAGAAGCAGTGGCAAAAAAGCAGTCAAAGTCGATGTGGAGTATAACGGGCTGTGTCCGAGGGTCTTTTTTGGGACGTTCATATCCGCGTGAAACCAACCTGAGGAACTTGGATTTGAGGTCAGCTTTCCAAGTGCTGAGGTGATGTAATCTTGAATTGGCGAAGAAATGCTTGAGGAAATCTGGGTGTCTCGCGTCCATCTGCGCAAATGCTTGTCGATGCTTAGCCACTTTTATCTGGGAGAAGTCTGACGGCTTGGGAGAGCACGTGTCTTCAAGCACAGTTGGGATTGACACAGGTACGGCCTGAATTCTGTCTTTCGATTGTCCGATAAACGCGGATGTCGAGTTTGTTTCGAGAAACGGATTTATCTCGCCAATCTCGCCGACGTCCGAATCATGCATGGGAACAGGGTCACCGGTGTTGACATGAGTTGCTCCTGACTCAGACGCGCAAGGAGGTTCAACGGGGGTTTTCGAAGCAATGTTTTCGAGTAACTCGGGCACTTGTGGATCGAGACTTACAGGATCGCAGGTCTTTGGCTCCCTAAGCATTTGGAGAGATTCCCAAGGATTGCCACTATTGTGATACAGAGTCTTGGGATCCAAGATCTCATTCCCCAGCCCACATGCATCAGTACTTTCAGAGTACCCAATTACATCATCGTGCTCATCTTCCATATTATCCGTTGCATTGCTCTCAACTTTCAGAAACGCCAAACGTTTTTGGAGCGGTTCGACATCATCAATCAAGCGGTACGGCTTCCAGTCGAGCAATGTTTCTTGCTCCACACAATCCAGAATCCACTGAGCCCTGACCACCCTGTAATTTCGATACTGGACCCGTTTTCTGGGCGTCAAGCGGTCGCATATGATGTGTGTGGCAGCACCCTTGTTTAAAAGATGGCTGATGAATATGCCGCCATGCAAAATGACCAACTTGTGGATCGTGGCCAAAGTTGGCGTGGTGTTCCCGTTGACGAATATTTTGCAGCCAGCAAAAACAGGGGGGATGTCAGGCGACTGGCCGTTAGCCACACGTCGCTGTTTTTCCCATCGGATGAAGTCTCGGTCCGACACTTGTTGCTTGCGGTACTTGTTTTGAAAGTACGTGTCGTAATCGCCAAATTGGTGCTGGGGCCCGACTTCCGCAAACACGCTGGATTCGGGATCTCCGGAAGGGCTGTGCTGTGAGCTTTGCCGCCCACCTTTCTTTGGAGTCAGAACACCGGATATCACCGGCAGCGTGGGAGCAGTAGGTTCTTCAACAAGCACGTGCTCTGTGGTTTTGGTAGCAAAACCATCGAGCCCAACAAGATCCTCCGAAAGTAGTAGGGCGTCGTCACCAAGCTCGTCTTTCTGGAGACCAGGTAGAACATTACCTTCAAGGCCCAAAATATCGCTGCCATCAAGGCTGAGCCCGTTTTCAGAATTCTTCCCACGAAATTCAACGGGCCCGCCATGCCTGGTATCGTTTTTTTGCCGTTTACAATTTATACCAGTGTTTTCAAGCCCGGCCCATGGCATCCTACGCAGCAGACTGTGGTTCTGCTCACCTTCCTTGAGTTCGAAGGTATCTTCTCGTCTTAGGAGCGCCAACTGGTTTGCTGGAACCGCATTTTCCGAGGCAAGCGAGGAATCCGAGTTTAGCGCCGAGGCCGGAAAGTTGCCCGCAACACCCTTGCTTATTTTCAAAAGCTGGGAATCCAAGCCATCATCGAACGGGTCCGATGCTAGCGAGGAAGCCAGACACAAAAACGGGTGGCCCCACCTGTCCCTGGAAAAGTCAAGGTTATTTTCATTGGGGACAACGGGCGTCGAAGTGCCCACAAATGATTCCGGAGCGTTTTCGCCCGATCTAGGCCCAGGAGCAACGCAGAGTCCATTATGGCCAGTTTGGGGAGTGCTGCCCGTTCTGGGAGTGCTGCCCGCTTTATGTTTCCAATTATCGTGATTGGCCTCGGAGCCGGGGGGATTTCTTTGAAAGTCCTCGATATCGTTCCGGAAGATTAGGGCACGTTTCTGAAAGAGCTCGTTTTGGGAGATCCGGGCATCTTTCTGAAAGACCTCGTTATGGCAGGTCCGAGCATTTACCTGAAAAGCCTCGTTCTGAGAAACCCAGGAATCTGTCTGTAAAGCCTCTTTTTGGGAGATTAGGGCACTTTTCGGAAAAAGCTCGTTTTGAGAGATCACGGCATCTTTCTGAGACACTTGGCTGAGCGTATTTATGTGCGCTATGAGCTGCGACTCGTTAAGCAGAGAGAGAAAATCCGAGTAAGTCTCGTCGGCCATTCCCAGACTAATTCATGGCCTAAAAGCTGTTTTATGAAGTGGTTCTTTATTACAAGAATGTAATGTGCGGGGCAAAAGTTGAAAGGGCTGACGGCGTCGCGCTGATTGAGAAAATGGACCGGCTTCGATAGATGGGTCGGATACATGCACAATCGAGATTTTCGAGTTTCGACAATCCACAAGAAATCTGATTATGGGTTTTTTTGCTGACTATTTGTGTATCTACTATCTTTGGGTGTATTGGTCAGGTGGAGACCGGTGCACGGAAATAAATTGCGTGACTTCGCTTATCATGGTGGAAGACTATCCAAGTGCACCTCCGCTAATGATGGAGTTTGCTATTGTAGCCTGTTCCGGATTTTTTTCGGCGTGGATGGTGGGAAACTTTTAGTTGTTTAGATGTGGCCATTTCCGGTCTGCTATGAGCCTCAGCTTGCCGACCACGTATGGAACAAATGTGAGTGCTTTAGCAGTTTAATCTGGTATCTAGTTTATTCGGCTGCAAACACTATATCAATAAATCACAGCTAGGCTGCCTAGCCTGGTTGCCATCTGCATAGAGACAGGTCAAAGTAAATTCGAGTCTATTCTAGTGTAGTTGCCCTTTGGTTTTGCTGGCCTCCAGAACGGCTTTGTTATCTTGGATCTCAGCTTCTTTGTCCAAAACGTCGTTTTCTGCCTTCACCTCCGCAATATCGTCTTTGGTCTCTTCCGTAGACTTGAACGGCTTGGATGTATAGATCTCCGAGTCTGGTGGCTGGGACTGGCTCTGTTTCGACATTTCTATAATCGGCAGTTAGTTTTTGGTTCGGGAGAAAGGCCCATCGTGAAGACAGATGGTGTTCGTTTTATTGTGCCGCACCCGAAGCTGGCAAATACGTCATCATTGCTTAAGGGCGTGCACACACGCATAGTTGCTATTAAATGGAAGTCAGAACCAATCGGAGACGAAGTATGGAGATTGGTATTACGCAGCAGAATAGCAAGAGTGGTTGCTAGCATCATCTAGCACAGCTCGACCGGATGTGTTTTCTCATGGACTGCTTTTTCATGGACTGCTTTCTCATGGACTGCGTCCTTACAGGTGTGTGCATGTGCACTTGAATAAGACACCTTGTACTGTCTGAGTCGAAGGCTCAAACAAAAAGTTGGAGCAAGCAAGTGACACAATAAAGTTCAAGATACAAATAACCATTATGTTCCAACATTCTTGGGTGCCATACCTGATCATACTTACAGATGATTTCACGTTCAATGTCTCGAAACTGTTTTCCTGTATCTTTAGATATATAGCGCTGATAATGTTCGCTCATTTCCGTGTATGAAAATAGAAACAAGTCAAAGAGCCAACTTAGTTTGAGGTTACCTGATCCTAGTGCGTCACCAGAATATCAGAATCTGTTAATAGCCTCGGTTTTTGTTCAGTACGAAGAAATGGGCCTCATTACTTCGTGAATATTCTTACCAAAATCGAGATTGCGGGTTTCAAAACCTTTTCAGGAAATGTTTCTGGGTACACTCGTAGGTACTTCTAATCGTGGATAGACTCATAATACTCTCATTTAGTCTGACCAAAGGTTCAGGTCAAATTTTCCTAACCACTAAACCCGGCCCGGTTTTCATAACAAACATGGGTATGGGCAGATCGAGCATCTTCTGAAGGAACTCCAAATCAAAAGATTGCAAAACCCCCAATTCTTATACAAAGGCGTTTCTGCTTTTCATTCATTCTCTACCAGAAAGCAGAAAGCAGATAGTATTTAGTGTTAGAATTTCCCGCAAGTGGTGATACACTGAAGTCACTTTTCCACAGCTTGTGATCGTGGACTAAAGGCTCGGAAAGAATGAGCGGTGAGTCTTTTTTTAAGTTCTTCAAAGACTATTCTGCGGTGATATTCCGAAGATCGCTCCTCATTGGCGATGTACTGAAATTCAAATCAAGGCGCTTGGCTCAATTTTCTTTATTTGGTTTTTCATACAAAATGAACCGGAATGCATTTGAGAACACCACACAGGATAAGCAGACCATTCAAATATAACAATGAAACAATGATTATTTTGGGAAATCCTACAAGATTAAACCCGAGAACACATACCCTGGGCTACAAGCATCCTGATCCGTTTCGCGAATATCGAGCTAGTTTAGCACTCATTTCGTTTGCAGTAATAGCCTGATATTAATCACGCACAAATCAGCCTTATTCTTCTCATGAAAAACAGTTACCCTAATTCATCTTAGTCCTGCTTTTCCATAAACTACTTTAGACCGCCGTAAAGCGAGCGCGGATTCTTCTTTAGCCACGCTAAGATGGTTCTATTAATAAAACGGCTCTGGAAAGCCCTGCACAGATGTCCTCTTACCACCCTGACCCTAACTCTTGCCTCGAATTAGCAAACTTTTATCATCTCTCTGATACTAGTACAGACAAGCCTCTTCAGTAAAATTGAAGAAGTTTCAGCAACCGCAGACTTCACCTCACTTATCCAAATAGTGGGTGCTCCCAATAGTCCCTCGTCCAGCCCCATTCCTGAAGTCCTGTACACAGTGCTCAACTTGCCCGGAGTCGTGACACCAAAACTTTTTTGCCGTGATGTATTCAACCATACAGAACTTCCCCAAGACACAATGGTATGTAAAATTGTCTGAAATCACGAAGCGCCAAAAAAACCCGCAATTGAGAAAGATAGCCCGGCTCGAAAAATTCAAATACTTGAAAATGAAAGTACTGTATCCGTCAAAATCAAGAGCAAACTGAAGAACAAGCGGGGGCCAGGAGGGACCGACAAGAACAAACGCAACAATTCAGAATATTCTGGATGGGAAAAGTTCAATCCATGTCACACATACAGAACATCGATGCAACATATTATGGACAAGTGGCAGGATTCGTACGCTTAGCCTGTGGAATCTGTGCTGTGGCTGTCAAAAACAATAAAATGGAGTGCGTCTCAAAACCCCTGAGACCCGAATCCCAGTATACGCGTGTGTCAAGATTTTGTCAATGTTGACTCACTTTGGATTCACCTTGGTTTCATTCTGGATTCACTCTGGATTTGCTTAGGATTTACGTCGGTTCCAATTTGGTTTCACTGCTGTTTCAAGTTTGTCTGTGCCAGCCTGTGTCAGTTTCGGTTCAGATCTTGAGGGCACACATGGGTGTCTTCGCGCATGAACGTGCTCTCTTGGCCGCAGATTCCTCGGCACGCCCTTCCCGTTGTGTCGGCGGCAATTTGAACAACAAACTGTCCTGCGACACACTTTATCCGTGCTCGCTTCTCCACCACCTCTCTCTTTTGGCCGATTTTACTAACATGCCCAAGGCCGAGAAATTATCCGAGGAGCAAATCGCAGAGTTTAAGGAGGCCTTCTCCTTATTCGACAAGGACAGCGATGGAAAAATCACCACCAAAGAATTGGGCACCGTGATGCGCTCTTTGGGCCAGAACCCATCCGAGAGCGAGTTGACCGACATGATCAACGAGGTTGACACAAACAGCGACGGCTCGATCGACTTCCCTGAGTTTTTAACCATGATGGCCAGAAAAATGAAGGACACGGACTCAGAGGCCGAGATCGCCGAGGCGTTCAAGGTTTTTGACAGAAACGGTGACGGCAAGATCAGTGCTGCTGAATTAAGACACGTGTTGACTTCCATTGGTGAGAAGTTGTCTGACGCTGACGTGGACCAAATGATCAGGGAAGCGGACACTAACAATGACGGCGAAATAGACATCCAGGAGTTCACTCAATTGTTGGTGGCTAAATAGGTGCCTAACCATTCTGCGCTCAGACGCAGCTTAATTCTTCTCAAGGGGGCAATTCTTCGACCCAAAATCCCGACGCTCTTCTCTTTTGTATACTCAACAAGTTATGTAATTTTGTTCTGCCTCTTTGTGTCCATTCAGTGACATTGCACGTATGCAATCCATTATATATATACAAATGTTTTGAAATTGTTATATACGTGCTACCAGAAAAGATGGAGATATTCGCTCAACGTTGCGCTTGTTCAGCGTCTGATACTTGGCAATCGCCCAAAGGACCTGCTCTTCATTATCGAAGACGACCTGGGAAAGGCGTGTCGAGTGGATGCATCAAACTGGGCGTTCGGGTGGAAAACATCCTCGTCATCTTCCTCGTCATCAATGTGACGCATGTTGTTGTGATCCTGTGCCGATTGTACTCGGTTTGGGTCGCCACGACCGAAGTTGAGCTCGTTGATGCTTCTGTTCACAAGATAACGCAACGCATTGTACCAGGTATTGTGCCGTTGTCTTGTTGGGCATGTGATCTTAATTGTCTTGAGCTTGCAGCGGACAATGATACTCTTGTAATGAAGACCCGTGGGAAGAGGGTTATTATCATCAACACTCTCCACGCTTTCAATGGCCATGGCTCTTACCTTCACCTCTGATGGGTTTGTCAAAACAGGATTAGACGAAGACCAGTAGAGGGTTAGGGAGTATGGATGAACCCAGAAATATCTCTCATGTCGGCTTGCGGATATAGAGCTCAAAGGTCCGAGTTTTCTGTAGTACTTGAACAAGTACTCTCCAATAACAACTTGTGTGATTGCCGGAATCATCGACCTGTCCGTGAACGAGATATTTGTCGCAATAGACAAGCCAGTGAGCGAGTCGATCGCACTATTGTGGGATTCAACAGTCATCTCAGAACGCACTGATTTTGAATGAGGAAGTGCGCTTTTGAGAGGGGGTTTCGAATGCGAGCTCGAAGCAGCAGCCGAAGTCAATGGAGAGTGAGCAAGACTAGACTCTTCACTGTCCAGATTGAGAAGAGGGCTCTTCGAGATTGCGCTGTGTTTCACATATCCTCTTTTTTGTGCATGGCTTCGGAATACATCCTCAGACACTTTGTCGATGTTGAGTGATTCCAGGCGGCTCAACTTCTCATAGTAGCTTGTAGGAATGAGTGAAACCTTTTCAACATCAGGAGTACGTGCGACGGTCGTGGGCACAAACGCGGTCGCTGGCACACAGATCAAATTCCAGTCCTTGGCCGCTTTGACAAACATACTCTTGTCTTTCAAAGTATCTTGTGCATTTTTCAACTCATGATACTGAGACCCTGGCACAACGCTAAAACCCAATTCTTCGGCCTTTGCCCGCAAATCATCCTCGGACATAGTTTCATTTTGCTGGTCCGCACAACTCTTCAATTGCTGATATTCTGCCTTTTCCAAGACCACCATATCGAGTCTTCTCAGATTCTGCAAAAGAGACGCCTTTGAGACCTCAGTCTCGGGCTTCTGACTCAAGCTACTGATTGTTGAATCTTTATCTATCAAACTTTGCTTGAGATTGGTCAAATCGGCAGATGGCAAAACAGCTAGCGAAAGAGCAGCTGCGGCTGCAGTTAGCAAGTCTTTGTCTTCTTGAATTTTTGACTTCTCCACAATGTCTTGGTAGACAGGTTGCTCGACGCAAACCATGCCCAAACGTTCTGCACTCAACTTTAATTCTTCCAGATTCAAAGCGATTGTCTCTTGGGCGTCCGCAAACTCTGGGGTGGTAGACTCCATTTTTACTTCAAATCCTTTGTGTTTCAACCAATCAATGACTTCGTCAGGACTTGACTCAGACTCAAGCTCCCCATCCTCGCTCACAACAATCAACCCCTTTGAACGCGCAGCTTCGGTCAATTCTTCGGGGGAAAAACACAGCGAGTTTGATTGCAAAAATGCATATTTGGTCTTTGAAACAACCTCGTACCCCCGAGCACGCAATTCATTTTTCACAAAATCAAGCTCTTCGTCATTAGTTGGCAATTTGAACTTCTGCGAATCTTCCAATTGGGACAAGAGACCGGTGTGTTCTTCATTCTTAAGCAATACAAACCCACTTTCGCGGGCCAACTCATCAAGACTTTTTCCACTTTGCGACTTGAGGTGATCATATTCCACGACAGGAATTATTAAACTACCTATCGCTCTGGCTTTATCAGCTAGGTATTCACCAGAGGGCGACTCCACTATATGACGTAAGTCAGTGAGTTCTTTTGAGTCTATCAAAGCAAGATTGTCTTTCTCGGCTTTCAATTCCAAAGGTTCCTCTGAATCCCTCTTCATTTGTTCAAATTCTTCAGTCAGCACAAGAGTCATTCCGTGCTCTTCAGCATTTTGGGATATTTGGTATAGAGATGGTTTGTTTGCTCTCAAAAGCATTTCATCAAACTCGTCGTTTGGTATCACCCGCAAATTGGTGCTCGCAATATGATCATCAATAGTCCTGTTGGCTTTTTCATTAAGCTCATTAAGCTCAGCTGTTTTGACCAATTCGTAGCCATGATGTACTGCTGCTGATTTCACATCTGAGATAGATGGCAGATGTGCCTTAGAGTGAAGATGATCGAATTCTGCCACAGGAATAACCACCAAGCCTGCTCGAGCGGCTTTGTCGTTCAGTATGGAAGATGCTTCGAGTTTTAAAGCAGCGAGCTCTTGTATATCAATCAATTCTTTGTTGAACGAAGTAGCTTTACCAGCCAAAAACTCTAGAGTTGGGCTTTCGAAATTGGAGAGCAATTTTTTATATTCTGCGAGAGGAGCAATTGCCATGTTTGCTTCAAGAGCTTTTGTTTTCAAATCTTTGTCAAGCTCTGCTTTCAAAGAAGACAACTGTTGTGCGGGCAAAGTGGCGTACCCATGTTTGATAGCGAGATCATGTAATCCGTCCAAGCCTAAGGATCTTTCGTATTCCGTCGAATTGATGACTGTCTTGTTCTCCTTTGCAGCTTTAGATTCAACAGATTCCTCGCTCTCTGTCTTTAATCGATTGAAGTCGGTCAAGGGGATTGCAATGAGCGATAGCTTAAGAGCCTTCTCGTGCACCGACTCCATCAGCTGGGCTTCTAGCTCGTCGAAGTCTTCCTGTGGTACAATAGTACACTTCAATTTGGCCGCCAAATCTGTAACAATGCCCATGTCTGGAGTTTCTAGTAAATCACTAAATTTTTTGGATCTCTGGGAGTCATCATGAAGGTCGGCGAGTACATTTCTTTCGAGAAGCACCATACCATCAGCTTCAGCTTTCGAAGTTAATGATTCATTGGCCTTAGCTTGCAAAGCGTCGTATTCGCTGTTTTGTATAACCCTTGCTTCATACAAACTTGCTTTTTCGATCAAAAATTCCAAATCTGGAGAACAAAGTTTCGAGAGTATTTGCGCGTGTTCATCTTTCGAAAGAGCCACTAAACCCGCCTTCTCTAGCTTGGAGTCGAGTGATTCAGTGCAGTCGCGGAATTCCCCTTTAGACATGAGAATATGATCAAGTATATCCGCGTGTGCCTTTATTGATTCCAAAGAAGGCGATTCGATCTGCTTCAAGAGAGATGCATTACTTTCTTCAGAAACAACAACACATTTGTGAGCGGTGGCTTTTTCTGCAAGATATTCGAGCAGCGGGCTCGTAAGAGATTCCTGCAAGGTGTTGTACTCTTCTTGAGCCAAGACAAAGTACCCGTCTTCTGCGGCTAACTCCTTGCTATCCTTCGCGTTTCTTGCAGACCACGTTTCAAAGGTAACGGAGTCCATTAGTGTTTGTCCAATTTTGTCCAATTTGACACGTAAGTATTCAAGATCAGGCGCTTCAAGCGAGGCTTCTAATTTTTCCAAGGCATTCACTCTTGAACTTGTCAAGACAACATATCCTAATTGAACTGCACGCTCTTGTACAACACCTAGTGGTGGAGCCTTCGCGAGTTCTTCTGCTTCTTCATAGTGAGCTACTTCATCTTCCGTCAAAAGCTCATGACCTTGAGTGAATGCTTGTTCCCTCAAGTATTCTATGGATGGAGACTCGAAAGAGGTCTTGACATGCTTGAGAGAAGTCAATTCGGAAATAGGAACAACCTCACAATCATGCATCAAAACCTTTTGAGAAAGATACTCGACTGTTGGTGACTGATATTCTTGTTCCAAAGTATAGAGATCTTTTTCTTTTTCTGCCGAGATAAGAACATGGCCCAATAATATAGCTTTCTCACGAATATACTCAATTCCTGGCAGGTCAATGCATTTTTGCATGGATTCATGCTGCTCGATCAGAACGACTTTATGATTATGCAAGAGAGCCTGATCTGACAAGTACTCAAGAGACGGAGAAAGAAAGAGATTTTTGAAGTGCTGTAATTCCAACAAGCTGGCGAAACTCAAAAGTTTTTGATCAAACGTGTTGGCGTGCTGACTGAGATATTCAAGAGAAGGAGACTCAAGAATGGCCTTAGAATTTTCAAGTTCAGCTAGCTTTGAGTTCAAAACAAGAGTACAGTCCTTCTTTTTCGCATGCAAGTGCAAATAATCATCTGAGGGAGACTCAAGGGACAATTCTGCGAACAGCAAAGACTCAAATTTAGAATTCTCAACGAGTTCAAAATTTTTCACTTTAGCTTGCTTCAGCAAATACTCGAGTGTGGGATTGTTCAAAAGCTCCTCAGTTTTATGCAAACTCTTTAGCTCGTCATCATCAATTGCTGTCATCGATTTAGAGTGTAATTTATCAGCCAAGAATTCTGTAGTCGGATCATTGACGATGGACTTTAACGAATGGAGTTCGAGCTCTGGAATGATAGCATGATCAAACTTTCTTGACTTTTCCCTAAGATATTCAAGCAGAGGTTCCTCAATCTGTCTATTCAAAAGCAACAACTCGGCCGATGGCAAAAGAACTAACTTTTTAGATGTGGCCTTCTCCACTAGATACTCGTGTGAAGGCTCATCGAGAGAATTTTGCAAAGTTTTGAGCTGCGTGGACTCAATGACATCGTACCCTAAATTATTTGCCTTTTGCACCAAGTACTCATATTTAGGGCTCTGTAAAGATTCACGCCATTCATCATACTTGGATTGACTCAAGAGGACATGTTCCTTCTCTCTCGCCTTTTCTTTTAGAAATTCGAGAGATGGCAGAGAGGAGATAGCACTCAAATGATCGTATTCCTCGATTGTGATTAATTTCATATTGGCCATTCTCTTCTCATCTTCGAATCGCTGCTCAAACTCCAGGCTTGGAATTGCAACATAGCCATGCGACGAGATCCTGTTGCAGAGGAAGTCAAATTTTGGATTCTCAACTGACCTCTTCAATTCCAAAAGTTCATCTTTCTCGATGACGTCATGCTCCAACCGGTCTGCATGTGTTTTGACAAAGTCAATATCTGGTCTTTCGGCCAAAGTTCGGAGCAGCTGGAGCTCTGTCTCAAGAAGAAGTGACAAACCAAGTATCTGTGCCTTCTTTTGAATGTGATCGGCATCAGGATTATGAGCTAGGCTTTGCAAATCAGAGTATTCGGTTTCAAGAATAACAACACAGCTATGATTTTTGGCTTTCTCGCGTAAGTGATCGAGACTAGGCTTCGACGACACTGCTGTTAATTCAGCGTACTTGTCTGTTGATATGACTGTACTATGAAAGACATCAGCAAAATCTTTGATCTGATCCATACTTGGGCGTTCAGCTTTAGCTTTTAGCGAGTCGTATTCTTGTACCGGTACAAGTTTATGATCAAGGCCTTTTGCCAACCTCAAGATGTGTTCCATTGGTGGGTCATTTGCCAATTTGATAAGAGACTCATGATCCAGTACGGGCAACAAAGAGTGATTAAACGTGTGCGCGTGTTCCTTTACCCGAGAAAGCGATGGCGCGTTTGCTTGACGGTCGAGGTTCTCATGCTCTTCGTTTGTGATCAAAATGCGTTCAAAAGACAACGCATTATTTTGGATTTCACTCAAGCTTGGCTCGTTTACAAGTCGTGTGAGAGTATCATGGTCTGCCTTTGGAACCACAACGTGCTCATAAATTGCTGCGGATTCTTTGAGTTGTGTTAAAGTTGGCGACTTTGCTCTCTGAGTAAGTTCATCGTAATCTTTTGAAGATACGATCACTGAATCATTTGCCCTTGCCAATTCCACGGCCCTATCAAGACTAGCATTGTTAGCGAGCGACTGAATAGTTTCAAACTCGGATTTAGGAGTAACAACATAGCCCTGGTTCCGTGCCAATTCATTGACACGCTCTAGTGAAGGCTGATGGGCAAGCCTACTCAACTCTTCGTAATCAGTTTGAGGAAGGACAATATGCAGATGTGATTCCGCACAACTCTTTAGGTGCTCAATTGATGGACGAAGTGCCTTCTCTTTCACAGCTTCGTACTCGGTCGCCAGAATAATGAGTGACCCAGTTTTTGATGCTAATTTCGCAATGTGCTCCACGGACGGGCCAAAGGCCAAGCGCACCGTCTCCTCGTACTTGAATTTGGGAATTATTACCAGGTCTTTCTTGGAAGCAGCTTCCTTGAGCTGTGATAATGTGGGCCTCAATGCGAGCTCGTCGAGCTCGGCAAGTTTTTCCTGCGCAACGAGCACATGACCTTGTTGCGCAGCCTTTTCTTCAATATAAGCAATCTCTGGCGAGTCAATGTGATTCCTCAATGCTTCCAATTCTTTGATTTTAATAAGATCCATGTTAGAAGCCTTAGCAAATTGTTTAAGCTCGCTCACAGTAGGTGCATGGGATTTTCTTTTGAGCTCTTTCAAGTCCACAGCTGAAATTGTAGCAAGGCCTAAAGAGGCAGCCTTGGAAACAATAGTCTCTTCAGGAATATTTTCCGCATCCCTCTTAAGCTGATCAACTTCTGTTGGTGATAATGACACAAGCCCCAACTTGGCCGCGACATCTTTGACGTGACTTTCCGGAGGACTGGTGGCCAATGATGTCAATTCTTTATGAGCAGATAAAGTTAACGTGATCAATCCCACTTGTGTGGCCTTAGTTTTAATATATTCGGCGGGAGGAGCATCCAATTTTGATTGCAAGTTTTCAAGCTCACTTTTTTTGATTGCGACTGAATCATGGAGTGCGGCCTTCTCCCTGATGTACTCAAGAGAAGGGTTTTGGAAGTCAGCATTCTTCACCAAAATGTGATCTATTGATGATGCTTTCTCTCTTAGATACTCTAAGGATGGAAATTCTAACAGAGCTTGTGTTTTCATATGCATTTCTCTGGGTAAAACAACCATGTCCAAGAGCGTTGCCTTCTTCTCAATGTGGTGGAAATCTGGACTTTCAGCCTTTGCGTTCATAGAATTGTACTCGGAATCAGAAACAAGAACGTGGTCGTATTTCTTTGCATGATCCACAAGATGATCCAAGTGAGGGTCGTGGGCTAAAGAATGCAACAATTCATAATCCTTGTCTTTGATAATCTTCATACCCATCACCTCAGCTCTCAGCCTCAATTGTTCGACGGAAGGTTCGTTGACTTCCTGATTAAGGGCAGAAAATTTCACTTGATCAACAATTTCATAGCCCAAGCCATCACAAATTGTTTTCATATGCAGCAAAGAAGGTTCGTCAGCCGAATGTTTGAGGGTTTGATAGTCATTTTTATCGACAAGAATCTTACCATGAGCCGCAGAAATTTCAGCGAGCTCTTCCACTGATGGTTCTGAGACTTTGCGTTCAAGTTCCTCAAATTCAAACAAAGAAACAGCAATGAATCCATGTCTTTGAGCGTCTGCCTTGATTTCTTCAAGCAGTGGTTCTTGTGCTCTCCGCTGCAAAGTCTTCAAATCCTCATTGGAGATGACACATAATCCCATTTGTGATGCCTTTCCTATTAGATGGGACCGATCAGGAGAATGGGCTAAGCTTTGTAAGTGCTCAAACTCTTCAATTTCTAGTATGCACATGTTGGATATCCTGGCCATATGACGAAGGTGCGCATGGTCTGGTTTATGAGCAAGTGTTTGTAATTCAGAAAGCTTGTCTTCAGGTACTAACTCATGGCCCAACCCAAGTGCCTTTGTCTTCAAGTAGTCAAGATCAGGGGATTCTGAAAGCTGTTTCAACTTCTCCAACTCTGACATCTTCACCAACTCATACTCTCTCTCGGTAGCTTTACCCGCCAAGTACTCAAGAGAAGGCTCATGTGCTTGCTTGTATAGCGATGTATATTCGTTTCCTGAAAGAGTAACGAGCTTGTGCGTTTCCGCATGCTTCTGTACATGTGCAAGACTGGGTTCATGAGCAAGCTTTCGTAAAGCTTCGAATTCGGGCACAGGAATAAGCGTATGGCCGGCTGCTCTTTCCCTGACATGCTCAATGGGAGGGTTGTGCGCCAATGTTTCAAGATCCCGAAGTTTGGCGGCGGGCAAGACATGATGACCCAAAGATGCGGCTCTCGATTGGATAGATTCCAAGTCGGGGAGCCGTAACTTCTGATACTCGTCATTCGATAGGAGCAAGCAATCATGTTTGTGTGACATGTCTCGGAGGTGGGACACGGGCGGGTTGGTGGCCAACGCGTGCAAGTCATTGTAGTCGTGGCTTGGAAGTACCATGTGGCCAAGGGCCTTGGCTCTTTCAGCCACGGCCTTTAGGTCAGGGGACTCGAGAGAAGAGAGTTTTTCCGCGGACAAGACCTTGAGACCCAACGCCTCTGCCTTACTTGTCACATGAGAGGCATCGGGGTCCAGTGCCTTTTTCTCCAACTCGTCAATGTAATGGGAGGGCGAAACAAACAACCCCATTTCGTTGGCTTTTTTGGTGAGATACTCCTTAGAGGGCTGGTCGTACTCAGTTTCCAAGGCTTTGAGCCGCTTGTACTCCTCGGTTGGAAGTGGGTACAAGTTGGCCGCTTTGCAGCGGGACACCAAGAACGACCGAGGAGGGGACAGGACCAACGCATCGCTTTTCTTGAGGCTGGCCAAGTGCTCCGCGTCGACTGCCTCGTGGCCCTTGGCCTTAAGGTGTTCACAGAGGAAAGCGAAGTCCGGGTGTTCGTAGTGTTGCTTGACTTGCTTCAAGCCATCGAGCTCGAGCTCCGGAATGGTGACGATGCCCCTGGAGAGCAACCGGGCCTTCATCTCCTCCTCGCCGAGAAGCTCGTCGTGCTCTGCTTTGCTGAGCAAGACAAAGCCCTTGCTCTCCGCGACCGCGGTGATGCGAGCCGTGTCCATGCCCAACACGTCGTTGTACTCGAGCTTGGCGTAGTCCTCCAGTGTCAAGAGCACCAAGTGGTTGTCGCGGGCAAACTGCTGAACCTGCGCCTCGGTGATGGGCTCTGCCGCGCGCGAGAGTTCATGCGAGAGAACTCTCTGTTTGAAGGGCTTAGGCGGGGCTTCGAAGTCCAGCTCGGAGCTGTCGGTGTCGTGGAGATAGGAGTTTGTTCTGCGGAGCTCCAGGCCGATGCCGAGGTCCTCCGGGAGGTCCTCGTCGGACTCGTCGACCACGCGCCGGGCGGGCTTGGACGGCGTGGCGCCGGCGGCGCCCAGGCCAATGAAGTCCTCCCAGTTGTCCTCCTGGGGCCAGGCCGAGGCACGCGACGGCGACTCCTCATCGTCGTGGTTCACGACAATGAACTTGGAGCCCGCCTTCGCGGGCGTCGCGAGGGCGGGCGTGCGGCCCGCCGCGTCCTTGGGCCGGGTCTTGCGGGCCGACTTCGGCGTGCTTCGGGCCGACGGGGCAGGGGCGGCCTTCGCCCTGAGGAGCGCCGCCCGGAGCCGCGACACGGTGCGCGAGGAGTGTGCCAAGCTGGCCCGGAGCGTGTGGACCTCCAAGCCCACGCCGTCGGGGTCCCGCACGGCCGGCTCGGCGAGGAACGCCGCCAGGTCGTGGAGAATGGCGTCCAAGTCCAAGGCGTCCGTGGCCGTGTCCAGGCCCGCGGGCAGCGGCGGGGCCAGCGCGCCGCGCGGCGCACCCACGGCGGCCGCGGCCGCCTCGAGGCCGAGGACCTGGGCATGCAAGGCGTCGTTCTCGTCGCTCAACTCGTCGACGCGCGCGGCCATTTCCGCCACGCGCCGGTGCGTCGCGTCTTGCACCAAGCGGAGGTCCGACGCGAGCGTGGCGGCCTTCATCTGGTGCTCGTCCGCGTCGCGCTGCAAGGCGGAGATGCGGAGCGTGCTGTCGTTGTGCGTGCGCACCAACTTGTCGTTGGCGGCCTTGAGCGCCTCCACGTGCTCCTGGAGCGCCGCGTTGCGGGCCTCCAACTCCCAGTTCTTGTCGAGCAAGCCCAGCTCCGTGCTCGCGGCAACCGTGCGCGTGGTCGCGAGCGCGGCCGCCTGGCTCCGGGACTCCGCGAGCTCGGCCGCCTGGCTCTTCATCCGCGCCTGGAGGGCGTGGTTCTCGGCCGTCAAGCGCCGGCACTCGCTGAGCAAGTTCTCGCTGAGCCCCACGACAAAGTCCATGTCCTGGCCCTTGGACTCGGGCCGCAACGGCGGCTGCGGCTGTGGGAGCACCCGGGGGCCCCGCGGCGCTGCTGTTGCTGCCTGTGGACGGCCATTGTTGCGCCTCAACACGGCAGAATTGGACGGCGCGGGCCCGGGTTTCGCCGGCACGGCCGGCCGCGTGGGCGGCAGCGCGTGGGCGGTGTTTTCGGCGGCCCGGTCGGCTGCTGGCGGCGGCGCCGGCGGAAAAGCCGGAGGAACGGGCGGCCTGGCGCCGGTTTCGGCGCCTGGCGCGCGGTTTCCGCCGGGAAAACGCGCCGGTGCCTGGCCGTCCATGGGCGGGAAGTCGGGGCCTGCCGGGCGGGGCCTGCCGGCGCCGAAAAGCCGCCGCTGGATGTCCGAAAGCTGGCCCCGGATATCGTCTTTGCGGGGGTCGCTGCTGGACATGGAAAAAAACGGCCCGGGGCGAAAAAAATTCCGCGGGAAAAGGGCAGGGGGGTAAAGTGGACGCGGGGGTGCGTTTGCGGGGGTGCCAGAGACGGGTTTCGGGGCGGGGGCGTGGTTTCTGGCGGGCTGAGGAGTGGCTGGCGGCTACTAGTGAGGATTTTCGTGGATCAGGGTCCTGGCTCCGCGCGGCAGAAGGAACGGCGCGCGGACTGCACACAGGCGCCCGACACCTGCCGGGGCGGCCCATGGCATGTGCTTTTTAGGCGGGCCAGGGTGAAGATTTTTTGGGCGGTTCGGCCGGAGGGGAGTGGCCTCAAAGGGGCGACTTTGGAGGTGAGACTGGGGGCGATATCGGGGATAGGAGTGGGGGTGTTAGTGGGGGTGGGAATGGGGCGCGGCACGTGACCGCGCTGTTCTGGAAGCGTGGCGCGGCCCGTTCCCATGCGTCCCAATTGCTGGAGAAAATCATGTAAATCTACGGCGCTGCACTATTTGGCCGTCTCGGGGTTTAGGGCAGTGGTGTGGGGGCAGTGCTGGGCCCATCAGCTTGATGGGTGAAGAAAAGTAAAAAAAAAAAAATTAGTCTGGCTGGCCAGCTGGGCTCTGCGCTCTAATTTCGCGCGCTCCGCTTAACCTGTATACTCACTCCGAGACACCCACCCAGCCATGGCGATACGAGAGATACCACCGGCACCAGTTTTTTGAGATGCCGCCTTTTTATGTTCCGGGGGGCTCTGGGGTATTTTCTTCTGACAAGGCTCGAACGCGTGGCTCCAAGTAAACGAAATATCCAGCTTGTCTTCTCCCCACGCTGTGCCCGCGCCACTGCAGAGAATAATAAGTACATGTGGTTCGGCACCAATCCTCGGCGTCAGCACCAGCACGAAATTGCCGTTTTAAGCCCACTCTTGCTTTTCAGAGTCGGTGTCGAGATCTGGTGAACGGGGTAGTGCCGTGACAAGAATGAGAACAATCAATGGAATAGCATATTCTGGTCCTCTATAAAATACACAGCCGGCCTTCTATTCTACAACCTGCAGCCGGCCTTCTACTCTAAAATATACAGCCGGCCTTCTTTTCCAAAATATACAGTCTGCCTTCTATTCTAAAATATACAGCCGGCCTTCTATTCTAAAATATACAGTCTGCCTTCTATTCTAAAATATACAGCCGGCCTTCTATTCTATACATCCCGTGACATCGTATAGTATATTGTTTCTTGAAAAACAATGTAAAGTCCCAGAATGCCACCACATCTGTGCCGCACTGCTTCAAGATCTCCTGCTGGTGCTATTTCGCCAAAATCACCTCCAAGATTCACCCTGGCACTTTTCCTTGCAGCCCCGACAATTCGTAAATGCACTACCCCCGGGCCATGCATCCGAGTCGGTATGCTCACCAAACCGGCCTTCGGTTTTTTAAAAATCGCCTTCCTTCAGCTCAGACTAAGCAATCTGCTTTGCTTCATTCTGGCTGGGGCTCACCAGAAAGTTCTGCATTGCGGCAAAAGTTCTGCATCGAAACCTACACGAATCCGCCGCTTCGCTCGGCGAAAATACCAAAATCACATGGGCCCGGCCGCGTGCCATTGTCATCTGGGCCTCCCCCAATCAGCCCAAAATTCCGGATCAGAACGCATCTCTGCCTCTGGATAGTAGTCACGTTGTTTCTGCTCGCTTATTAAGGAATGTCCACGCGTTCGTCTAGGCGCGACATTTTCTTAACCCCGGCACTCGTACGACAGCACCGCCAAAACATAAACAAGTCCTGCAGGCACGGGCCTCGAGCGCCTCTTGGGCTTCTTCTGGAGTTCCCCTTGGGATTCGGCTCCTCAGCTAAGTAGTGGATGCAAAATATATAACGCATTCCATAATCGACGATTTTCGTGAGAGCAATTGCCTTATGCTCTCTATCAGTAGCTCATGCATCGATAAGGTGCTCCACCAAATATGGGAAAAGTCCTAGAACCTTAAGTTCTTGGTGCTTCTACTGCGCTTCCACATCTAATGCATGAATGAAATCCATTGTTTCTGCTCAGTGATGTCGCCAAGTCAAACTTTGTGCTGGTGAGTTGGTTGCTACTTTTTCAGTAGAAATATGTCGCATGGAATGTTTTAATCTGCACGACAGGTATAATCATTATGACGTTCCAGAACATTTGCCCCAGTGCCAGAAACAATGCCCTATACGTCTCGATACGGACTTTGGATTTGCCATTCAAAAATATAATAATATGTGCTGATCGTGGAAAGCATGTGGTCAGTACCAGCATGGCATCCCACACTTCCTTACCAGTGTCGCTCATCACTGTTGTGCTTCGATCCACTCGACTTTCCATACAGACGGATGGATGCAAACTTGTATAGGTATCTTCTTATCTAAGATCTTTCAACTGATTGATAATCAGAGAGGCTCTTTGTGTTTCATGTTCACCGGAATTCTCCAAAGAGCTTGATGGCCGATGCCATGAGATGCTGATTTGGGGCACCTTGTCCATGAATATAGTCACGCTGAAGGCATTCCGCTTTCATCTCAACATTCAAATTCAGAGTCGAGCAGATAGACATGTGCCAAAAAGCCTCATTCTGTTTTCTCGATTTCTTCAGAGACTTTGCTATCCTGAAATCTTCCGAAGATGTCTGTAAGTTGATCAGTAAAACCTTTCTAGTCCATAGGCCCTGCAAGACTCATTTTGTGGTTGCTTTCTACTCCATGTCTTCTATTCATGTTTGTTTTTACTCCTCTAGTTGGGTAAAACGGGTATATCACCTAATTAAAAAACCGTAAACGTCTGCTTCCTCCAAGATTATATCGACAAATGCGCAGGCTTGCCCCGGAAAGTATATAAAAGTACCGTTGCATTGTCTGCATCCACTGTAACATTAAATGCACATGATATCATCAGTCGAAGCGGATTCTGTCTTCCTCATCCTTGGCTCTGCTGGCCAAGATTTGCTCCTCAAGAGCCCTTCTCTCGGCTATGGCCCGTTTTCTAAGCGTGTTCTTGAAAGGAAAGAATACAAGCGCCATGCCAGTTATTGCAATGCAGGCCCATGCAACCAAAATGCCGAAATTGCGGCCAATGGCACCCTTGTACGTGTCGAAGAAAATGACCTTGTTTATCTCATATGCAGCGTGGATCGGCATGGCATATGTGTACCGGTAGAAATCAGGGCACAAGGCAATAGGACTGAACGTGGCGGCAATGTTACTGATCACCCAGAACAAAAGCCAGAACCCTAGAAGTGGTGGGTAGGTCATTACGCAGAGCATACCAACCATTTCATTCATGCTTCCCACCGCACACATTGTGATGAAAGTGGTCATCCAGTAGACAAGAAACCCGGACTTTCCGAAAGCCACAGTGAAGTCGACCTGGAAAGCAAGCGTGACCAAGGAAAAGAAAAGACTGATGAAGAAAAAACTGCTGACTGATGCAGCGACTCGGTAGGATACCAAGTGCCACTTTTTGACTCCTGCCTGAATCATCCCTTTGTGAATCTCGGCGAAGAAGTTGAACCCGAAAAACGTCACGATGATCATGTAGATGAGCCCGACTTGCAACGGGGCTATGAGCACTTCATCCGTCACAGGCCGTGCGTCTACATACGTAAACTCCAAAGATGACGTGGCCACTTTCACGGAATCCATGCTAGAAAAAACCTCCGAGGTATTGACGTTCGCGAGTATCAGCTCCATGATGTTGGCCTGTTGCTGGCCAAACATTATGCCCACAGTCTGCAAATTGGGAATCACGTACAGGATCATCGCTGACATATCCCTGCCTGTCTCGTAAAAGGAGACAACGGAGTCGTATGAGACATTGTACAGGGTGTCGCCGTTGATGATGGCGTTTTTCAAGTTGATGGTTGCATTTGGCTTGACGTAGATCAGCGCCCAGTACCGCTGGTGATGCACCTGTCTCTGCACTTCTGCGTAGATGTCATGTCCGTTCTTCAGAGCCAACTCCTGGAACGCTGTGTTGTTTTGTATGAGCCAGTTGCCCAATTCACGAGCCTCTGGCGTTTGGAGCGTTTGCCTCAAGTAGTCCCCGATGTACGGATCCGTGCCGTCTATTGTCTGGTCGTCTTCAATCACCACGAGCATCCGAAGGTTTTTGAACCGTGATGTGCGCTGGTAAGCCGAGCCCCAGTAGATGGAAAATATGCCTAGAATACATGCGCCCATTAGCGCATATATCAAGAGTGTCTTGATCACTAGCGACTTTCGCTGCGCACTGAGCTTTTCGTTGAAAAACGAAAAGCCCGATCGCACTCTTTGAAGGGCGGACTGCGAGCGCTGGATTCCCAAGTTCTGCTGCTCTATTCCCTCTGAAGCCACAGCTGCGTCGCCACCAGGGCTAATATTAGTATGCCCTTCGAAAGCCCTGGCCAGCTGAGCATCGGCGCCTTCGTTTATGGAGGATCCAGAGTCCGATTTGTCTGTCATTGAATGTTTGTGTTTCTGCTTGGGAAAACTATGCTATGGGTATGAATAAATAGTATGATTGCTCGTTGATACCGGAGCAATGATGGGAAGCGAATCGATTAATTCTTCATGTACGCGCGGGCAAACGTCGAGAACGTAAATAATAAATAACTGTGCTTTATGATTTGTTTGCTGAAAGTTTATGCTGAAGAGTGGTTTCTGATGGGTCCGGAACCTGTTCTTTATACATATTTGTCAGCATGATGACCTGTGAAATCCGATCGCTCTTCATGCATATATATCTCGGGACTGTATATCGGCACATCTATGTGCAAGATATAGACGATATTCTTGCACGTAGTCGCGGAAGACCAGACGTTCTGCACAGTGGGTGCCAACAACAATCCCTTCTGGGCTATTTGGTAATAATATTGGGAGCAGCGACAGATGCACCGAGATTTACGAAGTACTTCCGTTTCCGTTGAAAGCGCAAGCTTGAAAAAGAGAAACTTCCAGTATCTACTTAGCTGCTCCCTTTCTCGGCCTCTACTAGGGTTCTTGGAATTTGTCTTTTTAGGACAAAGCCAGACAAGATGCTAATATTCTTAGCTTTTTATATTCTTGGCCCAAGATCGAGGAGGAATCTTAGTCTCGTCGTGCACAGTATGCTTAAGTAAGCAGTCTCGGAGAGCGCGCCATTCCGGGTATTCTGCCCCGCATTAATAAGAAGTTTACTTCCGCCCATGTGCAAGTAAACTGAAGATCAAGAGTTGCACCCATTCAAAGTTCCTAGGCATTGGGGAAGATAAGACTTTTACCTGACGTCAAAGGGTCAATTTCCCCATGCCGGCTTGATCTTTAAAATTATTGGGCAATACATTGTCGTGGGCATTCTCAACTCTGTGATCACTGTCCCGAGAAAGAGAGAATTAGGTATACTTGGGAACTACTTCCTTTTTGAGTTTGGTACATATATGAATAGTAGAGAATGCCGGGCTCGTGAATGCCCCCATTCATGTGACAGCACAGAATCTCCGCCAGAGGTTGTATTCGATAGCACCTGTCACCGTGTAAGCATTGTCGGTTCCAATTGCCTGATGGCTTTTTTCCTTTTACCCTTCGTGGTTTTAAAACTCTCTAGTGACACCCTATATATGATGAAAAAAGTACATGGATGTTAAGTTTTTAGCGCAGCCGCGGTTTTCAATTCGTCTCATTCTTGCCCGTCTTTCGAATAATGCAATAAATAATGACGTCTGCGTGTGAAAAAAAGACAGCACACCAAAAGAAATTGTTGGGGGCATGACAGAGCCCAAAAAAAATTCGTCTATCCTATTCACACTTGTCTTTTGCAAAGACTTTAGTCCTCCGGAATACACGAATGGTGGGGCGGATCGATTCCTCGCAAGATTAACCAAATGAGACGTGACAATCGCGACTTTTGAAATGCGACATACTGCGAATCGCAGCAGAACGGAACCTTCGATCAAGACCTTCTTTTACCGAATCTTTTAATTTCTCCCACGTATGTATTTAGTTGATTTCTCCCGACCTTCAAGCGGGCCCAGATCAAAAAGGTACAGGATCATGAACACGTATCAAGGACTTTTTGCAGCCATCTTAAAGTAGAATTTACAGACACACAAAGAGAAACTGGAAGCAAGACACTTCATCAAAGAGGTGTCAGTTTTAAATGAAAGCTTCAGATCTAAGGACTAAACAACAAAGAAAGAGAAACAGCACCCACCTCATACTCCACCAAATTCGTGGAGGCACGTGCAAGGGAGAATCAACTTCAACTTGATGATGTTTAAAAACATGCAGCTTAGAAATCCGGCTCTCATATCTGGCCCCGTTTTTAGGACACACTCGCCTTTTTTGCCTGCTGGCTTTTTTCTTTAAGACGGGCCGTGCCATTGGGCTGTCATTTGTTTTTAGCCGCCGGAGGCGGCGGCTAGCATGGCTTAACAAAGACAGGCACCGTGCTATATACAGGTCCAAAACACGCGGTTCTTCAGCATGAACGTTAGTGTACGCCTCGATCAATAATCTCAGCGCTATCGTTTCACCACACTTCTTTTTTGTTCCTAGCATGGAAATAGGCGAAGCCGTGGTATGGCAATACGCGCAGAGAGAATCAGAGCCTAGTCAGAATGTGCTTAGGCACCGCAAATCCGCGCCTCTGTTAGACACACTGGACCAGGATCCTTTTGAGGAGCTTGTAAAGCAGACCTCGACGCTTTCTCTTGCAGAGAAACAACCAGAAAACAGGTCTTTTTTCTATTGGAAATACGTGGTCTCGCCTCTTCTCCTCACAGCACTCTCCGCTTATGTGCGCTTCTATGGTATCACCAACAACCACAGCGTGGTGTGGGACGAGGCACATTTTGGCAAATTCGGCTCGTACTACATCCAGAGAGAGTTTTATTTCGACGTGCACCCGCCCTTGGGAAAGTTGCTTGTGGGTCTCTCGGGCTATTTGGCCGGATTTGACGGCGAGTTCAAATTTGAGAGTGGGCAGCCGTTCCCGCCAGGATACCATTTCATGCGCATGCGGCAGTTCAACTGTGTGTTTAGTGTCTTGTGCACGCCCCTTGCGTATTTTACGGGCTTGGAACTCGGCTACTCCACATGGACCGCGTGGTATGTGACGCTCAGCGTGGCGCTTGAGATGTTGTCGCTCACGTTGTCGAAGTTCATTCTCCTCGACTCAATGCTCTTGTTTTTCACCGTGCTGACATTTTTCTGCCTCTCAAAGTTGCATACTTTGACCAGGTCAGACAGCCTTCTATCTCTCCGAGGACTTGCGTGGCTAGCCATTTCAGGTGTGTCTATCGGCTGCGTGTGCTCTGTGAAATGGGTCGGCTTGTTTGTTACCTTACTCTTTGGCTTTTACACGATCTACGACCTCTTGGTGAAGTTTTTTCAGACCACGGTCGACCCGAAAAAGCTCCCTGGCACCTACATGTCCATCAAAAAGTATATTATACATTGGCTAACCCGGGCTGTTTTCTTGATCGCTGTGCCATTTCTCATCTACGTGGTCGCATTCAGAGTACACTTTGCTGTGCTCTCGAAATCTGGAACGGGCGACGGACTGATCTCCACTCTACTCCAGGCCTCATTAGAAGGAAACACTTTAAAAAACGGGCCTAGGTCGGTTGCATACGGCTCTCTTGTCACGCTTCGATCTCAGGGATTATCGCCCAACTTGCTCCACTCTCACCCTTCATTGTACCCCGAAGGATCCCGCCAGCAGCAAATAACGACTTACGGGTTCAAAGACGATAATAATGAGTTCCTTCTCGAGTTTGATATGTTGACCTCGCTGAGCCAGAATCGTTTTGCCACCTTGGACTACGACGATCAGCATCCTGATTATGTTCTTGATTACACGCGCCTCGTGAAGGACGGCGATATCATCCGATTGAAACACAAAAATACAGGTTGCTTTCTCCACTCGCACCCGATTGCCGCCGCGGTCCTGTCAAATCAGTACGAGGTGTCATGCTACGGTGGTATTACCATCAATGACGACCAGGACGATTGGGTCGTCGAAGTTCAAACGCAAGATCGGTCGCCTTCTGTGGAGTTCCAAAATGAAAGCAGTAACGAACTCCACCCAATTTCCACGAACTTCAGACTCAGACACAAAGTCGTTGGCTGCTACTTGGCGACTTCAGGCCACGCGTACCCAGCATGGGGTTTCCAGCAAGGAGAAGTAATGTGTAAAAACTCTTTTTTGACTCTGGATAAGAGCACGTGGTGGAATTTTGAAGACCATGTGAATGAACATTTTCCCACCCCCGAGACACCTTATGTGGCACCTAAGCCCAAGTTCTGGAAAGAGTTCATCTTGTTGAATTATGGCATGATGGCCTCGAACAACGCTTTGGTACCGGATCCAGATCACTTTGACCACTTGGTCTCAAGCTGGTGGGAGTGGCCTATATTAAAGTCTGGCCTTCGTATGAACAGTTGGGGCCCGGGTTCGTACCGATACTTCCTCATTGGTAACCCGTTCGTCACAATCTTCTCAACTTTGTGTATCTTCTTGGCAGCTCTCACATTCGGAGGTATTCTGTTTGCATGGCAACGCCAGATCATCAAGTTAGGAGTGTTTTCGGATGAGTGGGGATTTATTCTTGCCGGCGGCATACTTCCCTTCTTGGGCTGGATCTTACATTACCTTCCTTTTGTTGTGATGGGCCGCGTAACTTACCTCCATCACTATGTGCCTGCACTTTACTTCGCCATCTTTGTTTCTGGGTTCTTGGTCGAATACTTTATCGCTAGAAGGACGCGAGCATACTTCTGTTACATCATATTCCTCATTCTTTACGCGTGTATCATATGCGTATTTTGGTATTATAAGCCGCTTGCGATGGGAATGTTGGGAAGTGCAAATAATTACAAACATCTCAAGTTGTACAGGTCGTGGAATATTTGAACCTAACAATTGACTTATGATAAAGATTATGACAATGATTGAAAGTGTCCAGAACGGCTTTTCTGGAGCACATGATCACATATCAATGTTCAAAGGGACATGAAAGCGATGTAGCGGCACCAGTTGTGACGGAATCAGACCTATGAAAACGAGTACAAACACTTTATATTTATGATTTTCATAGTTGCTTTAATTTTATTTGCCAGGGTATTGTTAATGTCCCCCTTCTCATCCATACATTTGTTGGAATTTACGAGGACTGAAACTTCACAAAATGCTGTAATTTTCTTCTTCTTTTGCTGTGCTAAACGAACTCTTATCATCACAACGGTTGTAATCAAGGCTATATTTAATTGAGCTCAGAGATCTGAATTCGTCTCTTTTTTTTTTTTGGTTAGATTCATCTGATTAAAGGGGCAAAACTATATAACGAATATATATAAAAAACCTTTAAACAGCTCCCAGCTACGTACCAATTGTCAAAACTCGGCCCGTACCCTTCCGTTGGTCACGGCTATATAGAAGGTATTTAGGTGATACCCAGGTATATTAGACCAAGGCTCTTCTCTTTCAATGAAATCATTTTTCAAAAGTCAATTTCCCGAAGATGTTCATCACTAACATGAATCTTACACATCTAATACTTGTCTAATGTGACTCTCTAGATTACGTAAGAGCTAGAAAAATCACAGAAGCGCAAGTGGTTTAGTGGTAAAATCCAACGTTGCCATCGTTGGGCCCCCGGTTCGATTCCGGGCTTGCGCATTTTTTTGATGAACTATGAGCAACAGTGGGCGGTGGTTCCGCATCAGGTACATTTTGCAGATGACGAGAATTTGCCTCTTGAATGTATTGCTTCTTTTTCTCAACTAATCAAGTCGTAAATGGGTTAAAGAAAAACGGGATATATTGGTGAATGGTGTATGGTAATTTCACTTAGTGCTCTATCTGATCTAGGGAAAGCACGAGCAAAAGTGCCCATCACTAATCCCAGGCTTTCGACTTTTAGTGCAAAATTTCTCTGTTGTTTTTCTTATTTAGAGATGGGGAGAGAATGGAAAAGTCTCATTTTAACAAGCCGATATTAACAGTGCTCCAAATATAGGCGAGTATAGAGTAAAGATTAGAAAGGGCTAGTTGACAAGAGGAGTCATAGCATTGAGTCTTGCGATGACTGTTTTCTTGACAAATCCCAGCATACTTCAAGCCGTTCAACCTGAAAGAAATGGCAGAAGAGGAAGATCTAGACAGTTTTTCATTGAAGCATACTACCCCGATTTTGAAGCACAACGGAAGATGTTTCTATTCAATATTGAACATCTTTTGAATGTTCCGGCATATGTAGTTCAGGACTCAAAAGACCAGGCCTCGAAGTTTATGTTACAAATTAGGGTCTATACACAACGAAACACAGAATATGAAAAGCGGTATATCCATATTTGACCTGTGGATTAAAAACAAGGCCAACACTTATCTTGTAATATTAGAGGTAGGCTGGTCACGTGCCAGTTGAGGCTCTAAAACATAGTTATGCTGACGAAGGCCCAGGTACGCACGTCCAGGAACATGCTGTGATAGCGTGGAAATCATAGGAAACAAGCTTCTCACCTGTCAAGAAAAGCATCGAGGCCGGATTCTTGCTGCGGGGCTGTGTTCTTTCAAATACAATATTTGCACCCGCGACCAAGCTGTCTGCGGCAGCAACTGGAAGGCGAGAAAAAACCCCCATCATATTTTCTGAGCCACTACGAGAATATCGACACATACCATCGATGTATTCGTGGAACCACACAGATGTGAACGCGACCAAGAAAGCCGAGAGGCCGAGCCCCCGGTTTGCGGGCGGTGCATGAACCCCGACGCACGGCCCGTCGTATCTCCCCTCCTGCATGCAGCGGCCGCCATGCGCGTTGACGAGCCTCGACTCATCGTGCAAGCACGGCGCATCTCTAATCTAAAGAGACCAACTCAGTGCAAGCAGGCCACCACGCTTCACATCGGCAACAACATGGAGTACAGCAACACGTACATGGAAGAGGGCGAGATGCCTGCACTCGGGGACCCCCAGGCCAGCGGCGTCTCCCTGCAGTACCTCGGCCCCGGCCCGGAGGAGCCGGCATTAGGCAATGATGAAAATCAGACGCATCCTATTGTCGACGAGGAAGAGCTCTTGGCGGCGCAGGAGGCCGCAGACGCAGCGGTCATGCAGCAGCAGCAGCACGGCACGCCCGGCGGTGTTTTCGGGAACGTGGGCCAGGGGCTTGCCGGCAAGAACCGGGAGCTCATGATGCAGTACTGGCAGCAGACCATCAACTCCATCGAACACGACGACCACGACTTCAAGAACCACCAGTTGCCGCTAGCACGAATCAAGAAGGTCATGAAAACCGACGAGGAGGTGCGCATGATCAGCGCCGAGGCGCCCATTCTTTTCGCCAAAGGCTGCGACGTGTTTATCACCGAGCTCACCATGCGGGCGTGGATCCACGCAGAGGAAAACAAGCGCCGCACGCTCCAGAAGCTGGACATTGCGGCTGCCTTGACGAAGAGTGACATGTTCGACTTCTTGATCGACGTCGTGCCGCGCGAGGAGGAGAAGCCCAAGAAGTCGTATCCTTCCCGGCCCGATGCCTTCGGTGCCCATATGCTCCATGGCCTGCAGGCCCCGATGCCGCAGATGGCCCATGCAAGGGGCGGCCTGGCGCCCACCCATGGTGCAGGCTTACCGCCAGGCCTGGTTTTGGCGGGAGGCCCACTAAACGTGCCGCAGCAGGAGGGCCCGGGGCCCAATCTGGCGGCCAATGCCGCTGTGCTGGACATGTAGCCCATGGGCCGAATGCCGGAGCCGCTGCAGCCGCCGCCGGGGGCTGCGAATGGCCAGGACGCGATATCCGGGGGCGTTGAGCCGAGGGGCTCCCCCGGAAACCGGGCCCATTTGCCTGGCCGGCCCCACGAGACAGGCCCGGATGAACTGGGTCTAGCAGGAGCCCAAAACGAGCCCGGGCAGCCTGCACGGGCGGGGGCCCCGTACTATGGGGGGTATGCGTCGTACCCTGCTTTGGAGTAGCAGGGCTTGTGAGTTGGAATTTGGGATTTGTTGTTACGGTGGGTTTGTTATAATGGGCCTGTGATGGTGGGTCTGTTATAGTGGGTCATGGTTATGGGTCATGGTTATGGGTCTGTGATAATGAGTCTTTGATAATGGGTCTTTGATTATGACTCTATCATTTTGGATCTATTATCATGGGTCTATTATTATGACTCCATTATTATGGCTCTATTATCATGGGTCTATTATTATGGGTCTATTATTATGGTCTATTATTATGGGTCTATGATTATGGCTTCATTACTATGGCTCCACTACTATGGCCCCTTTTTTACGGCTCTACTATAATGGGTCGACGACGATGGGCCCAGGATTATGGGATCCATGATTGGGACTCTTTGAAACCAATGAGGTCTGTGACTCCATAACTGTCAAGGTCCATGTGGGGTTCACGAGCTCTGTGAACTGGATGTTTGATTCACGGGCTGTATGTCCACGAGTTCTTGGTCTTTCTGCATTATATGGATTCTGTGGGCTCCACAAATTTCATGAATCGTGCGAGTCCTCGACTTGACACAACTATGAACCGCTTCTGTCGAACATGCTCTGATTTATCAGCATCTGTGGGACCGGCAAATTGGAATTTCATGCTCACCATGGGCAAGCAGCCGCGTGCTTGCTTATGAAATGGGCCATTGGCCCCAATGTGGAACTGTCGCTTTATGAAAATCCCAGCTATGTTGGTATATAAGCTGGCTTATTCTCCCTGCAGATCGTGGCTGGAAAATGCCGTTCCCATTTGTCCAAGAGATTATAGGAAGACATTCGCCAACTATGTCAGCATCGTTTTCCGTTTGATTGAGACTGCATCCCCGTCACAATTATAAACACTTTGAGATGCTAACAACGCCCGCTGGTATCATTCATTTGCTCAATTTCATTTATGGAAATTATTTACAGTGGATGAAAGGATGCCAATTGGAAGACCATGTATGCCAAGTACGAGGTCTGCCTCAGAACCAGATTGGCTCATTGCCCGCATGGCATATTATGCAAAGCCGGGACTTGACTACTTCCGGGCTCTCATGCTGGTTGTTTGAACGCGAGCCACTCTTGGATTATGCTTATGCTTAAAGGTTGGAAGTGAGCAAACTCCAGTGATGAGCATTTAAACAGACTAATACTCGCAATCATGAGATTTCTGAAAGACGGTGGGGGCTTCTCATGGCGGCGAGTTTTGTGATGGCTTAACATGGCTTTCACTGAGATCGCAGCACGCCGTATGGCTTCCTTTGTGTTCATGCTTAGTTACTGGAGGCCGCAGAAAATGGACTGTAACCAGCTCCATATTTCGGCCCACTGTATTTGCATGGTCTCTATGTTATGGAGTCACATATTTGTGTTGGTGATGAAAACGCCACCCGTCTCGCAGCTCTACAGTGTCCACCCTGGATACTCCGGCTTTCTATATGTTTTATAAGATAATGATGATGATGATGATGATGATGATGATGATGATGATGATGATGATGATGATGATGAGGAGGAGGAGGAGAAGGAGGAGGACAAGGAGGATGTTTTTTGAGTTGTGGCGCACCGTTGATTCTTTTGTTAGTTACCGGCGTCAAATCACCTCTCTGAATGTCTTGACGTAATTTCTCTAGTAGCAGGAACTGGATGCATTCAGAAAGGGGTTAAACATACGAGTCATACGTGGCTCTCTTTTAATACAACCCCGCGGCATCTAATCATAGTCGTCATATTTAAAGTGATCTGGTTCAACAATACGGCACAGCCCTTCAAAAGAATTTCCGAATGCCCAATTTCTGCGGGATTCCGGTGGACATTGAAATTGTGTGCTCCAGCTATTATTGATGTTTTAATGTACTACCTCAGCTGTTGACGCTTTTTACAAATCTTTACTTTGATGCGGTGATCAAATGCACAATGATACTTATTCATTCAGTTTGATGAGGACCATTGAGTCAATGTGTTGTTTTGATAATGATTGAAAGAAGAAAATTGTGTGATGATTTTACAGGAAGTACAAGAGCTGTAAACAGTTTTAGATATGTAGCTAGGGTCGAAATCGTGTGGCTCCTTTCCGCTCATCGGTTTACGCATTTTAGGAGCACCTTAAACATCAATTACAGTGGAACGTGTTTATGAACGGGATTTTTCTTGAAAGAAGCACTACTATTAGTGTCTACCATTTTGGACAGCCACAAAGACGAAATCCTAGTGATTTTGAGCCCGTTCGAAGTGCACTTGTTCAAGCTTCTACTTGTACAGGTAGGCCAAGATATTCAGATGGACCAAATACAAAATTCTTCATTCCTAGTTGTCTCAAACCTTGTTTGTATATTTGGTAATGTTAAAGCTTTCATATTTTCTTGGATTAATTTGGGCGCAATATTCCATTTGTAAAGTTGTTATATACTGAATGTAAATCACTGTACTGTACTGTATTGTGTTGTACCATGTTGTTTTGCATTATATTGTATCACACTATATTATATCACACTATATTATGTCACACTATATTATGTCACACTATATTATATCACACTATATTATATCACACTATATTATGTCACACTATATTATATCACACTATATTATGTCACACTATATTATATCACACTATATTATGTCACGCTATATTATGTCACACTATATTATATCACACTATATTATGTCACACTATATTATATCACATTATTATGTTATATCATATTGTAATACAATACACATCAAGCAAATGCTAGCATGCTTACAACAACGCACCACTAGGATGCACGTCTGTTCAGGACATAATCCAACGTGGTGGGGCAAACGTGATAGGGCTGTGATAGGGCCTTGGCTTAAAGCGTACAGCGGCTAGCGGGCAGTGCAGTCAATGTTTTGCCCTTTGAATCCTGATCTCAGCATTACTAAGAAATCTTTTGAAAGTCTCACATAAGCCCTGATATATATCGCATTCCTCACCTAGCAAACTTCGCACCCCCACTCATGAACAGACAGATTCTGCAACAGCAAAACAAGCGTTCAAGCGCCACATCAGTACAGTCCGGCCGGCATCCCCAAACAGCCGGCGCGGGATTTGTACCTGCAGACAGTGGATGCAAATATCCTGCATCTACCAACAACCACGTGTGGATCACGTGGCGTGGGAACGAAGGCTCTCCCGAGCCCGCCAGTTGAGGCGCCGCGGCGATCGCAGACCCAAGTATCCGACGCTGGAGCACGCCATGACGCTGCCAAGACTCCAGCTGGCCCCGCGGCCGATGGTTGCGGCGTCACGTGACCAGAGCAAGCATGTGCCCGCGCTTCGGGCCGGCCGCGAGCCGCACGCCCCTGTGCACACCGCCGAGCCTGGAAACAAGGGCACATTTCCTGGCCCCCAGAACTGGAGAATTGTAAAGACGAGGGCCGGGCGGCGCGGCACGTGACCGCCGCAGCCCGTTGCCATTGGCCCGCCGCCGCATCCGCGGGCCGCCGGCAAATCTCGTAAACCATGGAAAAAAAAAGAACCCAGCTCCCCGCCCGGGCTCTTGCGGGTTCCCCCGAGCGAGGCCTGCGTGCACAGAGCCTACGGGGGCCATATAAACCTGTCCCCAATGTGCCTTGCTCTCCGCCCCGTGAAAGCAAAGCAAAGTCTCACCACCCATGTTGGCTATATATAGAGGAGCGTCACGCGTAGCGCCCCGGGTGACCCGGCTCGTGCCCCGGACTTTTCAGCACAAACCATTCAGACAAACGAAAATGAACTTGATGACCATTTCGCAGCTGTTGGACGAGGCGTACAACAAGCATCAGATCGTGCCGGAGGTCGTAGACAAGTTCGACACGCAGGGCTTGTTGACCATCGAATACGGCCCAGACGGCCAAAGTGGCGAAAACGGGGAAAACACCCAAAACGGTGAAAACACCCAAAACTCCCAACACTCCCAAAACTCCCAAACTGTCCAGGTCACGCTCGGCAACACGCTCTCGGTCAAGGACACGCAGCAGCGGCCACAAATCCAGTTCACGCTCAACCTGCCCAATCCGGAAAAGGAGTTGCTGGTGAGTTCCGAGGACCGGTTCATGTTGGTGTTGACGGACCCGGACGCGCCGTCCAACACCGACCACAAGTGGTCGCAGTATTGCCACTGGATCGCCACGGACTTGTCGTTGAACTCGCGCGCCAACGGCGGCGACAGCTTGTCGACCATGTTGGACTTTTCACAGGCCCGCGAGCTCGTGCCCTACCAAGGCCCGGCGCCCCCGGAGAAAACCGGCAGGCACCGGTACGTGTTTTTGTTCTATAGGCAGGACCCCCAGGCCAACTTGGTGGCGCCCCCGGACCGGCCCACCTGGGGCACGCTGGTGCCGGGCTCGGGGGTCCGCGAGTGGGTGCGGAAGCACGGCGGGCGCAGCGAGTTGCTCGCGGTCAACTTCTTCTATGCCCAGAATCCCGTCCAGGAGTGAGCGTGCCGACGAGGCTCCGAAGGGATGGGAGGCGGAAGCCGGCGTGGGTTCGAGGCCCCCGGGCGAGGCCAGAAGGAGGCCTATGAGGGTCAGAAAAAGTCCTGTGAGGGTCAGAAAAAGTCCTGTGACAGCCAGAAGGAGGCCTATGAGAGCCAGAAGGAGGCCTATGAGAGCCAGAAGGAGGCCTATGAGAGCCAGATGCCAGATGAAACGCACATGAAACCCACGTCAAACCCACAGCCACACCAGTCACCACCGGGCCGCCCGGGCCAGTGAAACCACCGGCAAGTAGATTGCACTATACACGTGACCCCCGCCCCCGGCGCCATTCACCGCCACCGCGCAGAACTGTAGTCTTTGGGGCTCACCACCAACCCCTTGCCCTTGGTGGCGCCGCGGTAGATGGTCTCGAGAATGTCGATCATCTCCTGCTTGTTGTCCACGAGGAAATTCATCTTGTTGTTGTTGCCCGTGCCGAAGTCGCACATCATGTGCTTGTTGCGCCAGAAGAACATCACCGTACAGGGCTCGTATAGCTCGTACATGTCATTGAAGTCGGGCACCGTCGTGGTGTCGCAGAGATAGATGGCGGCAAAGTTCTTGACCCGCTCCGCTATGCCAAAGAGGATCTCGTCCATGATCATGCACGGCGTGTCGGTGTCGGCACCAAACCGGATCACCACGAGCCGCTCGTCCTCAGAGAGAATGGCCTGGTCCACATGCCACCCGGAATTGAGGTGGGGAAGAAATATCGAGCTCATGGAGTCTGGTTCGATGAGAGCCTGGTTCGATGAGAGCCTGGTTCAATGAGAGGCTGGGGTGAAGAGCGTGGGGAAGAGACTATGGAAGAAATAGCGGCGACTAGATGACAGCGGCACACAGCCGAAAATCCAAGGAGAGAGTTCTATATAGGAGACGTCAAAGGCCTACAGTAGCAGGGTACAGGCTACTTTTGGCGAAGGCCAGTCGCAAGGCAGGCCGGGGCTCGAGCGGAGCGCCTATGTGCAGGTCCAGAAACCTGGTGCTGTTTTTGGCGGGGCCCGCCGGGCTACGGTGCCGTGTTTGCAGGACGTGGCCGTTTGTGTTTCTGCTTGCTGTGTTCAGTTCGCAAAAATACTTTTTTCTTCTTACTTGGTTGGTTTGGGTGGATATGGTGCGACGGGTTCTGGGGCGCATTTTGGTAGAGGGCGAGGAGCGGCCGAGACATGTCTCTCATCATGGGTCACGTGCTCGGAACCAGCAAAGTAGTAGCCAGCAGAATAAAGAATCGGGAGCAGCTAGTGAGCGAAAGCTGGTATAAGTTCACATTGCAGATTCAGATTTGTCTTTTGGTATTTTCAGCGGCTGGCCCGAACCTGACATGTGCCTTTCTCTTGACGCCGTGCCGATAGGCCAATTCTTTCACGGCTGCAGAAATGCGCATAAGTCGGAGACATTTAATTAGAATGGTATCGCGATTCTCTTTGAATGTGAGGAAATGACCCAAATAGTGGCCTGTGGCACAGCAGGAAATGAGTACTGCCACATCACAGCAGGGTCTGTCAAATCTTAACATAAAGCACTCTTTTCAGAGTACTGACTCAGTTTTTCTTTTAATGCTTTACTTTCTTCATTGTTTGGTACCCTACCTCAGCCCATTATTTTCTTATACTTAACTCATGTAAAGCGTAAAGCGCTGTGTTACCAAGAAATTGATATAATTTCTTATTGATCCTTTACTACCCTTTGAGCCTGAATAACTTTCTTAGCTGTATTCGTTTTCTATTCTTCGTGATCAAATACTCAACTCGACCTTCATAAAATAAACAATGAATTTCTACAGGACATATAGAAAGTATACAGCACACGAAAAGAGTCGAGCGAAAATGCCAAGACAAGCCAACACGGGCTTTAATTGCTTTCAGAATAATTGTATTTTCATTGCAGAAGCAAAAACCATATAGTGTGAATTATTGTTTCTACTCCAGTTGCTAGTTGCTTTCATTGTGCTGATCTTCTCGTTTGGAAAATCAACCAATTTTTGACGGAACAATAGATTTTGAAATCATACCTCGTCTATATTGGGCTGAAGATGTGCTTTGAGGTATTCAAAATAGAACAACCTTCTACACGACAATGACTTTGCACGAGTCATTATGAAAGTGACGGTGATTTTTCTTCGAGAAAAACCTATTTTTTGTTTACATTTTGTTAAAATTCCAAATACTGACCTAAAACAGCGCTGTAAATTATCTGCAGATAAACAAAGGTAATTTGCAAGCACTTAACAATCAGAAGACTTGAGCTAAACAATGGTGAATCCTACTCGAGATGATAAGCATACTCTTGAGAATTTAATAAAATGTCTTAACCCACTCTTGTGAAGCATCATATATCATATAAATACCAAGTCAACCCCCTTGTTGTTCCAATGCTCTGTCCTCTATACTGACAATTTTGCAGAGAGCACAACTCAAGCTGAATAGAAAATGCAAGTAATATCCTTTCACTCTTATTGGAATGTCCACTTCGCCATGACTGCCGAGCAGTATGAAAAGAACTTTGAGCATTCATCCTACACCCCAATAGAGAACAAGGGCGTGGACGAGTTCTTTAAAGAACAAAAAAAAATTCACCGCGAGGCCTGCAACAATCTTTGCCAATATCAAATCGAAGTTCACCAGCTTCTCGAATTGCAGAAATTAAATAGAGCCCCTTTGGAGTCGACAAAAAAAGAACGGGCCGAATATTCGAAAACAGAGCTCGAAGTGCGCATAGCAAAAGCCAAAAAGAATATTGAAGACATTTCAAAGCTGGTATTTTTAACCAAGCTGGTAATTGAATGGTGCCAGGAATGGATTGAAAATCGTCAAGGTAGATCTTACAAGTCACCGGAACACATGTATAGCCAGTTGCCTAAAACGTATAAGGAAGTTGTTGACTATTTTGTCCTGGAATGTGTCAAATTCTATAAAGAGGACGCAATTCAAAACTTAGCCTCAATTTCCAAAAGACGCCAGTCTGCCATGCACAAATAAAGTGCCTGAATTCATTTGATATTTAATGTTTATTGTTTCCCATATGATAGGTACACCGTAGAGAACACATTTTCCCGTAAAATCTGCTCCTTCTTTTTATATAGACGCGGCTGATTTCAGGATGGAAGTAAGTATAGCCGGTATTGTGGATATGTTTGAAGTTCAAAATTGAACACTTACTGCACTATTTAGATTTTTGTTTGTGAACGGCTGCATAGACGAAAAATCTTGAAGATTTCTTTTGTAGTACGAGTCGTCGGAAATCAAGAATGTTATTGTTGGTTTAAAAGTGTGCGGGTTTGGGCTCGATTTGAGCCGATTATTTTTTGTTATCGTTGATGATTGCAGAGGATTATAAAAAGAGGTTTTTGTGGCTGTACTGGTTTAGTCATGAATAACTAACTGGGAAAGCTGCTGATGCGGAATTAGGTTTCATCTTTCAATAACAGTGCTGGTCACTCAATGATTCTTGTAGGGAAAGGAATTCCCTCTTGCGATCCGAACGCTAGCTGTTTCATCTGAAGATTAACACAAGTCTGCCGCGAAATGTCTACCGTGATTTCATAAGGGCTTTTCTCAGTATGAAGAAAACAAACGTTTTTGTTGATCAGTATGATTTATGCCTGCTCACAGGAAAAAACAAGAAAGAGTTGCTACATGGGCTAATCAAGTGACATGCGCAGTTTTGAATATTACTGGAGGGATTTCGAATATAAGCATATTTCCAACATCAACAGCTCCCGCGTACAAAGATAATATATGATTCTAAATGGAACTTTCGTCGAGAGAGACACTTCTGGGTTTTTTTCTTGAACTATCGAGAAAACTATCCCCACTTATTTTCAATTATATGTAAAAGTCCCGAGTCCCAGTATGTAGTCCACAGTTGCATCCCAATAAATGCATCATCGTGATAATTACTCTGCACCGCTCCTCTGCGAAAAGTGGGTTTTTTTTGTGGGTTTCGTGGGTGCAAATTACTGAGAATAGTTTTCGCACCAGTTTCACAAAATCATGCGTAGAGAACTTTCTTGAAGTATCAAGACACCCGAAACATTCTCAGAAAACCAAAACTCGACTCTTGAGATATTCTAAGCCTTATAAACAAAATGGGCCTGGACTCACATACCAAGGGTCATGGTCACAATTCATCTGAAGATAGTCTAAGCATATATAGTCCAATTCGTCATGACCAGGATTCTGGCATTCATCCCCAGACACGCGACTCGGTAACTTCCAGAACTTCCATGGTACCCTGTACTACCAGATCCTTTGAAGCCGAAACAAACGAGCCCCACGTTATTCTGGCAGGGATCGAGACCTCCTGTTCTTTTGAGCTTTTCAAAGCCCCGTCTGCTAGAAGCAATATATTTAGCCACGAAGACAGCATGATCTTGAAATATCTCATCACACTCCACCGTAGCCTGGAGGACCCAGCTCTATACTTCAAATGGGGCGTCTGGAGAAATGGGGGCCCTGACGAGGGCCTCCGGCTCGAGGATATTCTAGAAACAGAAGTCCAGCTAGTCACGTGGAACAAGCAGATCAAAAAGGACTGCTCGGGAGAGGCAGCCTACCTCCGCTTGGGTCTTCATCCTGACCGCATATGCGGTAAAGTTGCATTTCAAATCAGCCTGCGAGATGCAAGGAATTTCTTTCAGGAAGTCGCCTCTGTGGTGCTTCGCGAGCTGCTTTCCTTGCCCATGGCTATCTACAGTACGTATGCTTTTGCAGCGGTGTATTTTAGATGACGGTCACTAACGTAGGTTCTGAAAGAACGTAGGTTCTGAAAGAACGTGGCATTTGTGACAAAAAGGTTTCATATTGGGGAAAAGACTCATTAGAATCCATGTTTTGGTGACGCGTCTACGATTTTCGAATGGAACCAGAATCTGGCCCCAATATACAAAATTACTGACAAAGCAGTTCCTGTGATTGGTGTTGATCTCAATGAGCGGCCCGCAGATTACGCTATTGTCAAGCTCTGGCTTGGCCCGCGGCTTCTGAGCGGCACCCCGGTTCTTGAGCAGATATCACTACTTTTGCTGCGTCTCGAACAGACGCTTCCTTGTGAATTGAGGGCGTCTTGTCGCTCGGCGATTTATATACACGAGCGCGGTCACATAGTGGCCCTCGGCAAGGAATGATGAAGACGAAGAAGAGATAGCAATTTGGCCAAACAATGCTTTTGGTGCGGATACGATATTCAGAGAAGCCAAGGTTTATTGTGGCCAAATGAAGCTGATATCGCGAGGCTTTTTAAGCTACAATTTGAACTCTGCTTAAACAAGAAATTCGGCAGCTGAACGTGTGTAATGGCGAGTCATCTTGGTTTATCCTAAAGTATGAGAAGTGATCATGGCTGGCTGAATGCGTACTTTTCACTTTGCACAAGTCCACCCACCCAAGTCCACCGACACTAGAGATTGGGAACGCTTGAGTAACCAGTATTTTAGAGATTTACAAGAAAAATGGCGTTGGTCACAGGGCTCGTCTGTCGGTCTTCGGTGAGATGGCTAGGTGCTCAGCCTTATAGGGCGATACGTATTCAGTGATACAAGCTTCAAGAAGTTATCCATCACAAACAGCTACGAAAGCTTCAAGCAGCACCCCTATATGGCTCATCTATTTGCCAATGTGCCATGGGGTATTATTGGGATGCTTAAAAAAATCCCTGATCTATTACTAATTTGAGACTAGCAGACAGTCTCCGTGATTTACCTATACGCCTTGGCAGCGGATTTTAACATCACCAAAAGGTCCACTTGGGGATCTGACCTATCTTTCTACATTTCCGAGACCCTTTTTTTGGATCTTGAAATCCCGTTCTCCTGACCTCCTGTTTCCTGACACCCCGTACTATTTAATTTTGGTTTACTTGACTGGCCTATTGTTCATCAGCTTCCGGTCACGTGACGCGCGTCTGGCCAAATTACGCGCCCGGTACTCCGCTTTTTCCCTCTTCACCACCGTTCGTGTTCTTTAGACACCCACAACAGCCCTCCAAACCCAAGCGTTTCCCGCAAAAATGACCGAAATCGACCTTGGCATCACTGCGGATATGCACGTGCATCTCCGCGATGGAAAAATGATGGAACTTGTCACGCCCACCGTCAGACAAGGCGGAGTGTCTGTTGCCTACGTGATGCCCAACTTGGCGCCGCCCGTCACAACGCTTGAACGCGTGCAACGTTACAGAAAGGACTTGCAGGCACTCGCGCCAAAAACGACGTTTCTCATGAGTCTCTACTTGTGCAAAGACTTGACGCCCGAGTTGATCCACGCGGCGGCTAAAGCGGGCGCCATCCACGGCGTCAAATGCTACCCTGCGGGCGTGACCACCAACTCGTCTGCAGGCGTCGATCCAAACGACTTCACGCCATTTTACCCGGTCTTCGAGGCCTTGCAGGCCGAGGACTTGGTGTTGAACCTCCACGGCGAGAAGCCACCAGTCAAGGACGGCGACATCCATGTGCTCAACGCCGAGCCGGAGTTTCTCCCCGCGCTTGTGAAATTGGCCCGTGACTTCCCCAAGTTGAAGATCATTTTGGAGCACTGCACCACCAAGGCCGCTGTGGACACAGTCCGCAAGCTCCACCAGGAGAACCCGGCTTGCAGGGTGGCAGCCACCATCACTGCACACCATCTTTCGCTCACCATTGACTCGTGGGCCGGCAATCCCATCAACTTCTGTAAGCCTGTAGCCAAGCTTCCTGCAGACATGCGTGCCTTGGTGGACGCGGCCACCAGTGGAGAGCTATACTTCTTCTTCGGCTCGGACCTGGCTCCTCACCCGATTGAGAGCAAGGCCAAACACGTTGGCGTATGTGCGGGTGTGTACACGCAACTGCACGCCATTGCGTATCTAGCAGAGGTCTTCGAGTCTGCTGGCAAGTTGGAACATCTCGTCAAGTTCGTGTCTGAAAACGGAAAAGCCTTCTACGGCATCAAAGACGCCGACTTGGTCAGCAAGGATCGGGCGGTGTTGGTTGCGAGAGAAAACCAGGTGCCGGAGGAAATCGGGAACAGCTCGCTCACCGTGGTGCCTTTCAAGGCTGGTGACAACTTGAAGTACGCCGTTGAATGGAGGGAGTGTGGAGAGCAGTAAGGAAACTGCAAGGGCTTAGGGTGCAAGCAAGCTTCATGGACTGTGGTCATCCGTTTGTGTGTACCTTGGGTGGGACTCTTGAAAGGCAGAACCCGTATATATTGCCGGTCCCCGGTGCAGCGAACTCATGTGTCCGAACTCAGACTCGTGTCTCACTTCATGTACTGAACTTGAAAACTGTCTATTGCCAGCAGCACCTAGATCACGTGGGTGCTCGGGTCACATGAGTACTCAGGGCTACTGACTTGAGCGTGTGCAATCAGCAGCTTTCAACACTCGGAATTGATTCTGGGATTTCTGGCAACCCCTCTTGTCGAGTTGCCTCCCTTTTTGAGTTCCGCGTGTGCCACTGGTCTTGGTGGGCATTGTAGTTTGGCAAGTGACATGGCTACAATCGTCATGCCACGCCCGTTTGATGACAAGATGATACCACTAGGTCGCCAGCAGATCCTTGACGCAAGATTTAAACATGAAGAATAAAATTTCATGTGGTCATCAATAATAAAATGAAAGACACATGCTAAATCCTTGTAAATCAATATGGCCTAGTACTTATTAGCTCGGAGTTGCGCTCTGCACGTGATCCGTCAAATACGAGACGGCTCTGCATCATTGCAGATTTCCCGGGCCCAACAAAAAAGAAAGCACAGGCCCTGGTGTGTCGCACGACAGGGATTTTAGTGCAAAAGCTTTAATTGGGCCAGAGGTTATCTGTGGACACCCTCTGGCTGTGCCAAAATCACATGCAAATCCAGCGTGCGTCTGTCGCGCAGCACGTGCAAGGTGGCTCAAGCTCGTTTTGGACATGTTGAAATCGGACACTCCATATATATATAAGCCGGGAGTACCTGAAACCACTCGCGTAAAAACCAAACGGCCATATTGCATAGATATGTGTCATACTTAAAGCAAAGGGGGTAAAGCTGTCTCACGTGACCGGCCATCTCGCTTGTGTGTGTCTGTTGGTTCTTGGCATGCATGGCATGTGATTTCCTATGGTATTCATATAAATGACGCGGACGTCCTGCGAAAGTCAAAGTCAGAAACGTATCAAGCAACGACTAAGTTATAACAAGTTGGGACATTTTGTCACGAGCGGGACAGCTCAGTCGTTTTCAGATTTCAAGATTATGGTTGTCGCCACGTGCCACGATCCACGTGGCCACTTTGAGTGATTTATTCTTCAAATTCAGTCCCAGATATATGGGGGCGCACTGCGAAGCCGGCCGCGTGGGCCCTATTATTGTGCGCGACACGCCCGGCCCAAATTTTGGACATGAAGATTTGGATGTCACAAAACAGTTAAAGCACGGCTAACTTTCGCTCGTTTTCTCGTTTTTTTCTCCTTTTTTCTAGCTCTGACTTGCTTCTTGTGTTTGCGGTAAGATTCAGTTGCTGCACGTGAGAAGTATGGATATGGACCACGCCGATACGCTGAAGTCAGATAAGGCATGGGGCATGGCTCCTAAGCAAACCAATTGGGGCATATGGCCCTAAAATGAGAGAGCCGCGCAGGGCGCGCGGTATGTGCAGGCCGAATCATTAGAATTTTCCAGCCATATTTCATGTCTGCAGTTTGACTGTGCAGCTGCATGCCACGGCGCAGGCTCGTGTAGGCGATATCATGATGGCGAGCGCTATATAATAAGAAGAATCCCACCTCCTACGCAGACATGATTAATTTCAACCATCTACGCCTTTCTAATTTCAAACCAGGCCTTCTGCTGCATCTGTCTCGACCGACTCTCCGCGGACAAGCCACCGACATCTCATCCTAAATAAGGAAATCTTTCAGCTCTTGGCATTGCATCGACTAGCGCACCATGGCTTCTAGAGATCTCCCCCATTCTTTCCTGGAGGCTCTCTTTGGCTGGGCCAAGAAAATCCCAGAGGAAACGTCGTTCCATCCCGAACAGGAAATCGATGAGAACGGAGAGGTCAAAAGAGTGCAGGCCAAAAACTTGTGGCCCGCATTTGTTTCCGGAGCCGGCCTTTTTTCCGACGGATATGTGAACAACTCGATTTCTACCGTGACCACGTGTCTCGCCATCACATACGGAGACCAGTACACCGAGTCCAACGCCATTTCTAATATTTCTGCCATTGCGTTCGCCGGCACTGTGATCGGCCAGTTGACGTTCGGCTACATTTCAGATCATGTGGCGCGGAAAGGCGGCATGTTGATTGCAAACCTTCTTTTGATTTTCTTCACTCTTCTCTGTGCCGTCGCCACATGGGGAAAGACGCCTGAGGGCTTGTTTGCTGCACTCACGACATTCCGGTTTTTCTTGGGCATTGCCATTGGTGCGGAGTACCCGACGTCGTCCGTGATTGCCTCTGAATTTGCCAACCAGTTGCCTCCGGGCCACCGGAACCGGTATTTCTGCTGGTTCACGAACTTCACCATAGATGCTGGATTTGTCGTGTCGGCCTTTGTGCCGTTGGTGTTGCTTTGGATCTTCTCGGAAGACCACTTGTCGCCCGTGTGGAGATTGACCGTGGCCCTCGGTGTGTTTCCTCCCTTGGCGCTTTTCTTCATGAGACGCAAAATGAAGAATTCCGACTCGTACGAGAAGCTCAACATGAAGTCCGTCAAGAAGTTCCCCTTCTGGCTCGTGTTCAAGTTCTACTGGTTCCGCTTGGCCGTGGTGTCGACGATCTGGTTTGTCTACGACTTTTCGGTCTACTCATTTGGGCTCTATTCGTCCTTCATCCTCACCCAGATCTTGCCTGGTGACGACATCTATAAGGCGTGGGGCTGGAACGTAGTGTTCAACTTGTTCTACATCCCGGGCTCGTTTTTGGGAGGGTTTTCGACGGATTTCTTGGGGCCCCGTCTCACGTTGTTCATTGGGCTTGCGTGCCAAGGTGTCATTGGCATGGGCATGACTGCAGGATACGCCCACTTGAAAAACCACATTGGTGCTTTCGTGGTGGTGTACGGTATTTTCATCACCTTGGGTGAGTTTGGTGCAGGCAACAACGTCGGTGTGTTGGCCTCGAAAACATCGGCCACGCCCATCAGAGGCCAGTACTACGGAATCGCCGCGGCCATTGGAAAAGTCGGTGCTTTTGTGGGCACGTACATTTTCCCCATCATCATCAAGAACAACGGAGGCTACGACAGCGACAGAGGAATCACCACGGCGTTCTACATTTCGTCCGGCTTGAGTTTCTTTTCTGCATTCCTTGCGTTGTTCCTCTGTCCTTCTATTGGCCAGGATTCCATCGACAAGGAGGACAAGGCTTTTGTCGAGTACTTGAGGGCAAATGACTATGACATTTCGCAGATGGGCAACGGCGAGGTGGTGCAAGACTACGAGAGTCACCTTTCGGAGGACGAGAAGGCCAAAAGTGTCAATGTGCAAGAGTCCAGCATCTAAGCTGTGGCTGCACGGTGGTCGATAGACATGTGTACATACTAATACTATATTAATCTAGAGTCGTGAACCTGAGTTGTGGCCCAACGCAACAGGATGTATATATCATTTGCCCAGCGAAGAAAATGGACGTGAAGGCACCACCAGTTGTACTGAAACAGAAGCAAGCTTCTTTTTGTTTTTATTTGGGTGGTGGTGAAAGATTGGGAGTGGCATCATATAGTACAGATGCATGTTTTCTCCGGATCGTGGTTGTGAGATACTGCTCGGAATAATCTGACGTTACGCTACAAAATACACGTGAAGCTTGGTACCACGAACGGCTTTAGTGGATTCGACTTGGAGAAAACTTGAATTCCACTCCAGTCTTTTGCACCTGCGGCAAAAGAATCGACTGGTTATCATTCACTTATTAAAAGAAGAGGCATACTCATTTGCTCCAAAACAAATCAGACATGCATGTTCACTAGCCGGCTTTCCCGGCTGCATGTCTTCTTATTCTGGGGTTTTCTGGAAAATGAACTTTCACCGTCTCAATGCTTAGTATTGCATCAAGCATGCATTGTCTTTTCGATGTGAGTTGTTTATATCAAACGACGGAAGCAATCCGGTGGTCTAGTCTGGTTATTATCTCGCTTTATTTGATTCTCAATGGGTCGCCCGAGGCTTTCCTTGTACATGATCGATGGGCTGTCTTTCTGGTGATTGAATCAAGAGTGCTTTCATTTTCGCTTTTTCTAAGCGAAAGTTGACGCTTAAATTGGAGATCTTAAATGAGGAGGTCTTTTGCCATATAAAACGAAAGAGTCACCGTGGGGCATATCAGACTTGTGGGCAATTACTGGCAAACTCGACACAATGAATGATGATCAAGATTAATCGTCCCATTAAAGATATTATGGCTAATGATACGAGCGTCAAAATCGAATTTGATCTTTAACGCACCTACTTCTGAATAAATTAAAATCATCTACCAGATTTTGGACACGATCTGCCACTTAAAAATTAGCAGTTCTTTCGTAAACCCCGACAGGCGTCGCCTGACGCCATCACCATTACCATGGCCCTCATAATTCAAGCATTGAGAAAAAATGTGGTGACTGGTGTGCTGTCGCGGAATCACTACATATCACTGTTAGACAACCCTGCTCATCCTTTGTATTTGGTTGTGGCTCATCGGATCGTTATTCCAGACAGTGCGTGCGGATATTATGACCTTTTATTTTTGAGTGGAGCCATAACGCCAGATAGAGAACATAAAGACAGATAGGTTTCCAGCACATGGCATGACCTGGTGGGTAAACGCTGCTGGGTTCTCAGTGGATTTTGCGGCCAACGCTCGGCTGCAAAATGCGGGCATTGATGGGTAGGCCCTCCTCGAGGGTTTTGTAAATTTTGAATTTTGGAAATGTGGGGTTTGAGCTTTGAGAACATGTGGTTAAGTGACAGTGGTACTGAAAAATCTGAAAGGCTTTGTTAGAGTCTGTTTTGCGGACTAATATATTACGACGACGGCAGATTCGCGTGCAGCCTTTGCTATTGTCATGACTTGATGAATCTACAAAATCAAGAGTAGTGACAATCGCTCAAAGCGTCATTACATCAATATATTAAAGGAGAAGATATCTACTTCCAAAAAGGGAGAAGCCCAGTCATGTTTTGATGCAGAGATTTATTCTGACTGTCTTTCATTTCATCTATCATGAGCCTTGCTTTTCGCCACCATTAGTAACAGGCTACCGTTCATGTTAAAAATGAGACCCGATTGCAGATCATGTGAAATACTCAGAATCTTTTGATTCTTCGAAGATTTTGCAAAAACGTCAAGAAGTTAGAGTGATATTCCTGACTTTGGTTTCACAAATCACACAGATCTCCACAAGCTGCTGCATTCTTGGTTTTATAAAGGATATAATCGCATTTAAGTAAAATTCTTTTACGAAAACTGATCAAAGAAGCAAAGAGCAGCATCTTCTGTAAGATTTGCAAGGTTCGCTGAAACATTCAACCGTGAATATGGCGAGATGGAATGATGACATCAACATGTCTAAAGTTATAGCATCATCAGCTCAGTTCTGCATAGCCCAGAAACCACCGAAGAAATGCCTTGCCCGGACAGATTTATCGACTTTTGTATGTTTTGAGATCTCTTGTCGCAGTGCCGAATTTGAACCACACAGCTAGGATGCAATTTTGGGAGAGTGCCCGCGCTGACCAAGTTGACGGTTCACTCGTATTAAGTGTAGTCAGTTCTTTGTTATCGAAAAGGAAAAGAAACACAATGATCAGAAATGGACTGATGTGGCCATTAAATGCGAGAACCCACCTGGTTCGCAAGAGACTCTTGACTTTGTCAGTTTATATTTTAGGTATAACTGCACGGGGACATATCGAAACTTGTTGTTCCAGCTTTTTAACATACAGCTCCCTAACAAATTAATGCTGGAAGAATGGATGCTGCAGACCAGCTACCCCAATATCCTTTCCATCTCCACAATATACGATAGGATTTTCCAAATGATGGCCTGTGCGAAATGTGCAAAAGTTGACCTGGGCAAGATGTCCATGGACAGAAAAGGAATGGTCGCGGCGAACAAGGCATTGAAGATATACATGACAAAGAAGGATGGGTGTTGGCTTCCAATGTTCATATACCGCCTTGTTGGCTCACGTACTTGAAGCCACGTTGCAGAGCAACCGATTCATGAGAGTTTCAGGTTATTCTTGGCCCGCTCGTTGGACTCAACGATTACAAATCAGCTCATTGGTATCACAGGCGTTTGTAACACCGACACACAGCCACAGTGGAGAACAATGGTACTTGATACATTCAACTCCATGGCCACAAGTTGTACCCTGGTTCCTGAAATGATGTAGTTCCTTTTGAGCTGGTATCACACTCAATCAGGAAAACTCAAGAACTTTCCCGTTCTTTCGATAAAAAATATATCAAAGAACCGGATGTCAAGATATTCCGATTTGAACATCAAAGACGAGAATCGAGTATTGAGCAACGTCCAATAAGCTCGTTTGTAGAGTACAGGGGACCAATGCCAGCCTTCCACACGACTAATTGGCCTTCCCGAATGAAATTCCTCATACGTGGTTTCTATTTGCCCATTTAAAAGCCAACATGCGCCAAAAAATGTCCCCATAAGATTATTACATTCGGCCTGCAGGAGCATAATACTTCAATATCACTAACCCAAGCTGAAACAGGTTCCAGCCAAGGATTCAAAAAAACAGCTTCGTTGGCAGCGACGCTCGAAAACACATTCACAGTCACGTTTACAGCTATGTTTTCTTTCTTGTTTGCAGAATCTTTCACTTTGCAGAATGTCTTACGATTGAGAATCGAGATCTCTCACTTTGCAGAATCTCTCACTTTGCAGAATCTCTCAATTTGCAGAATCTCTCACGTTTGCAGAATCTCTCACGTTTGAAGAATTTCTCGCGCTTGAAGAATCAAGATCTCTCACTTTGCACATCTCTCTGCTCCCGTTCTCGTGGCCTTCACCACAATGGGTACCATGCCGCCTGTGGAAAGTGTGAATCTCCGGTGGCCTAGAACAACAATAAACAGGCGGATTGTGCCCGCGTGCGTGGTGGTGGATATGACCGAGTTTTGGGCTGCCTTGGACTTATCCACCACGCCATTCACGCAGTCCCAGTCCTCTTCAAACAAGTCCTGGCACACGCTGTTGATCCGCATCGCTAGGTCGTCGGCAGCCTCCCGCTCAGGGGTGAAAAGCGGGTCTTCCTCGGCAAAGCCGGGTTCCGTCTCAAAGCCGTGTTTTCCAAACCGCAGCTCAATTACTGTTTTCAGCGACCGCTTGTCGCAGAGGTTGCGGCCAAGCGTCTCCCGCATCTTCTCTACAACCACCGGTTTTCTGTCGGCGGGCCTGAGCCCATCCCACGTATACACGCACGTCCAGCAAGACCGCTGCAAGGGCGAAACGTAGAATTTGCTTGGAATGGGTGCCTGGTGATGACGCACCTCGCGGGTCCAAGCCCGGTTGTTCTCCTGGGCCTGGGCAATTCCGAGGTCTGTGAGCATTGGATCCGGGCCGTACTCCACTTCCCCGTCCGTGCCCATGCAGTACCATTTGTCGTCCCACGCCTCCAAGCCATACTTGTCCACGATGTAATTATGGTAGCCCTGGCCGTGTCGTGCGCAGATCAAAAGCTTATACAGAACATTCTCCGGGGCCGTCTCGTTTAGGTGCGCAAGCTCAGCCTCGATTTGCGGCCACGGCTTGGTGCGGCCCATGTTGCTCTCGGTGTAGCGGAAGAGCAAATCGTCAGTTTCCGGGGCCGCTTGCTGGAAAAACCCGGGCACTGTTTCAAACTCCCATCGGTATGCCTCGGGGTGGCCTTCCCTGGCTGCGACCAATTTGCGCTCGTATGCGCTTTCAAGCCCCGGAATACTGTGGGCGTCTTCGAAGTCGCACTCACTGGGAACTAACAACGACATCTTTTCAGTCTGTAAATTCCTCTGCTTTTGCAATCGTGTTGTTTTTGACGGCTGGCCTGGATTTGTGCTTGAGCAAATACAACTGTGGCCTGAATCCACGCACATTTTATTCTCACCAAAACCAGAAAAACCGTTGCCAGATGCCTGGCGACACGTCAATATATAGGCGATTCGCTTGCGCGTCCGCGCTCTTTCAGGTACCCCCGGAAGTCAAACCTCCCCCACGCTGACATAACTGGTCTGGACGCCTCGAGCTATAGATGCAAATACGGTATTATGTGTTCTCAAAATATGGAATTTGTAGATGCTTCTAGTCTCCGCTGAGTTTCCGTATCGAACGTCGCGGGAGTTTTGATTCGCATTGGCTTTTTTGGCTTTTATATCTTGTAGCGCCCACAGGCGACAAGTACTCACGTATGATGGAAGACGCCAGATCAGAGACAACTTGACGTCTTTTGATCAGGAACAAAGATACGGGCTAAAGGTGACGTTCGACTTATTAAGCAAAATGCCCAGCCAAACACAGCTGCCAGATATCCCGGGGCCAAGAAAACTCCATGAACAGACTGAATTGCACACATGTCACTTGTATTCATGATTATAGAACATGTCCTTGTTTATGGGGCTCAGCTTGTCCAAGACGTGTGTACTGCATATATGTGGTTCCGGGATTACTTCCGGGGGCCGCAGGGTGGGGGACGGCCCACGGGCCAGACACGTGCTAGTTACAGATTTATTGTGGTTTCGTTAAGCTAAAATACACGCTGTTCCAGTCTCTGGATTGATGCAGCGCATCATGTCTAAGAGCCCTGGACTCAGCCTTGGGGCGAGCGTAGCGCAATCAAGTCTTCCTCGACGAGGCGGACTTGTAGTCGGGCTTGAACTCGGGTTTCTTCGTTCCTCCCGCACCATGTCCCTTTTTCTTGATCTGGAACTTTGTGACCAACGGGATGTGGTCCGAGGGGAAATGTGCGTTAGGTATACCGATTTGTTGAGCAAAATACTCTTCATCGGCCTTACCCAACAACCCCTTCACTTGCAAAGAGTTGGTGGAGTACCAGACATAGTCTATCTCGTTGGTGAATGTGGGCGTGAAATTGGAGAATGGAAAATCGGAGCCGAGGTGATCATAGGCTGACTTCAATTTAAACGAGTGGTGGAACCCTTCGTCGGTGAATCTGCCATAGTCTCTGCCATCCATGTCCTCGTGCTTTGAAACAGAACCTGACGAAATGAGCTGGTACACGGCACTCTTCTTAGTTGAGTTAAAGTCACCACAAATGACCATAGAAGTTCTTTTCGCCTCATCCGAGTTGTTTGTCCCTTTGAACTTTTTGACAATTCCTTGTAATTCTTCCAACAAGATACCAACTTGCAATGCTTTTACGTCATTAAAAGCAGGGTCCCAGTGCAAGTGGGTATTGACAACAACAATCTTCTCTCCACTTTCCAAATGTTGTAGATATGTGATAAGAGCAATGTGGTCTTTGTTCATGAAACGGTTGAACAAGTCTTTCGTCTTCTTGTAACGGTCGGAGCCCATGCAAACTGTGTTGTACTCTAGGTGCTGCTTTTGAATTAATTGAAACTTAGAAGCACGGTAAAATGTCGCACATCCATCCACCTTCTTGGATTCCAGTTCACTCATCGTTTTCGATCGGGTTTTGCTGAAAAAATAGCCCTTGTAACCAATGTTAGACATGATAGGTACCCAAAAGTCGTGAAACGTTCTTGTTTCGACCTCTTGTAAGCAAATCACATCAGAATTGTAACGAATAATTTCTTCCTTCAACGCGTTTCTTCTGAAATCCCAATCGAGGGCCCAAGAAGGAGTGTACTTATACATCTTCGTGGTAGCATAGTGTTGACACAACGTATTGTAGGACATCAACGTGAATGAGTCTGCAGAATCAGCGCTAAGATGGTCATCAGTGTAAGCGTTTGGGTTCTGCACTGGGTCAATCACGTCACCATCATCTTCTAACAAAATCCAAGACCTGGGCTTGGGCTCGGGGTACGTTGGCTCCATATCTCTATAGTGAGTAATCAATGCTTTGGTGCCTTGCTCGGCGATCAAGTTTGCAATGTTCAAGTCAATTGGGTTCCCCTCGATCCCCAAGAATAACAACTCTATCAAGTTGCGAAATTGGTGAGGCAAAGTTTTGATGTTATTATCAAACAAGTAAAGATATCTCAAGTTGTAACACAAGCCAAGTTCAGGGGGGATCTCGCTGATTCTGTTCTGGGATAAATCAAGCACACGCAATCCACGCAATTTCTTCACCACCAGGGGCACAGTTGTGAGCTTGTTGTTGTTCAAGTACAAAGACTCCAAGAACTCGTACTGGAACAATTTGGGTGCCAAGTTGAGCAAGCCTTGTCCAGAAAAGTCCATATGGCACCAGAGCTGTTTGCCCTGGGTGCGGGCAATCATTCTCTGCTCTTCGTCCTCCTCCAAATCAACTTTCTTGTTACGCATTAATGCGGATGGAGTTGCGTATGTCTGCGCGGCCTGCTGCTTCTCCTGTTCCTCCATAGTAGCCACAATTGTCTTCGTGGCATCAACCAAAGTCACAGACTTCACGTCCGCGTAAGGGTTCTTGGTTTTGCGCGAATTCTGTGCGTACTGCCTGGCATAATAGTGAGGCAAGTCTTCAGCACGGGATAACAGACACAACAGGACCTGGTGTTGCCAGTAGAGCGATGAAGGGTCGTCAACGTTAACAGAGTTAACTTTGTTCGGAGATGGAAAGCTTCCGGCGCCCAAATGGAGCGTCAGAGACGGCTGCTGAAGGATCACGCCTTGCTGATTCATGAACTTGGGCTGGTTCAAGCGAGGAAGCTGAGAGTGGAGCGCGTTCTGTGCTTGGTATTGACCCAACGTCGTCTGTTGTTGCGCCTGTGGAGGCTGTTGTTGCTGTTGCGGGTGGCTCTGATACTGTTGCAGCGGGAAGAAGTTGAGTCCTGGTCCGGCTCTTTGAAAGAAAGCCGGGTCCGAATTGAAGACATCCTGTTGGGGCTGTTGTTGTTGCTGTTGCTGGTGATGCTGGCCCTGGTGTAACTGCTGGTGCAAAATCTGCTGCGAGGGTGTGCCAAGCAGCGACAGTTGGTACTTGTGGTTGGCTTTCATAGTGCGGGAAGACACAACGCACAGTTGCTGGCAGATTTTTGAAGGGACCTGTGTTTGGACGCGGTTCCTTCAAACACCTGGCAGTCTTATCGGTGTTGTGCGGGTAAGGGCAGTGTGTATGGACTAGCAATTGCTATGAGCTGGGGCTGCAGTTATCGTTGCTGAAGCAGTAGACTTGTGGCCGTTCTTATCTTGGAAGACGTGAATACGCGGCTGGTCTAACTCTGTGCGGTGTTTTTTGACTCTTGATTTCTGCCTGACGGGTCCAGCACGTGACAGCTGCTGGTCGTAGTGATAGCAATGAGAAGACGGGTTTAAAAATAATTCGAGAGGGTGAATTGTTTCCGGCTGTAGGCACTGGTGCTTGTGACGGAGGTCTATTTGGCCGACAGCCAGAAGCTTTCAAAGTCGCTTCACCGGCGGAAACCGTGCAGAGGATTTCCGGGCCGCGCACGCCCTGTGTGATTCTTGCTGGGGTGGCGCGGTCTCCAGCGCGACGGCCGGCTAGTGGGGATGTACGGGTGTTGATAGGGAGTGCCGCTCAGAATGGCTGTAAAAAAAGCCGGCGGGAAAATCAGCAAACCCCGTCAAATAATGATATCAGGGTCTGTGAAGGCACTTGAATAGCTTTTCGTTTCAGTTTCAAGTTACTAAAGCTAGGGCGTAGCTTCAGTGTCAGGTCTCTTCCGTCATATTTATTCGCATCCACTTGTTTTGATAAAGAAACTTCGCAATTATCGGAAAAACACGTTTGGCGACACCTTTTTATGGTTTGGGAAATTGCGGCCAGTTGCACCTCATTAATTGTCGTCAAAAACTAAAACTTCCAATAGCTTTCCAATTAACCCAAGATGCTTTTTTTTTACAAAAACGAAAGCGTCTATGCCATGCTGTTTTCTATTTCGGGTGTTAGTCTGTTTTTCCAGGTGGCAAGAAGAAGAAAATTCGCAGATTGTTTTTTTTCGCCCCTCGGCTGCGAAAGACATGGCGAGCATAATCGCACTTACATTTGATAAATGGATTAAGGGTCAGTGCCTGTGAGCCGATACTTTTCACATAAATTACTGGGATGAAATGACGCGAGGCTCGCCATGAGACGGTAATAAACATAGTCTATTGGAAGTCATGTTCACACATAATTATGATTCAATCTGGGGTTACATGTCTGATTCAAACTGAGGTTCGATGCACCCTAGTCCACAGGTTTATTGCATGAGAGGCCAATATGCCAATTTGAGGGCTCTACTCCAAATTGAATATTTCTTCAAATAAGAATACTTCAAATCGGGCGCCCTTCTCGCATGAGACACAAAGTCTCACCATCCTGCGTCTTGTTCAAATTTCCGCTTCACCAAACCAGATAAATCCCCTCTTTGTTTGGAAAGCTTCTTGAGTCTCGCCTCGGTTAGCTTTGCATTCACCAACTTACGATTTACGCCCTTGCAGAGACCGTTTGCCAATGAACAGACGTCACAATTGTTAGCTTTAGGCGCACACACCGTCTGTCCAAAGCCAACAAGAAGAGGGTTGATATCTGCCCAGTACTGCTTAGGAAGCCAGTCCTCTAACGTGGTTCTTGTCAACTCTGGTTTTTCGGATTTCGGCACCCATCCCCACATCTGTGCCAAGCGGTGGAGATGAACGTCAACTCCTATACCAGAGTTGATGCTCCATCCGTTCTGAAGTATGAGATGCCCCATTTTCGGACCCACACCTGGAAGCGTCACGATTTCTTCTATGGTCTTCGGGATTTCGCCGCCGAATCTTTCCTTGAGAATGTCACACGACTTCTTTATGTAAAGCGCTTTTCGGCGATGGAAGCCAACTTTCGCTATACACATGTCAATTTCCGCTTCGGTCGAGCTTATTACGGCATCTAGGCAGATCCCAGGGTGGCCTTTACCTACAAAATGTTCCTGGAGTGTCTTCATGGCCGCGAAGTTCGTTTCGTCTTTGGTTTGCGCGGAGAGCATGAGTGATATAAGAAGCTGGAACCGATAGGTTTTGGGATCTGTGGCCGACATGCCTGGTGTGATCGAGTTCGGTAGCCTTTCACACCCGAAACTATCCACCGGCGTCGAAATCAACGCTCTCATTTTCACGATCTCGTTATATATAAGATCCCAGTCTCTTGGTTGTTTGGCTGTCACATGTTTGGGCGAGACAGGCTGAAAAATATTGGAGCCAATCTGTGAATAGAAAGTGCTTACTGCGCCACCTGATAGCTGCGGAGATTCCGACATGGGCGTTGGCGGGAGGTTGTGCAAATCAATTTCCGGTTTCAAAGCTGGTGAAGCCAGTGGGTCTGATATCAGAGAGTCTTTTTTTGGGGCAAAGTATTTTGACTTGCGACCTGAGACAACATTCTCCTCATATTCGACTTTGACCTTTGCCTCTGTTAGCTCCTGTTTCACTTCAATCTTGGCTGGGGACACAGTTTCTGAATGTGAATATGTATCTGCGAGCAGCCAGAGTCTCGCACTTCTTCTAGTTTTGACAGGAGAGTCCAGAAGGCATTCAGCCAATCTTTTGGGTGGCATTTTCAGTAGTGGACGAAGTTTGGATGCCATCGCATCGTTGGACATCGCGTCACCAGCGCCACCCCGCGGATTTCCATGCATTCACTTAGTATACTGATAAGGCGATCATTGCAGGTTGATGCGCGGCATAAACTATCTGGTTTTGCTTTCGCCAAGAATAATTGGTGAGCTTGATTGCCTAAATCGAGCTTTCCAAAGTGAAAGCATCCAGCAAAATGTCATGATTGTGTGGCCTTCGAAAAAAAAAAACACGTCTATTGGGGGAACAGGTCGGAAAACAGATGGTGTGCATATAACATCCGCCCCAGAGTCTTCAATTTATGACGCACAACCCCCACCAATCACCAACCGGAGAAAACACGACATTGGTATTGTCTCGAGACGCTGTCTACTGCAAAGAACAGCGCAAGCTTTCATTGTTCACCATCAGACCTTCCTTCTTCCACCTCAGTCATCACCAAGCAGAAGGTGAATTTGTATAGCCAGCTTCGACTTTTGCATCCTACTTTCTGGCCGGAGCCCAACTCGATTTCAAATGAGCGAACCGAAGCTAGAGCAGAACGCTGACATAAAGACCGAGCAGCAAGATCTTCAAGTACAAAAGACCGCTAAGAACGATTCTGTGCGAAGTGAAGAGGGGAAGAACCGTGGTTTCCAACCGGCTTCTCGCAAGACTATAAAAGCACTTGGACTGACAAATAAGAGAACGGCACAAGCTTGCGATAGATGTCGAGCAAAAAAATCCAGATGCGATGGGAAGCAACCCGCCTGCTCTTCGTGTGCAGCTGCAGGAATGGAGTGTGTTGTTTCCGATCGGTTGACTCGCAAGTCGTATCCGAAGGGGTATACCGAGCTTTTGGAGGAGCAGTCACGACAGCTCATTGTGGAAAACGCCAGGTTAAAAGGGGTATTAACAATGAGAGACGAGCAGCTAGCCTCATATGCTGCTCAACTGAAGGAGGGGCTTCCTATGGCTCAGCCTCAGTTTCCTGCCACCAGAGAAAA